ATACATATATATATATATATGCAAGTGGATTGTTATGAGACCAATGAAGATTAGCGAAATCTATTCTATTTGAAGGTCGACTCTTTGTAAGATGCCATTGAGACGGACACATGGGTGATACTAATTGTACGATTAAAAGTCGATGATACATTAATTGTTTGCAAAGAATAAATCATACACGTAAATTAGGCACAAAAATTCAGCAAACGTCTAAGTGAGATTCAAAAACAATATCGGGGCGTGGCGAAATAAACGAAGTTTTTCTAGCTTTGCTGATCATGTTTTTGTGAATTTGTCGCTAAACTATACATACATATATATATAGTTTCTAGCATTCGTTACATACTCGGAGGTGGTCGGGCGTATATTCTTGGTTTAAAATATTGTCGACCCAATCGTTTGTTCAAACCCCGGATGTGCAAGGCCTATTATATTTATATCGTTGTCAAGTAAGCGGAGTATTTTTACTTATTATTCATATAGCAGCTGCCTTCATCAAATGGTCCGGGCACACATGTAGCTTTATGTCACAGCCACTAACAGCAAGCTCTGATCGAAATTTCTGAGAGGACCTTATTGTTCTCTATTAAAGTTTTCACTGTCTTTAGCTGTTACATTTGAAGCTGCCGGCTCAGTCAGTGTTCATACGTCATACATTTAAATGTAAGCATTAGAACCGCATGTTTTTCTTAAATTTATGGTGGAAAAAGAAGATCTTCGTCAACGGCGGTTATTTTGATAACGCTAAGTGCCTGCCACCCTGTTTTGCTATGCTATGTCCAAGTTACGCCCGATCCTAAACTTTGACCGTTGGCGAGCTACCTATCCATTACTCCGCACAGAAACAATATATAAGCTTAATATCAGACAACATAAGAGGAGCTAATCGTTGATATAATTAGCTGTACATATAACAGTTATACACAGAATATAATAAAATTAGGCTGATAAATAAAAAACGAAACCATTTTATAGAACTTGATGAACAAATATATGTTCACGTCGATTGACCATAATTGTTATTAAGTGTATCCTTAATAATAGTCGTACATATTCTTTTAATAACAGCACTAACTGCCAGTAGTCATAACGCAGACTATTAAACTGAGCTCATTATAGTAAATCTGGCCGGCAAAAATTTAGTTATTCTAATAACCAAGACTAGGCTCATTTAACCCTGATTCGCCTAAGGAACCTCTAAGGGCAGCATAGGACGTAAAACATCATTTTTTAAGGTATGATGTGCTAAGAGTGGCCGAAATAGCTCCTTTGATGCTCCTAAGATGAATGCTAAAATGATAGCGAAGGCTTTGTCAGTTATTAATTCAGTTGAGAATTCTAAAATACCTATTTAATAAAGTTGATTTTAATCATATATATATATGAGAGCCACTAACCGCGATACCGTATCGTACTTTCGGTACGAATGGAATCATCTATCATCAATTTTTCCGACCGAATTTCGAAGCTAGTCGCTCGTTTACTTATCTGTTCATTTACTGTATCTATGTTACCTGTCTTCGACACCACCTCCTTTTTTCGAGCTCCGAAATGAAGCACTACTGATTGACGTAAAGCTTCGGAACCTACGCTAACAAGCGGCCTTCTTTTAGATCGGTCTAAATAAATCAGCTTCTTTTTCCTGTAGTACATTCAATCATTTTTCGTGAGCCCGCAGCTCTCAGCGCGTCAAAACGGACCACTTCGTTGACGCTATCATTAGACAGTGATCTTGTTTACCAACTGTCTATCGATTATATTGCGCACTTATACTCGATTGATCTAGGCTCTATTTTGAAGCGGAACAAGATATTTGTACGTGTAACATATCAACACCGAAACTATACTCTTCTCTATGTTAAAACTATATTATTGCTAGCAAATAATTCAATAGATACGATATAAATGCAATGTCGAGGATATGCTTTACTTTTTTCATTGAAATTTACTGCAACATTGAAACTATAGTCCGTCTCAGATAATTAAAGATATAGGAAAGTTTCAAGTGAAGCGTTTCAGGGAACGTTCTTGACGTAGAATAATTTTACCGTTCCCGATCGACTCGCAATCCTGAAGATCAGCACGACATATACACTAACTAATTTAGCTAGTGGTCCGTATTGTTACTTCAAGCAAACGCAAGAAGCAAAACGTACTCACTAGTTATTCAGTTACCTCTCTGTGATTTGAGCGAGACTTTTATATATTTATCTCGAATTCGACAAAAATTATATCTTGTAGTTCTTCGTTCTTCTTTGTAAATCGTTCAGTGCCGAGTATGACTTCTTAATATCGTCGTCACAAACCACTGCACGTGCACTGAAGATTAAAATACAACAAATGACACACGTTTTTCCGACTTTTCTAGCTATAGTCGATCTTGTCACGTTCGGCAGTCCTTCATCCTGACGACCTCATTTCTACTGCACGAACTTCTTTTCTGCTGGTAGAATTCGCTACTTGGTGAACTATTATGTTGTCAGCGTAGGGTCACTCGTTTCACGGCGACTGCACAACGAGGGCTGTTGCTATCGAGATCTTCGTTTTGGGGAGATGATGTGAGGAGAACACGAGGGTGCTTTGCTGCAAATGATCAGACACAAGGAGAGTACGGGCAGGGTAGTACGACCTGATCCGAACCAGTCATTTGTCGATTTGTCGATATTGCCGTTCAGCTGACACAACCAAATATGGAGTAACAATAAAAATGACAACAACAACAACAATAAAGATGACAATCGAGTTAGTTAAATGCGGGCATTCTGTTTCAATGGGTTCTTTGATTGATACGTAAATCTAAATCTGCCCTGCTTTCATTACAGTTGATGTATGATAATGCGGCAGACCCGAAAAGGCGTTCTGCGAGTGGAAATACATTGAAGAGCTTTTATAATACAATCCAAACCGAACTCGCAGGCTTAAAATGCCAGACATAGTATATGCGGTGATTCAATAAATTTTAAACGCATTTTCATACTTTTGTTATGACCTGAGTTGCTACAACGACTTCATGTACATGCCTACCGGTGATGACTATAGACACGCGGGTAATATGCGTCCAGTTTAAACATCTCTCAAACGACGATAGGAACATGTATTCATAACAAACGACTGTCGTACGCCGTTCCATTTGCCCTTTCTTAAGCCTAATATATATATATATATATATATATATAGATTATAACACAACGTTTTTCGACTGTCAGGATAAGAGGTGGATACTCCCTCTGTGCTTGAACGTCCACTTTAGTAGCTTAGGGTTCTTTTCACGCACGGCCATTTTTCTAGGGACGACTAACGTGATCGCCCACAGCTGTTATGGCCACACGGAACACTTCCTCTCGTATAGCGTTATACTCTGTATAACGCTATACGAGAGGAAGTGTTCCATATGTTTCTAGTAATTGTCAGCCACTTCGTTCGACACTTGAAGTATGTATAATATCCATGCAGTTCTGAAGATGAATGGATACTGTTGATCGGCAATGAAAAATCCAAAGGTCTGTTTGTGTCTTTGCCTATTGCGTATTGTCACTTTACCTTAGTCGATATATGAAGAATTGTATCACCTTTGGGTTTTAGCAGATGAATTATAAATAAACAAAGTTCGTGCACTGAAGATAAGCCGTCAGGCAAACCTAGCCATTTCCCTTTTGATGTGATAGATATTGATTTATTAATCGTGACGTTTTGCTAAACCGTTCCGCGTAAGGGCACCTTTTATAAAATCATTTTGTGCCGCCGAAAGTATGTCTGACTATACACCATCGCACAATGCTGCAGACCTTCTATAAGGACGAAAGAAATATTATTGCGTGGGTTTTCGTCTGTAGCTACTTGCCCACATCGATTTTGAAGACCCTCCTAAAGCGAGACACATGCACTTAATTGTTTTTTACGATGTTTATCGAGCAATAATTTCTGAATATTATGCTCATTGGCGTCTGTTTGCGATGAACAGTTCCAGGTATCCAAGCAACTTTCTCGTAATATTTGAAATTTAGATTTAATGGGAAGATATATGAAGATAACGAACGGAGAGGTCGAATACAAGTTAGTCACTTAAAAAATTTCCGTATGTATAGACAGACTGTTAACATTTGACCGTTCGGATACAGCTTATGTGAAAAGCAACGATTTTGTTTGCACCATAAGGGTTTTTAGGCTAAGCAAAGTTCGAGGTGAGACAAATAAAGCCTTACGCTGTGACCCTTTTGCTTTGGTACTTGAAGCTGATCTGTTTTAATGTAATGTACAAATGTCATTAAGCCTCGTATTCTAGTTTTTGTTCTCACGCAGCTTGTTCTCCTCCATGTAGCTACTGATAATTTTATCGCGTACTCTACTTACATTCCCTTCCAGGTAAAATTGCCTTAAAACCACCTATACCCATAAAGCCAAAGTTACTTAGAAATACCACAAATAAGAACACGGGAGGTTCGTTTAACCACAACGGTGCGCCGAAGCCCAACATAGATTCAGGTACCATAGACATTAAAAGTAGCACCAAAAAACCGGCTAAGCATGAGCTAGCTGAGCCTCCGAAAGAGAGAGGAATTATGGAGTTGAAGACTTCAACAGATCAAATGAAATGGTCACGATTCAAAGACACCCAGGCGGAAGCTTTCACAGGCGCCAAGAACAGCATTACCGCTAATGAAGGGGAACACGAGGCCAAACAGAATGAAGACGAAGAACCGACCTATCCCTGTATTTGTGAGTATATTGAAGAAAACGGCCGATCTCAAGCTTCTAACGACGATCAGATACCTTCTTTGGCAGCGCTTAGACTATTCTGGATGAAAAAATCGATGGAAGGAATCGATCTGCTAATGAGATACAAAGTGGGGTAAGTTAGCAGATTAGTTATCTTAAATTTCAAATGCTGTAGTGAAACTCAGAATCGGCTGCTGCATAAATGGGTGCTGAAAAACATTTTCGATGGTGTGCAGCGTATGGATTTAAAAAAAAATTACGATTTAGAGATAAAAATTCCAAACGTATTTGGGCTAATTGAAAATATAAACTAAGCCGGCATATTCGAGCAGCATAGCCGTTGCTGTTGACTCCGTGTCCCTTCGAGTAAAAGTGACAGGTCTAGGATTAGAACATGCTTGCTTAATAAGGCACTGTAAACCGTTAAGTCTTCAGATTTCAAAAATCTTTCGCATATTCCTTCGAAGTGGCGTTATTTCCCTGGAAAATTAACTTTTCTTAGTAGTAGTATTTCATTACTGTTCGATTTGTATTAGATTATATTATATGATATTTACTTAAGCAAGTATTAGTACAGTTCTTGTATAATGAATGGATTTTCAGTGAGGGAACGCATAGCACACATGTAGAAGTGCATCCCAGATGACTTTTCTAAACCGTTACGTTTAAGCTGTACAGGGTTTGTTCTAAGGCCATATATAAGGCCAGAAATTGCCGAAGAAACTAACGGAAGACCTTTGCTTACATGCTAAGCGTCCGGGTGTCATCGAACAGGTTATCGGCCTTGAAAGCGTCTGCTTATATAGCGTTAGTCATCAGTTGTAGTCCATCATAGTTTTCCATAATTACGGCTTCATGTGTATTTCTAGAATGATGACTTATACGAATCTAAAAAATCTAAATATAACCCGGCCCTTAAAGACCCAGTATGCCAGGATACTTTTTCGTCCATTTTTCCCTTACTCGTATCAATCAGTTAAATCTGTGACCGCTTCAACATATACACTATTGTACGTTGTTCGAAACTGCTTGAAGGGTTCTCGTTTTGGGCGGGACTGGTTGGGTCGTAGCGACTGTCGCGGCCAACCGACCACAGTTTTCCTGGCCAGTGGTGCGATTGAAGCATCCCTCCTATTGGTGACTTTTTGCACGGAGGAACGTTAGCCCAATGGGTTCGGGTCTTTTCGATGTGTCGCATTGACGTACGCAGCAGTGTGTACCGATGTGCGATACAGCTGGCTCGCGAGGCCACAAAGTATCTCAGTAGAAAAGTGTAAGAGGGTGAGGAGTTGTTGCCTTAGAGAAAGGTTTTATTTTTGAAGCTTTAGCAGCGGCTCCAGCAGCAAGAACCTTCTCGCGATCTACTGCATAGACGCCTGCCTGCCTGTCTGCGGTAGGCAGGAGAGAGTCTGAATGTTTGGGCTTCCTACTTGTAACTAACTTCCTGAAAGAAGTCCGCTGAAGCTGACGCCATTAGGCCATGACCGGCTTCGTCTTCCGTACCCTGGTAAGCAGACTCCGGAATTCAGGCAGTTTTTCAATTTCACATAGATTGGAGCTTGAGTCTCACTTTCTAATCATTTTAGTGGTTGTGAGAAAAACGTTTGATTGATGTAGGCTGCTCACAACGAAGGACCGGCATGCTGTCGCTTCGCCCAAGAAGGCATACGCGCAGTGAACTGTGTAAATAGGAGCCGACGATACGACGACATCTGTGATTCTTGTTGAAGTGCTCACTGTGATGTATGTCAAGTCGAAAATAATATTTTTTAATGTTCGAAAAAAGAATGCCAGAAACTCCTTAGATGACCCTGTACTGTATAATTTGGATAGAAGAGAGATTAAGTAATGATTGTAGCTACGTTAAGGACTTGTGCTTCGATAGTTTTGCTTCATGTTTTAGCACGACCCCTTTATCGTAGGCTAACGAATTCGTAATTTTCTAGCCAATTCGTTAAAAAACGCTGAATCTTAATTTCGAAAGCTAAGGGTGCAAGGCAGATGTGTAGTTGAGGATGGCCGCCTTGAACTTTGGTGCTTAATTTGGTGACATCTTAGTATTCCCTGACTGAGTGTCATAAGCAGTCCTTATAGGTTGAATATAAGTGTTGCATGTGGAACTCTATTTCTCTAGGTAACAAGCGAGATTAAGGAGAACTAAGGCACTTTTTCACGACAGGTATATAAAATGAAGATGGACCAGATCGCGGTCGTGCGTGGCCAACAGCGGTCAAACAAATAATATAGTAAATAAAAGATAGTGATGCATTTCGTTCAGTTGTTTCGCTAAACTTAAGAATCTTCAAATGCGAATTTCTAACATGCTTCGGTTCTTAAATGAAGGGACGGTGCTATTGGGCACTAGAAAGGGAAAGCATCAAATGCTATATACGTAACTATACTGTGTAACCTACATCCCTGATATCGGTTTTTGGAAAAACTGTTTTTTGTGAGTCAATCTGTCCTATTGTAGCTCCAATCAGATCAACAGAGAGTGCTTGGTATATTCAACTAAGGAACGCTTATATGAGTCCGGCCAATTTTTGTTTTGTCTTACTAATAACGACCGATTATATAAGGTTGAAATAATCAGAAATGCGAGCGCATGCTAAATATTTACCACTAAAAAACAATATTGTGTAGTTTTCATTTCACGAGACAATATTACGTATTATTCTAGGGCACGTATTCGTTACTGGTCAACGTAGATTGCTATAACAATCGAGTGCCTATGTAATTAATATTATCATGACTGCTCTAAATTGTTCAGTTGTCCCTGAATAGTTAGTATCAATGGCGAGCTAGTTCAGACGGCTTCGAGTCTCGACAGGCGCTTTCAGATAAACTTGTCGATTTTCTAGCGGTTGGGTCTCACGGTCAATGATTAGGTGGCATAGAGACTATGAAACAGCACAGGCCAAAGTGAACGGAGGCGAACCGTTTCGCGACGACCTCAAGACCTTTTTCATTTACTGGGTCAGATTGTCACTTGATCTCTTCAATTGTACCAGTGGCCGAGATGGGCTGTTTACTTTGCTCAGTGTTATATAGAATACGCGCAGCACTATAACGCTGTGTGCATAGGACGGGCTAAGATCCTTCTAGGGATAGGCCCACGCTGTACCAGAGACCGATACAGGAAAAGGCTAGAAAAAGTTCCCTGTTACCGGAACCGTAGAAGAACAATATTGCTTTAGTGATCAACGAAATATAACGATATTCTGCGCTATGAAGGAGAGGAGCGAAATATTGAATGTCTAGATAGAGCTAAGGGTTTAATGTACTAGCAATTTCTAGCACAACTAGTAGGAACGACGCGTCGAACGAAGCTTTTTTCTATGCAGAAGTCTCCATTAATGTTCAGACGCAGTTGAAAATAAAACCATTAGAAACTAATATTGATAAATGGTCTATGTTGATTTCTACCTGATGCACAAACCTGCCTCGGCATTTATATATATATATATATATAATAATCTAAATTTATCACGATAAGTTCATTATAAAGGTGGAACTGTATTTTACGTTGTTCACTGAGTATTGAATTTTATTTCTTTAAACAGCTCATAAACACTACAGATATTAAACACTGATAATATTTTTTTTAACTATAAAGTTTTTTCAATTAACGAGATGGAAACAATGTCGCTTATTTGGCAAAAATTGTTCTTAACTTAATGGGAAAGCGAACAGTTACAAGTTGTTCCGTACAAGGCACGGAGTTTGATTCAATTGTATAATACCACTTCTCAGCCCTTTTGTATCCACTAAACTATCTATTGTCATCGAATCCACCCAACACAGCGTTTAATAAATATAATACTAACACGTAAATCGCGGATGAACTATATTAGAAAAAAACATATCGGATTTCATTTCATAGAGAATTCCTGGTTTGTATAGTTGTTTTGTTGTTCCGTAATTATTTCTGCAGCCGTGATTCCGGCAATTCGTCTGTGGCCAGCAGTTCCAGCTGCGCTTCATCTGGGTCGAGTTGCTGCGCGCCTTCCCAGCATCTCGAATCGCTTCAACTTGCATCCCATCTACCTCCCAATAGAACTGGTAAGCACGGGAGACCGTTTCGGCCCCCCGTCAGTCCAAGTCCGATGCAAGAACCCTCCAAGGGCGCTTCACTGGATTCAAACCCTATCACAAGTCCTGCCGCGTCCTCTGACGACGACCCGGCATTTCCTACGAATTCCCTACCGCGCCGGCCTTTAACAGGAGCCACCAGAGTCGATACCCTTGAGCGGAACCGCATAGAGGCCATAGACGAAGAACATAAATACGAAACGCTCGATCACGGCGCCAGGTACAGAAAACTGCGTTCGGTGACTCGCAGTGGATAGGGCCGTTTCTAACTGAACAATTTTATTGGAAGTCGTCCAGTATTCCCAAAATTAAATTACATTTACTTGTTTGCGATAACGAGGCTGAATATGATGTTGCAGTTCAACGTTTATCTTACATAACTAAAAAGTCAAAGATGATGGAAATGCCGTTTACATTATTCGCTCATGGAATAGCTATGGAATGCTACCGTCACTATATATAGGTTTTTTTTTTGAGTTTTCTGCTTTTTTTCCCGTTACTTTGAGACAAGTCGCTGTTGTTGTGTTGTGTCATAGGCCAGGGTACTATTCTGAAGACGAAGGTGTCTGCTGCACGAACATACATTCGCAGTTGGCAAAAAAGGCCAAAGAGTTGGTGCGACCATACCAAAAGGGTGACCACCCCAAAGATCGGCCTCCCATTCCTGCCAAGCCCCCGCGGCCCAGCCTCTCCAGGTCGAACCGACTTCCTTCAAGTAAGTTACGTGTCGCACTAGCAAATCAATGAACAATGCCTATCGATAGTTAACATCAAAGTTGCACAAAAATAATGTATCATTCAAACCAAAAATAATCCACGACCATGATAATCTAATAGCACATGTTGGGCTGCAAGGAGTCGGACTGAGACGCCAAAATTTGGGTCACAAGGTACATGTCTAACCTTTATTCCAGTGCCCAACATGATCGTATGCATTTTAGTACGGCTTGTTATGGACACATCACACCGTTATAAAGTATAACATTGCAGTAGATCGCGTATGTAATAAAGCTACTTAACGGTATATCTAGTTCGTGCTAATACCGTTCCTTATGGTTAATTCAACCGCACATGTTACCATATAATTAATACATCGTCAAAAAAAAACCAACATCAAAATCAGTAACCTGTCCTTGAGATAAAAATACGACGGCAAGCTAAATCAATTAGCAATGCCTGCAATCACCTTAATCGCGTGCATCATCTTAATCCTGCCGTCTGTTTGCTACTAACACGACGCCCCAAGCACTCGATGCTCCTCTTACTGTGTGACCCGGGGTCTGCATCTTCCATCGATACGTGATCTGACACTGATTTATTGTTTTGAAAAAACAGGTGAGTGTCTGTTAGATTTTGATTAGTGTTCCCTAAATTTCTTTTTTTGGTAACATTTTATGTCGCTTAGAATACGTAACATAAGACGAACCAGTGGCAAGTTAAATAAATTCAAGCCGGTTTCACAAGACTGATAACTACATTCTGTGGATTTTGTACTTTCTAATCCTATTGATTTTTGACGCTTGATTAGTGCCGGGGATTCGGTGTCGCTAGCGTCGCTTGCATGCATTGCCTCAACGGTTCTGAACGCAGGAAGCAAGCGAGAATGGCCGTTTTCTTCTGACCGTATCTAGACTATAACAGCTCGACCTCACTGTGCACAATAGGGGCTAATAATTACTTTAACCAAAGAGCCATTGCGGGGCGCCTTTCTGCTTTTTTGTTGTCTCGTTCATTGTGGCTTCATTACAGCGAGCACGATTGTCTCGGTGCAATTTGCAGATGAAGGAATCAGTGATAAAGAATCAAACTATAACGAAAACCTAGATCTCCTCCAGGAAGTGAAGGCCGCCGCCCAAACAGGTGAATCAAAACTGTTTATTAGTTTACCTGTTATATAGGGAAGGTCGATTTTGGTTTTCTATGCTGTCCAAGTACTAACCAAGGCGATTATCTACCAATTGATAAGTCATATAACTGATGGTCTCATCGTTTATGTAAAATTAGCCGCTCATTCCCTACATCAACTTTATTTACCTAGTATTAATTTAAATAAATATTAAAAAAAAATATATTTATTTTATTGCAGCCGGCTACGAACCAATCGATACCAGCCGAGGCATAGTTCCCCCGATACCCGGTGTGCCTACTTCGGGCCCACTCATGAAAAAAGACAAAGACCGTAAGGTTGTTTCTAGATTTGAAGATTCCATGGAGGCAGAACGGAGAGAGTTTTGGCCAGTTCTCGCAACACAGACGTCTATCGACCTAAAAGGTGGCAAGCCTCGAACACAGGCACCCAATGACGCGGAGGCTATGCCAATTGAAGTCAAGGTCGCTTCTTCAAAAATAAGCTATGAGAACGTTAAAGCTGTGAAGGGTGGCCTAGTTGTAGCTCCCACCATGCCTAATGAAAAGAGAGGACTCATGCAGCGTGTCAAAAGTATCAAAATGGAGAATCCATTCAAAAAGGGCGACGGCGATGAAGATGGTGGAGCCGATTCTAGTGAGAAAAAGCCTGGACTTATGGGCAAAATGTTCAAACGAGAAAAGGAAGCTGGCGGTGAAGAATCCGAAGACAAAAAATCATTTTCGGATACGTTTAGTAAAGTTTTTCATCGTGAAAAGAAGGCCGACGCTGATATTGATCCTAACGTTTTTCAGGAGGAAAAAATAACATTATCGGATAAGCTGGGCAAGATGTTTAACAAGGAAGCTAAAGAATCAAAAGATCCATCTTCCGAAGGAGGCGAGAAGAAATCCTCCTTTATATCGAAAGTATTTAGCAAAGAATCAAAAGAACTTAAAGTTCCTACCGGAAGCGTTGACAGCGAAAAGAAACCCACATTAATAAATAAAATGTTCTCGAAAGAAGCGAAAGAAGAAAAGGAGCTTTGTGGGAAGGAAGAAGGCGCAGAAAAGAAACCTTTGTTCCCAAAAATGTTTACCAAGGAGTCAAAAGAAGCCAGGAGCGGTCTGGAAGGTGAAGACGAGCATAAACAGTCATTAATTAGTTGGGTGTTTTCGCGTGCCGCCAAGGACGGCGAACAATCTAATGAAGGCGAGGAAGATCAGGAGAAAAAAACGTTTTCCGAGATGATGGGTGATTTTACGGGTAAAGTGTTTACAAAGACGAGCAAGGAAGAGGGCGATCACGCTAAGAACCACGGCCAACAACAAGGCGAGAAAAAGACTTTCATCGATAAATACTTCCCTACCGAAAAACCAATAATTCAGCAAGTAGTTCTCACCGAAGAAATGGAGCCCGATCTCAAGAAGAGACGCATGGGCAGAATTACGAGCTTTCAATATACAAAAGAAACCGAAGGAGACACAGAATCGCCGGCTAAGAAGATGCTCATAGAAAATCTGGATAGGATTACCACTAAAGTTAAAAAAGTCCAAGAAATGATGCCCAAGGCGATAGCTAGCAAAACCGAAAGCGGCCCTAAATCCGAAAATGGTTCGCCTGAAATGGACGACAACAAGGAAAGCAAAAATACTAAACATGATTACGAGATCACAACCCAAATCGTCTTTACTAAAGACCTGCCGTCCGGGATTCACAAGCAAACAAAAACAGAATCGGAAAGCGGCAATCTTCCCAATCGCGAAGATCTGCATATCACCTCCGTTATTATGCCTGTTCTTGCCGAGTCAACAGGGGATAACAAGTCGGCCACTGATAAGACTACCTTCTTTGCTAAAATTGGCGATAGTGAAATTGAGGTAAAGGAAGACCACTACGGGAGAATACAGGTGGGTGAACGAAAGGAGCCAATTTATGCACGCCCATTTAAGATGCTCAAAAGAAGTCTCCAAGATCTCTCAAAATCAACGCCTTCCCTGTCAGCTCGTGAAGAGTCTATTCAGTACATGGACGCCAGCGAAGTCGCCGAAGAAGTAAAGGAAGAACCAGTCAACCATCATTACGACGAACTCGGCGAGCCGGGAAAGAAACAGCTGCTCGTGAAAGAATTTAAGGTGAGGGGCATTCGCGGCAGCCCCAAGGTGATTAAGATTGAAACCCAGCTTGTCAAAGGAAAAAGTACCAGTGCCCTCAACGAGCCAGCTACGATAACGACGATAAAGACAGTCGAAAAACAAAAACCCCCGGTGCCACCCAGGCCCCGACCGACAACTCCTACAATTATCGGTGAGTTTCTAATGAATTTGTTCAGCTTGATGAATTGTTTACTTGCGACAGATTTCTAGCCTTTTATTTCTAGCCAATTGTTTCATACTTGTTAAAATAATCATGTACTTTAGGGACCCTCAAAAAACGCAAAGACTCTATGAATAAGTGCCACCTTTCAATGTGTTTCGGCAATATATTCATATATATGAATTCAGTGTTTGGTGCATCGGCACTTTTGTGCCTGTTCCAAGTTACGAACTTTCTAACCATTGTAACTACAGGCAAACCATCTTCGCCACCTACAACGCCTATATCTTTAGCCATGGAGGCTACTCCTTTGGCTCGGGCTGAGTGCTCGTCAATAGATGGTACAAGTGTTCCGAGCACCAGAGCGACAACACCATCGTCACTGATTTGCGAAGGCGGGTCAGGCAAAAAAATCCCGCCCGCACGTCCGCCCCCACCGCGCATTGCCACGGTGACCACTAAAGTCACCCCGACGGCCATCACAACGACGACGGTATCATCTGATACAAGACCACAGACCACAACATTTAAAAAGCCTCCAAAACCACAAAGGCCGCCACCCCCAAAAGTTTCCGTTACGTAAGTAACCAATGAAGCTACTTGGAAGAAAGCCGATTTGAATGCAGATAATGAAGAGTAAACTCTTCAGTGTTCCCGACTTTTCAAGCCAACTCAGTATTTCACGAATCTTGGTGCAAATAGCAAAATCGAACATTTCAATATGAATTGTCTCCTTGAATTTTTTTTTCTTAATTTCAGGAAAACTGTTACCAAAATGCCAATCGTTAGCGGCAGCGATAAATACTCTGTTTATTGTCAAACAGATGTTAATCTTAGTACGGATTTACTGGCGCGCATCGAGCGAGTTGTATCTTCCGGGGGCGGAGTTTATGAAGGTGCACCGTATAAACTTGCGCGGTCGCGATCTGGATCTTTCGAGAACGTCCACAGTGCATCACCTTCATGCCTTCCCACATTCGCAAACAAGCCGACCAGTTCATTGTTCCTGACCACTTTGTAAGTTAGGCCGAGGCACTTTTAGCTTAATTAAAATTGCCTTGGCCTATTATTAATTCAACGGCGAATTAAAAATTCGTAATCCCCTTCTTTGCCAACACGAATCGTTTTCTTGTATAGTCCTATTTTAGCACAACAACGATTAACTGAAATTACGCATTTCATTTGCCTAAGGCATGCATTTCGTTAGCGCTGAATTCTTATTTGGGATACATGAAATGTTCGACTTTCAGCTATGACGAACCTGTATGCCTTCGCAAAGGTGCATCGTTGAACGAGAGCGACCTCTCAAAACGTATCTCCAGTCTACAAGTAAGCGACACTCGTCTTTAAAATAACCTAATGGTCGTGACCTATAGTTCTTGATTAAAAGCTCTTTAACGTATGTACATGTTTAGATTTATTATGTCTCGCTTGAGTATTCATCTTACCGCGGTTTGGCTTGAGCTCAATCTGCAGCTAACTAATATGTGCCTGAACTCGAGTGCTTAATATGCGCGTTAAGTTCAGTAAAGCAATTGACAAACAATGGCTGTCGACGTGATTTCTCCAGTAATTTTGCTCAAAGATAGTTCGGCTTGAAGATAGTTGCTTGAAGATAGTGGCTGTCGGCAATCTACCCCCACTATCCAATACAAATCTCCTCTAAATACAAATCTCCTGCGTGTCTCCTCCGATTCCGGATCAGATCAGTGATATTAATTTCGATTTTGGCCAAAATATATTAAATGAACTGACCAATCTACTTACATTACGCGCAAATAAGGTCTGATCCGCGATTTGTAGCTTTGCAAGTCGGCGTGTCATTGGAACTGCTAGAAGTATATTAGATATCTGAAAATTGGCTGTTCGAGAGTCATTGATAAGTCCAACTTAAATAAAGGGCAATCCTTCAGAGTCACGTAGCCATTCTCTGAAGACTTAGCCACGCTCTGAAGAGGTACTACTCCTGGGGTCGACCAGGACGTCAGGACATAGCAAGCGATTCGGTTCGACTCTGAATCCGTTGAGGGACGCAGGAGACAAAAAAAGGAGCACTCACGACACCCAGCCACGCCTCGCTATTAATCTCTTATATATCAAGACAGTCCTGTTCTTACTACGTTTCACTAAATAAATAATCATCTCATTGCTATTACTGTTGTTATTACCCAATTTGACGATCACTCGGAAAGACATGAACCGAGGCTTGTGGTGAACGCGCCTCCGTCACTGTCTTGGTGCATGCTTACACTACAAAGATATCCGAAGGGGTCACATCTAAATCGATTACCTCTTTTTTTAGCAAAAATCCTATTGTAAGCCCTATTCCGGGGACCAGCTTGGGTCTCCACAATTAAACCTGATTAAACATATACGCCTTAGAAAAATTAAACATGCTCAAATTCATTCCCGAAAAAATCGTTCTTATTTGGTTCTGGCAATCGATTATTGAAGACCATAGACGGACCCTCCAGATGAAAATAAATCAGTTTACCTGTCTGACCAGAGACCACACTTGTTAAACATATCGAAGGAGGTATCGATTCAGGCGTGTTCGCAGGATGTCAGCAGAACGAGAAATCTGTTGTTTTTTTTTGTCCCATGCTTGGCGACGAAGTGGGTCAGCGGTCGTTGAGCAAGTGTCTACTTGCTGCTTCTCCGTTGACGGCCAGTCGTTCAACTTTGACCCGTGTGCTCGTTTAGCCTCTGTCTCATGAACTACCGCTCTGCTACTGTAAATAGAGCCGAAATTTCGTGTGTCCTGACGTTCGCATTGGTTGCTATTGCTGTTGGCTCTGTGGCCGCTTTCGTCATTTCAGTCCTTCCGGCGGTCGCTGGTCAAACAGGGCGGTACCCCGCTTCAGGCCGCTGTAGCCCTGGCCGTCGTCCTCTTCTGGATCTACTGTCCTTTCTTCTTGCTTTCGTTCCAATCGCTCTGCTGCATCGCCATTTTATTCCTAGTATTTTTCAAGTAACAGGCCACGTGTGGGACAATAAATGTCCGGATGAACACAGCACGTCTGTTGAATCTAGACATTGTTTCTTCCTTATTTTTTAAAACTTTCTTAAATGAGCCGCTGCAATTCTGACTGTTGTAGGACGATTACGAATATCAGATTGCGGCAATGAAGAGGTAAAGAAAACTTCAACATCTCATTTCTATTGCAACAATACGTGAAGTGAAAACCTAGGAAGCATCCTATTCTAAATTGACAATGATAGGCCAGTGATTTGTTTCGGTTTGTTGATAAGCGTTGTTGACCTTTCGGATAGCCATCGGCAGGCCAAGCATCTAATGTGAATACACACGACTTTATTCAATGCAAAGCAAAATTTATTAAAAAAACAACGCAACTGTAATTGCCAATTGAGCGAGTTTGATGAAAGCAATAAAACAAAATATATACCGCTATCATCAGTGGCGAAAGTGTAAATGACTGCGTCTTAATTGGAAACCTATATTTGTACCTATTATTATTATTATTTGATATCTATATATGTTTTATTTTGCAAGCGATGTTATCTTAAGCATAAGAGAGGCTTAACCTCAAGCCTTCTTTATCAAACGGTCCTTTTTTGCCCACGTTGGAGTTATCATTCTAACTTCCACCAGTATTTATTTGTCATGTTGAAATGAACACTGACAGTTTCTACACATTATTTTTTGAGCTTATTCAATGGCACAACAGAAGGACAATCTCTTGCAGCTGTAGTTCTATTTTCTTTTTTACTTTAAACAAATTGAGTCCGGCCAAAATTGATCAGCATATGCGAAGAACGATAGGCAAAGCAGAGAAAACTGTCCTTTCTATGCGTTGCAAACGTCTTCACATTTGCACTGGTGCCATTGATTAACGTAGAACGATTACCCCTAATCGACGGAATCCTCTAATTGTCTTGGCTGTATCGGCTATTATCTCTGTGGCCGGTTTGTAATAAACAGATCGCCGAACAGGAAGAACTGCCACCATTAATCCCTCCTAAGCTCGGCTCCAGTTGCTGTAGTGGCCTTGGGACTTTACAGCGGAGCCGTATGAGCGAAACTGACGCCGACTCTGGAGATTCGGTCTATTACGACTGTACTAGGCCGGATGAGTACCGATCGGTAACGTTTGCCGCTGAGGAAGATGTTCGATATTATGATCGAGTCACCGACGAGAGCCGAAGTAACTCTCTGTCCCAAAACACTCCGTCATTTTCCGTGGCAACTAATGAGGCCAATCCGGACGGTAAGTTAAATACAAGAGCACCGATTTACAGAGAATGTCATACCTGACTCATTTAATCAGTGGCACAATTTTGCAACGCGTTATGTAACGAAGATGATAGCGATCATGTGGTGCACATGTGGGTGTCTGTGAATGTATTTATAACTTTGCTTTTTTATTACAGGGGAAAAATTCGTTTAGAAAGGATTCTAGGCGAAGCTTAATTCAATCGCTAAAATTAGCACTTACAGGGGCTGCATTTATATCAGTTAGCTAGAACTTACTGACTTAATTCAGCTGAGTTGATATTTCAAAGTTCGTATATTCATTTTCATTGACTATCTAGACAGTTTGCCTGAAAAATCTGACTGCTTAATCACAAAGCAAAGCACTCTAAAGTCGTCTCGTCAAAGAGATCCCAGCTTGGATTCGGATTCTGACTGGTCGGATGGGCCTATTCCGCGGCCAAAGCCGTCCCCTTCAATCCTGCTCAAGAAAAGGCCGCTCTCAACCCGTACGCAACGAGATCCCGATAGCTCCTCAACGGACACCGATAACCATGAACCTGTGCCTCATTCTCATCCAAGAAAGAGGATCGTCAAGTGAGTCTCAAAAGTACAAACTAAAACTTAAATAGGGAACAATTATATTCTTCCCGTTGTTTTATCTGTGCCTGCGTAGCCTTCGATCGATATAGGCATGTATGAGCCATGACGAAGACTTTGTACATTCGGAACTTCGTATGTAAATTTCAGAATAGGTGGTTTATACAATACATAAGTTTGATTAGGCGGAACACCATGCATCTGACTACTGAAAGTGTCCTTCTATAAAAGTATTTTGGTGATATCTAGATATTCTTTTCGCAATAACAACTCTTTCAAACGCAATAAGAAAGATCTTTACTCTCAGGCAAACCGCAGAGGCCATAAAGATTTGGGATTTTCTTTTAATAGTTTATTATTTTGTTTGCGGTCGCTGAATGTTATGCGCGGCTCGCCATCGGTAAATATTGCTATGGCGCGTTGGCCCAAGGAACACATGGGTGTTTTATCTTACCTTAGGCCCATTAAAAGTTTCGGTTGAACAAAGAAAACCCTACGCTGAAACTTTCATAGATTAATACTTACCTTACCTTAGTGTGTACTCGTGAATTCGTTTATTCGTGAAATGCATAGGATTTGGAACTAATACGATTTAAAGACTTGATTCTGTCTAGAAGGCGTCTAGCCTCAATGTGCTTACGTCATTTCTGTCCCGGAACAGTTCCATGAGGTACCACGATTATTTAATGCAACAAGAATAGGGTCATTAGGAAGTATACTAGTCCTACGCTAAAAGCAGAAAAAAAGTGTTTAAATGTGATACCTGCTCGCCTCAATGATGACGCAGTCCATCTGGTACCTATCTATCTAAACTTTCGGGTAGGTAGTCTAGCTTTAAAACCGCGCATTCATAAACGCCCTTCACTTCATGCTGAAATAGGTTAGTCTTCGGACGTCGTTACTTCTCGAGTTGGAATATAGTAAATTCGGGGTTTTCACCAATAAAAAAAGACGTAGTGTTTTACCCAAATTCTGGAAAAAATTTTATTATGTAATCGCCATGGCTTATCATCTTTTCACATCTTTCGACCAGTTTCTTTATTCCGTATAGCCAAAAAATTTTAAACTGAGTATAGCAAGGCTTTGAGACACCACTTCGCCTAACCAGTGATAATTCTCTAAATAATATAAATCTGTCATTATGGCTGCATGATGGTCGTCGCCAGGCGAGATGTGGAGCCTCTATGCCTTGTTCTCTTATGAATTTATTCAGTGTATGACACATACAGGCTTCTAAATTTTAATAGAATTACATAAATTCAAGGTTCCGGACGATGATTGGATGCTCGCAGCCTATTTTTTCCAGCTAGTTAATGGCTGTTCGCCATTTGGGGTACTTATTGCCTCGAATGTTCGGTTACAATGAGATACATTCTCCAGGTCTGATATTTCATCTTTGAATTAGGCGAACCTTTTTTAACAGTGTTCACAGTTATAGGGTTACCGCTGTATAGGGCACAAAGTTAGTAGCTTGCTTCGAATGGATTTCGACCTCCATAGAAACTAAAGTGAAGCCGGCATCAAAAATGCATTTCTTTCACCTGCAACCTTTCAAACCTTTGGGACTTGAACTCGACCTAAAATTTAGTTTACTGCCCAACGAAATAACAAGGACTTACAAAAGCAAGAACGAGAACATTTTCGCATGGTGTATTTGAGTAAACGACAGGCGCACGGAAAAACGAGCCGCCGTTAATTTATGTCCTAATCTAGTAAATATTTTAAGTTAGTACGAACAGCGGTAAACTGTAGACTGTCGCCGAATATACCATACGTATACATATTGTTTGCCGACGAAACAACGTATTACTTACATAACTTAGACTGCAGATATTGAAGTCACGCGTTCTTTCATCGATACCAGTTTTTCCACAAGGCAGCATTATATACTGCAACACAATTTAACGGCATCAATTGAGCTCCAAAATATGGCATCTATAAGACAATGTATGATGCCTAGGGTTAACATTTGGAACTAGGGATCTTTTCCGGGGGCACGGTTTTTGGGTTAAACGTACCGCATTCATGGTGCACCCGAATATGATCGCATATGTTATCCCACTTAATCATAGAACAATCAAATATTCCATAATGTATGAATCAAAATATTCAAGTCCTTAATACAGTGGGACGTATTCCTTAACCGTCCAAGGCCCCGGGTTTGATATTAGTAAAATACATAGCGTAACACCTTGCCGTGAAGCGTAAATGCAAACGAAAACGCTGGTTACTTCAAAACTATTTAACTATTCTACGGCAGAATATCGATGGCAAAGGGACAGTAGGTAATGAAGGAACGAGCCTGTCTCAGCTTTGAACAACTTAAATCATTCGCTGACTATATTGAATTTATTAAAACGACAAAAGACGTTAAAAGTAATTCGTTCTATAAAAGCTCGGCCATTTTTTAGCGTCTACCAGCAGAAACGTCCAACAATGCAATGTTTAGATAGGTAAACGGTTGCCAGCTACGGGTTCCGATGGTTGATTTTAAACTTTTAGAATCTTTCTCGCTTAAGCGTACATAGCTTACATCGAAAGCAACTTAAATGTTTACACATGCGATATTAAATTTACACTATGATGATTTTCTCCCTCTGAGGTTCGGAGAGCTACAAAACATAGAAAATACATAGCAAAAAAGCGCAGTGTCAGAGTAGTTCACCGAATCAAGCTAGCTCTGCCTTTATCTGGGCTTTTATACCTGTCAAACGTTAAATACAATCTCTGACTCAATCGTCTACGAAGCTTCATTAACAATACACTAATGGCCAGCACTGAAGCACGATATTTTAGCCCCGTAGCTCGATATCGCTTTCACTGGCTATCTACAATGTGTGCGGCCCGTAACGATTTATACAGTGCTATACTTGCAATTGCTAAAGATAGCTTACAGTTTATTTTTACCTGTATAGCTTGGCTGATCGCCAAACGGAGGAAGAAATGAGTTGCTTGCACGAGCCTCTGCAATTTTTTTTGTTAGACGTTGTTGCTTTAACAATAGCATAATATTGTAATCCAAAATGATAAGATCACTCAGTGATTTATCGTGTTGCTCGCTCAGCACACATGGAACGGTATTGTCGTTGATTGTTTTGTTGCTGTGTTAAGGGTAAATATGAGATTATAGTTTAATAGTAATACTCGTTAAAGGCGCAAGCGGCACCGCGCTTAGCATCGCCCGTACAATAAAATTTACTAAGCCCCTTTACAATACGCCATTCTTTTGACGTGCATGTTTTGCTGCCCTGCCCTAAGCCGACGCCTTGCTCCCGTCGTTGCTGTGACGTTTGTGTTGGCCCTCGGCGCCCTTTCGAATCGATAAGCGTAAATAGTGACAGGAATGAATCGACTTCATAGAACCGAGTCGACGACTCAGAAACAGATCTTTTTGCTTCAAACGCGCCGTAAGGCGTATAGGTACACATGGCTGAAGCAGGCTTGATACAAGATACGATTGCTGAGGCCGAGCTTTAACAGTAGGTCGCCCGGCACTTCTAGTGCCGCGGTTGGCTTTGAAAGCGATGTGAGCTGATGTTGCCTGTGTGTATAGACGCTTGTCTCTGTGTATACGTATTTATAGACATATACGTATGTGTGTGTGTGCGTGTGTGTGTTGTATTTCTGGTCAAGGTTGAAGAGGTGGCTAACTAGATTTGTCGATATCAGTGTGAAGTCGTAAATTTGTCCACGATGAAGAATTTGTCGATTCCTGCGTGCCTAAGGCACTAGCATACGGACGTCTCCGTGCCGCGATTCAAGTAAGGCCAATGGAACGCGCTCTGATGTCTGTGACTAACCCGGCGACTGACAGGGTTTCCCACGCTGCAACCTAGGTGCTATTATTAGGTTTGCGTCAGCTAGTGACAGATCCGACTATGGCTGCGAAGTGACGCTTTGAACTATCAACAACCAAATCAGAAACAGAGAGGTGCGTCAGACTGTGCTGTGGATCGAATATGTGTAGGGTTCCCGATCGTCGAATCGACAGGCCTGTGACATGTGGGCCAAGGGTCAGCTTCCGTTGGCGACGGCTGCGTAGTCGAATGCAAGGATGGAAAGCACACGCACCGAAGTATGTCCTGTCCTTAAATGTGACTGAAATTATTAAAATGTATTTTCCATATATTACTTGCCGTTTCTGGCGTCATTATTTCTGTGATATTCATAGGTGTTGGCGCTAAGTAACGACGAGCTTATAGTATCCAAAAGCAGCAAATTGCTATACCTGAATGACATGATGGCTGAAGAGCCATCATAGAACAACTATCTCGCTATGGGGAAACGCAATTGTTCTTCATCTACTGTTTCTGCATTACTAGTTGGACTTTTGATCTATGCATTTTTTTTTAGCTGCGATGTAATGGCAAACAAGCTTTTCGAATCCAACATTCTTCGTATCTCTCCTACGAACCATCGACAAGACTTATCGTCGAAACACCCATACTAGAGATGTCAATGACAAACGGTCTGAGCCATTATGGGGTAGCTAGCCGATCAAGCAATTTACCACACCGAAAAATCAAACGGTATCGCAGTGCCTATTCTCACTTAACACAAATGCAATATTTATAAAAGTGGTCTTTAATTTACTATATTTAATATGTTACAGGTACAAATGACTCTACATTTATTATAATAATAAAGATACTTGTACTTAATATATCGAGTTCCAAATACAAACTACAGATTGTTCGATGCCCATCTCAACATTCACTTCGATTAGTGTCTACACGGTCTACGCCAGTGTTTATATATTTAATAATGTTCGTTCTTTTGAAGGATTGTTTAACATTTCATCTACCAGGTTTTAGGCGTGAACAATCGTAAATAAATATCTATAGGTAACTATCCTTCAGGACAAATAACACTACCCAAGTATCACCTTGGTAGAACAATAAGGGAAGCTTTTCAATCAACTCACGTTGAAATAGTAAATTTAAAATAAATCACGCATTCAATTAATCGAACTTAAAAGTTGAATGCAATATTTTTTTAATTAAACCGCTAGGCATATTAAATAAATTTGCTAGTTACAAACGTTGTATGAACGTATCGATCGGTGTTTGTACCGTAAATAAACTAAAAGGGTATGGTTTTTAATCTACGAATTGACCTGCTATTTTTCTATCCGCTTCGGTAAATACTACTCCTATCAACAGGGTCACCCCAATAAGATTATACGGTAATCAAGTAATCCTGAAGTGGCCCATGACAACGATTAACAGTGACCAAGTGTTGATGTCCGAAACGGAACGACATATTCATCGGAGGCACAATGCCGGCGATACAACTTAATCAGTGTTGGTTTGTTTGTACTATTCCTTCCTACATTTTTTTTTATTGGCGGGACAATGTAGCAGCAATGCTAGACACGTCACCCTACTGGATTTCCAATTTAAGTGTAATGGTAAACTTACAAAATTTTGAATAAACCTAATCAGTGGGTGATGTTGCAGCCGTGGAAATTTTGTCTCGTTATGGTTGTGACTGTGCGGCCTCCATACAAAACTGGCTCCAAAACTCTATAAACATCCACAAAAAAGAAATGTTTTCATTTCTACGCCTTGCACCACTGAATCCGTCCGGTAGCCTATTCCCGGGATCGAACCTGGATTATCTCCATGGCCAAACACGTTGCCGCTGCACTAGCATGGAGACAGATTGTCGATTGATATCTGCTTTCAACGAATACCATTCACTTAAGGCCAATCCCTCTTGTTATAAGCGAAACAAAGCGCAGGGCACACTTTACATAGGTGAGTCTTCGCATAGGGCGAAAGCGTGTCCGATTCTCATGACAGAAATACGACCCATTACCACAATCGCCTTCGACCTCGGTAAGAAACCCGTTTACTCTAGATTGCACGGAAAACGTAATACAGCTACTGCACAACTTGTCTTGATCTCCGCTTAGACAACAAAAGCTCCCTGTTGAGTATGGAGCCTTCGAACTAAGCTACCACTAACTGCCCGAATGGTTGGTTTCATTGCTAGATGTGTTCTCAATCTGGACTACGTCAACGTTGACCGCGTCTTCTTAAGTTTTGTTAGTGTTAATGATGTTCTTATCGTGCCGGCCTCGGCCTCCTTGGTTCCTTTTGATTTCTGACAAACTGAGCTCTTTTTTGTTAGCAGGTTCATTCTGTGTTGCTAAGCTATTTCTATTAAATCTTAATTTTTATTTATTTTTTTTTCGAAAGAAATTGCTCCAGAAAAAAGTCAACTTATAACATATTTATGAGGGTATAAACCAGCATCGGCTTGTAAATGCTTTGTAGGAATGAATATAACTTGAAAAATACTTTTTACACTATTTTTAATTAGAACTTGGACCATTAAAGGTGGAGTGAAACCGCTGTATGGTATACTTAGAATTAACCACATAAAACTGTATAGCCGTGGTGTAGTTGAAGAAATTACGTTTCGATGAAATGAAGTTCGACCGAAGACCGAGTAGTAGTGTCATTGGTTTTAGAGGCAACCCGATGGACTATTTCATAAATCGTAGAAACAAGTGCAAATTAACAAAAACGTCCAGACACTCACAACAGCAACCACGTATTTTGGCGGTTGTTTACGTATTTTGCAAGGAAAATCTGTCTGAGATGATGTAATTTGGTTACACCTCGTTTAATCTCGTCTGCAGCAACTGTGCGGCCTCTGAATAAGTTGAACACACCCGCCAAAATTCAAAATCCTCATTTATCGTAAGCCATATCTCAAATCTTACATATTAACGGAGAAAGGCGTGATAGTTTCTAGACACTTGGCGTAAATCCGTTTTAATTGAGTATCGACTACGGTCAGACTTAATAACACTTGAAGTTATTATTCATCAGACAGCAACTATGCTATCTTAAATCTTATCAAACGCGCAAACGTCACGCGCTCAGAAGTTGTCCTAAATATCTATAGTCTTGCCGTTCCAACTATTTAAATTGTTGTCTACGTATGTTAGGCATAAGTATATCGTAAAACATTTATTTAGTCCATGCATAATATTATTTTAACAACTGTATATTGAGAATTAACATAATTTTTCTGTCTCGATATGTCTATCTATCTAAAATATGGAAAATGCTGAAAAGAAGTTCTCAAAAAATGAAATGCGCCACTAACTTAATTGTCACAATGTGCTTACAGGCGGTCTCCAATCCACTCGACGAACGAGCCGAGAATCCCTGAAGGGTTCAAGCGTTACCAGGTCTCTGATTCAGATGAAGATACGGACGATCTATTGAAGCGTGCCACTGAGGTGCAGGACCAGCTACGAAAACTCCTTTCTTACCGCACTAAACAGCTGCGAGGTATTATGTCGCATAGGGATTGGATAGTCACCGCTTCATCCTGACATAACGACGTCAGGATAAAGCGCATTCATGACTCTTACATTAACTGTCCTGGTACCGTCCTGATGCGGTCATAGAATCCAATACCTTAACTTTTCATGTTTCAGTTGACCTTGGGCTTTTTCAGAGCATATCTCTTTAATTAAAATGCCCCGAATGCTGTTCTATGACGATGCCGTATAGTATACAATGAAATTCCGGTTAATTCGTTCAATCTTAGCCGCGCAAAGGGCTGCTACGTAGACGCGATCTATTAATACAGTCTGGAAACGTGCTCCTACTTACCTTAAATCTAAACCTAGCTAGTCGTTACTCTACTAATGATTGACGACTGCCCTTTCCTGGCATCAGATAAAAAAATTCTACAATCGAACGAGGCTGTATTGCGCAGTTTCGGAGAATAGTCGTATGCACTCGTGTTAAGACGCTGCCGTCCTATCAGTCTGTCAGCCTGAACAAGCCTAGCCTACTCAATGAACTAACTAAGCACACGTCGACCTCATAACCTCAGAAATAGACACTGCCCTTAAACAATCGACTGCTTCACCGTTTACATTTCAATGAATTTGTGTAATCTGTACTTTCCGTATAATAACGTCAACTGGACACGTTCTCATATCGACTATACTAGATTAGTACACCTTACATTGCCGGTAATGGTTGATCTTCTTACTGCTTGAAGAGTAGTCACTGCAGAGGAAAGCCACGAACAATCCGATCTATAGATTCTTTTCAGTTTCAACTGAGCGCGCAGGAAACCCTAAAGCTTCAGAGGGTATCGATATAGTGAGCCCGGATATGAACGCAGTAACGCTCCTTTCGACTAAATGAGTGCTCAACGGAATGGGGCTATACGTCTCGGTTAATGGGTTTTTTGCCTCGAGGAATGTTATTTCATCTCCGTTGGTAGCTTATAGTCTACAAATAATGACATCTCAAGCAGAGAAAAGACTTCAGCCAGACACGAACTGTACTGCAGGGATATTCGCCTACAAAACTGCCGTAGGCGTGATTGTGTCCTTCTCCGTAAGTTGATGTGCCGCGCCTGCGTTGTCGAACTTTAACGGATGCAATTATTAGCTCTTACTATTGCCGAGTGGTCCTGTTGATTGTCCTCATCTAGAGCGCGCACCCTTAAGCGTTTGTCACGTCTATCATCTATGGCAAACTGAATTGATTCCTATGTACTGGCAGATAGTGATGGAAATGGGACGGTTCCCACCCTGTCACTAGACCGTCCAAGTGACGCCGATGACGCCGCTCAGAAGATAAATTCGGTGGCCGCAACTTTTAGTTGACAGCATTTGGTGATTCGATGTAATTCGATTATTCGTGAAGGTCGCCATTAAGCTATAACGAGCACTGCAACAATATGAATAAACCATGCTTCACTATCGATGGCCTACAGCTAAACACGGTGCCGATATAACGTTTTCTACTCTACTAGTCCATTACTGTGTACTGTCTTTAGCATATGGTGCGTTCTTGCTCTGATTTGATCATATGCTCTCGTCTGTCTATAATCTGATGCTGTTCTATTTGCATGCCTGCGTCAACAATCGCTTTTTGTCAGTTCTCTGTTAATAGTAACAGCAGCAACAGCAGCAGCCGCAGCAGCACGAGCAGGCGAAACGCAAAGGCACCGCTGGCGTAAATGCATTATTCATCCGAGCACGCTATTGCCATATCCAGCGTCAGCATAAGCGTTTATGTTATTCTTACCACTCAACTAGGGCGACTATTATTAGTATCAGTACCACTACAGCTGCTACTACTTGTCAACCAACGCCAACCTCTATCCTATCACTAGATCCGACTGGCTGTTATTGTTACTACTATCAGCTCTTCTTGCCCATTGCGCAGCCAACAGCATCAACACGGATAGCAGCAAAAGCAATAGCAGAGGTGCCACGATCGAGAAGCCCTGTGGACTCCGCCGATTGCGTCGGGTGACGTGAACTAACGTCCAATGGCAACTCGGCTACAAACGACTAACAGGGAGCAGCCGATAACAAACAACGCTTTTGAGGTGGAGTAAGTAGTAAGCTTTGCACTGATGCTCGTCGCGAGAGTTAGCGTCTCGATGATTTCGCTAGCCATTTGAAAATACGGTCCAGGACTGCTTTCGTGGCCACGTTTCCTCTATCAGAGTGGGCTAAGCCGCTTGCACAAGCAGAAACTTGCCGCTGGCGGAACTTGGTGGCAGTTGGCTTTTAGAGCGGCCCTGAAAAAAAACCTTGTTGGAATGGTGCTGGACAAAACGTTCCCTGAGAACATGAACATGTCAATTCACTGGAGTTATCGTCGTCGCCGTTAAGTGCGCTAATCTATTGTTTTTGTGCTCATTGTTATCGTTTGTGAATTAGTCGGCGCTTGAGTGGCGATATGTCTTGAAATGATGTGAATGTAAGCGGATGCTAAGGGAATACTGTTTCGAAGCGAGCTTCCATCGGGAACCTGCGGAGTGCGATAGAAGTTTCATGGGTGTGTACCACCAATAAAAGAATGAGATACAAAATGGGAAAGGGAACAGTTGACAGAGACTCAACGTTTAAATAGTAATGCTACGAAAACCTGTCTTACTTTACGTACCTTCTACAGGAAATGAGCGAAATCGCCACCTTCAACGTAGACGTAGTTTTTTTTATGTAGAAGTTGATGAAAGCGTCTTTATGTATCGTTATCGATTAAAATACTAGTTACGATTTTATTTGAGCCTGCACAGCCTGAAACTTCCTAGGGTGCTAAGGGGGCCAGTTCTGTAACTAGCATGACAGCATTGACCAGTGGCAATCTAACTGTTCTTCTTGCCATTTTTCAACATATGAAATTTAGCCCATTGCAAAGTACAATGTGCAACTATCCCCCTTGCCAGGGATGTGACCCTAAGGGAGCGGTCATCCCAAATATTCGGCATTTTGAATTAATTCGGTCCTCGATCACCAGAGAAACGAACCTTTTCTAAATTGATTGATTTGTCAGATGTAGCAGCTGGCTCGACCGCCGTACGAAATCTGGGTGCTAGCGATTTTGCCTTACGTTTGCTAGCCTTGCGACTCCGTGTGTTTAACGGAAACAGGGGGGAGAGTCGCACCGTTCATGGAAATATCGTGGAAACTTACAGCCACGGCTGCCACTGTCACTCACCTGTTTTTCCACGATATTCGAAATCTCGTTATTGACTCGCTGATGTGCGGCTGCCCCACTGAGAGGCATTATGGACGTTGAGTCTTACCTGGAGAGCGTTCGTATACAAATGTCATGTGAGGGTTATAGAGTAGAACTATAGAAAATTCATAAGAAAAAAGTGAGGTGTCTATTTTTTTGGAAATAACATAGAAGTTTCATTCGAGTTCTCAGCTCGAGCCGGATCTTGTTGATATGATTTAATGTGTTTCAAACAGGATTTGTACGAAAGGTTTCGTCTCAGTAAAAAAACAAAAATTGCGAATTAAAGTGTGTTTAGGCTGCAGTGAAGTAGAAGTGTTTCAAGCGCTGCTATAAAATCGACATAGGACAGAGTGACTTCTGCATTCCTTCTGGGCCAAGTGCAGCTCCTTTCTCCGTTATGTATTATTATAGGGCAACTCCCTCTGGTAAAGGTTCTCTTTCATTTGAAACGGCTATTAATTAATTTAATATAGTAGCTAACTGTTTTTCATTGTTTTATTCTTTGTGCACCGAACGTCTTCGTAAAGTTCGTAGTGGTAGATGTCAGCTATCCGTTGAGTTTTTTCGAAATTCGGCGTCATTCGGGCTTGCGCGTCGCTGTCAACACCTCGAACGCCAATTAGCGGAATAACGATGTGCGAGAATGCAACGCCTTTACTCATATTGAACTAGCACAAAGTCTATTTCATCTAAGCTAAATAAATAATATATAGAGTCAAAGTACATTAAAATCGACGCGCCACCTCAAAAGATTACATACTTTTGCTTCTTTTCATTGTTTCTATTAAACAGTTTTTATTCGACGTTATTAATGACCCAAGAAAGTAGTTTGGAAAACGTAACTGTTCAATGTCACTCGGAACAAGCTCGTTTCCCACGTGAACGTACCCCACAAATAAACACGTCAATACACAAACACTATGTATAGATATATGTTGAATTGAATGAGGTTGGCGGGCGGAATGAACATTAGTGACTGCGGACAATGATCTTCGAAGGCAATTTGAAGTTCAGCTACTTGTAAGCGATGCACTTGCGATGTGCTGGTTAGACCGATACGCAGGATACAGAACTAGACAGAGCTGGGTAACAACGCTAAAATAGGCTAAATCTCGGCCTATGCTTTTAAATGACAGCAGTGGCATTTGTCAAATATCGGCCGCCCGCTTTGTCATTAAGTGGAACTTTCGAGCTCCTTGGGTTGAAAACGTACATTATTCAGCCCCATTAATAGTGGAACTTCAAATATTGAGAGAAGTGGGGCTTCGCAGAACCAAATATGAATGTTTTCGATCACGTTCAGTTTGTTTATGCAGGCCTTTGAGCTCCACCATCTGACACAGATGATGACACATCTGAGACAGATGATAACAAAAATGCGTTTAACGAAATCAGAAGCTAGAGCTTTTAGTTCGATAACAAAAGCAATCAATAAGAATGTATTTATGGTATTGGCGATATAGACACTCTCTGACCTTTAAGCTATCATGGATATGTAGGGCGTCTTCACCGAATTGAACTTCCTTGGAGAACCCATTTCCCATTAATCGCCACAAACGGTATCTCGCATTGTGTGCCCGAGATTTAAATGATAAGATCTTATAGCTCACAGCTGGGTCGGGTCGAATTTTCACGGTCGCTTCGTCCATACTCCTAGGTTTCGTAAACTGTCAACATGTCGATCCCAGATCAAATGTCAATGATAAATCCTTATGCCTTGTCCCTCTGCGATTCGAGTGGGCTCTTTATATTAATGGGTGGTGTATTCGTAATAGATAGTATATGTAGCGTTCCTCGGCCATGTTTGGGCAGAGAGATTCGGTATAGCCATAATTTTGCCAGCCCAGGACGTATTATTGATAACAGTGAAGGCTAATTGTTCGGCCATATAATGCAGTCAGCAAATACAAGGGTCGTCAAATGTTCTATTAATTTTAGATACGTGTCATACGAATAAAGAAGTAGGTCCACCGATACAGCGGTAGCCCACTTGTCCTACGTCCTATGTTTAAAAGCAATGTTGTAAACGAATTTGCATATAGCTTTTCTAAAATTAACGAACCCACTTTTTTTCGTTTTTTTTTTGGTGTCTTATCGAGCATATTTTGCTAACAGATAGCTTGGACATTCGCGCGTTCAGACAGCTTACTTTTGAAAGCTTGATCAATACCCAATAATAGACTGTTTCAAAACTTCTCAGTTCATCGGCTTTGTCGGAGCTACCAACGATTCGCTAGCTGCAGTATTGACAAACAGATGGCAACATCTTGCTAGCAGTTACGGCTACTGACTGTAAGACGCAATTTAGCCCCATGCGTAGACAGCAGGGCTAGGCGTTGGTACACTCTATTCACGCACTGATTTTTTTATTCAAGCAAGTCTATAGACGGAAAATGGATCGGCTTGAAAGCTGTACATTTCAGGTACACAGGAGTTCTACTATACTGGGAAAAAGATTCAACAAGAACAAGCTGAGTGATGAGAATAAAAATCTTATTGAGTACCTTTCCATGTATTCAAAATATATTTACAATGTAACTATTTTTTCTTTAGATCAGTTAGAGTGATTGTTTACAGTTGCACCATTCAAGTAAATATCAGTGGCGCGCTTAGCTAAGCGTTGTATAGGCTTGTTGTGGCTGGAAGCGATCCGTCATCGGGTGTTCCGACCGAAAGCCATAAGCTTATCGTACCCAGCGATTCAATCAACAACAGCGACTGTGTTCGCCCTTGCCCCTAGTAGCAAGGGTGAACACAATCGTGGCTGGAACATAGTGTACTGAATTAATCTCCGAAGGGCTTTGTTACAGAGCGTTGAACACATGTTTGCCCGCCTTGATTAGGGATTCCACTGTGCTCGCTACCCATCCAATGGCTAATATAAATATGACACATAAAGTAATCAAAATTGACTAACAATGAAGACATGACGGTACAAAATGCCAGGCATGCTCTTCCGTACCCCAAAAAGGCCGATTTATGCCTCACTATTACAACAGCGTTACGTAACTGTGACAGCCGGCTTAAGTAGGGAAGAGCAGAATTTTGTTTGCGAAGAAGTAGCATTCGGATGCGCGGAAAGATCAAGCTTCCCCTAAATGGTACTTACTATACTTGTTTCAACAGTCTAGAAGATCAACACCGGCCTTTTCCAATGGCTTCTATTCTTTCCTCAGCCTGTGTTCATCAATCGTCAGAGTTGAAGTCGTCGCCCTGGCCTTAGTAGCCGGATTATGTGATTATCTGTGCGTTTATTTTGTAAATTAATGATTGTTTGCTTGTTATTATAGACGTTGTATGATTTTTGAGCCTGCTGCGTTCGTACTGTAGTATCTTTAACCATGGCATGCGTTGATAATATGTTTAGCTTAGAGGTGTCTTAAATATTTTAAGGAAGTCCTGTATTTCTGAAGAGTAAACAGCTATTTGCATAGGCCCGCTCATACAAATATTTTCAAATCTGGAAACCGTATAGCAAGCTCGTTACGGTTTACCAAATTGAAATTGCGCAAGGAACGTACCACTCATCACCTTTTATCCTATACTTAATCGATCGGTACCAGTGACACAAATTTTCGCACACTTTAACGTGCTTAAAAGCCGAGACAAAACAGATGCACGGACATTACGCTCGCGGTTTTCCGTGCCGATCAAACGTTGTGTTAGAGCTTTTAAGCTGTTGTGTTGTCCTATTTCTCTGGGATTCTAACATAAAACATCTCCATTGCGATCAGACGAAGGCGCAAAACAACATCGGCCTAATAAACTAACTTTGTCCAGACGAAGTCCAAATGATATTAGTCGATACTTTGCCCGTTTATATGGTTATTGTACGATAAGGTTTATTAGGGCTTCCTTAATAACACTTTGCATACCACGCCTTCCAGTGTGCTTCTATCAGACGCCAGTACACGATCTGTTCCAATCTAATTAATTGTGTTTGTTATTTTCCAGAAAGGTCATGTTCCTTTTTTAAAAAAAGAACAGTTGTCAGGATTTGTAACACGTCGCGTTAAATATTATATAGGTATGCTACGTTTAACTATACAGAAAATTGTTATTATTATTTCATCTGAGTTTCGCGTCGTGGCCTTCGAATTAAGGACTGCTTGTGTTGTTCTCCTAACTAACGTTAGTACGTTTTGTGTATTTCAGCGCCAATCAACAATGAAATTTGCAGATTGCTACGTGCCATACTACATTACACAATGTTTACATGTTTTCATGTAACGTAGGGTCAAATGAATTCACTTTCGTTCGAACACGAATACAAGTTTAACTTGCGAACTTTTCGTAACGAATTTGATAAAATGGTACCATGTACTGTTGAATTAACCTAACCTAGCATGAGTATGATATACATATGTGCCTATACAATGCTTTTTTAGGAAAGATTATCTTGTATTGATCAACTAGCTTTATTGATAAATTTAATAACTTGATCTTTTTCTCATTACCTGCTGTACCACTACGACCAACAGGTCCATTACGTTTGATATTTAAGCGCATCGCCAAAACTCTGCCTTGATTTAGCCATAAAACGTTAGGTCAATTTACCTAATTTATCATCGGTTAAACAACGTGAAAGCTAAAGGCCATTTTACTTTTAGAATCTGCTCTGTTTAGCATGGTTTTTGTTTTAGTGCTCTGACCCCTCTATCAACCAATATTCGTTTAAGGAGTCCTTGACCGTGGCATTTGTGCTGCCCCCTCTTTCGAACTTGTCCTTTTGTGTTTCATGGTTGCATAGCAGCGTATATCCAGCGGCAGCAATCTATTCTAATACATTTTTTAGCTGAGGGTATCAGGTTGGCGTGCCGGCGCTGCTGCTGCTGCTGTTGTTGTGCAGTGGTCACCTCGGCTACGTTTTTACGACCCCTTTGCCCCACAGTCTGTAAGCGCCATGCCCTTGTCGATAAGCCCTTGCCTGCTTCAGAGTTGTCGTCCCCCTCAGCGTCCGTCTCCTATCGGTCCAGGGTAAAATCGGAGCTCTGCTCGAATACAGCCACCGGGGGCATCGACTACTGCTCTCTCGAATGCCAGCAAATCTTTACACCAAAGCAATGCTGCTTCAGCCCCTCGCAGTCGCCATGTTGCCCACCTACAATCAGAATTTGCTTTCACACCTCGGAAAAATTAAGTGAACAACACACTTCAATAAGATTTTCCTTGTCAATCGCAGACAGTAGCTCTACTAACCGTTAGTATAATAACAGAAGATAGATAGGGGGGACATTTGTGCGTGTCTGTGCTTACTGGAATTGTTTTGGTGTGTACTCGTTAATGTACATACATTCGAGTAGATCGTGCGTTCCATCTAACCATAGAAAATTTTCATTTAAACCTGTTGTATGGTGCTGTGATGTTCCGCCCGCAGACTGTCAATGTCCAATTGGCTAAATGAAAACAGGCCAATAATGCTAACTTCCGCAATAGGTAATAGAGGGCTTGAGAACCGTACACCCTGATGACGTCTTTGGGGGAGGGGGCCTCGTAGGATGTGCGTGTGAATCCCCCGTAGCGAATCCTTACGAAACAAAAATAGTTTAACAAATATTTTAAATCGGATTTAACGCTATGTCCGCTCACGCAGTGGGTATGGAAGGATAATGAGGTGAATGCCTGAGAGTTACTAGAACGATACTAGAAAGGAGAATTCTGTTATATATACGAAGTCATAGATAACCATATTAGGTTGTGCCGCTCAGTTAATTATCTAGCTGCTGTTAAAACTGTCTAAAAATACAGACTCTCTCCATTACATTTAAATCATATCAAAAGCCAAAATAAAACAGAATACGTTATGAAATTATATATATAATGAATAGTTTGATCTTCTCTTACATTGGGCCAGCGTTTAGTTAATGTAGGACAAGTTTTCACAAGATACACTCAATCAACATTGAGCAGAGTTCTGCAATGGTTGAAGATGCATTTCCGATATGAATTACTATACGTCGACTGTTGAATTCGAACCAGGCCTAAGTTCTGGCTTCAAAGTCAACGGCATCATACTTTTAGGTTTATCAATAAAGCTACTTGATTTTTACCTATTGTTCAACAACGTCTCGTTGCCCTCGTAATCGAAATTTTATTTGATAAGTATTAATCAGCTTAAGTTAATAAAGGAAGGGTGGCATACCTAATACCCGTGATAACTTTGTGTTCGTATTTAGTGTGTCTCGAGGCGGAGATGTCCTCGTCTACCGACGCCGACCACGACGTCATTGGACGCCGTACTCTTCCACTGCAAGAAGAGCCTGTGGCTGAAGACCAAGTAGATGTTGAGGGCGTACTTGACGAAGGATCAAGCGATTCGGAAGAGGACAAAGAGTTGACACCGCCTCCTTCGGACCCGAAGGAAAAGGCTAGAAAGCATGCGGCAAATGTAGCCTGGGAAATGGCAAACTCAGAGGCCATTTTTGTTGACGCGCTCAAACTTATAGTAGAGGTAAAATAGCGGTCTCTCTCTACCTCTCTATGTATATATATATATATCTATCTGTAATTGTTTGTGTAATTGACAGCAACCTGTGGCTCACTGCCATTATTAAAAGATATCATTCATATCGTATAAAGAAAAAGTCAGATAGTCAGCGTTTGTTTTTCCATTGCCTCGATCGCGCTAATGTGTATAGTTGATCTATTTTAGGACTTTAAAGGAGCTATTGATAATGCACGTGAAGAGCGCGGCGATATCTTGGTTCCAAATGAGGTACTCGATCCAATCCTGCTTTATCTACCCGAACTATTAACGTTCTCTTCAGATCTCCTAGATAAGCTCGACGCGCGGGTCAAACGCTACAATATCGATCATGTACGTATCGTAAACTGCACTTCTACTGCCTAAACGAATATCGCCGCTAGCATTATCACGCATCGCACGAACGCATCGCCGTTAGCCCATCTATGTTATGCTGAAAGGAACAAAAACGAACGTTTGAAAAACTGAGGTGTTGTCCTTGCGTACGGTTAACTAGTTCTATTCGAATTGCCAATAGCTTGATAATGTGTTTATATAAATTTATCTTGATAACTGTGAACGCAGGTAATCGCTGATGTGTTTGTCAAAATCGGACAATTTCTAAAGCTTTACTCACATTATATCAAAGACTATCAGACCAGATGCAACTATCTAGAGGATGCGCGAAAGCGCTATCCGGAATTCAATCAAGTTATGCAACAATTCGAGGTACGTATATGACTTGATCAATTGCCATATGCCGATGGGGCTTACATTGCTAATGTTATGGTCTTCACTGAGCTATATGTTAATCTGGCCGATTGTCTCTAGACACTATTACACGTATCTCACGGTCACGTTCGTAATTTATTTTTGTTTTCTTACTTACGCACGAGTAGGCGAGTCCTCGATGTCAAAAGTTGACCGTCGTACAGCATATGCTGAAACCGGTACAACGAATACCGCAGTATCGTCTGCTTCTCAGAGACTATCTTCGAAATCTTGACGAAGAGCATCCTGACAGGGCCAACACGGAGACCGCTCTCCAGATCGTCAGCCAAGTGGCAGACCATGCAAACGAAGCTATTAAACAGGGGGTAAAAGAGTAAACACACATCTATTCTATATATTCAAGATGCGATTTGGCTCGTTTAGTTAACGTTTTCTCTCAAATCCCTGCTTCATGAGCGACATTTCCACAAACAATTATGCTTTTCAACTAAATTCACTCCGAATCTAAATAATTAAATAGTATCTCATTTGTAAGCAAACAAACAAACAAAAGCTTTGAACGGGATCTTTTGTAGGACTCTTTTAGAAAGGCTGAAGAATATCTAAGATTATTACTTAAAGGGAACGTGACGATAAAGGGTGAAGGATCTGAGTGCAAAAGTGTTTAGTCGTATCTTGATAGAAGCGTTCGATTTTTACCATTCCCTTTGTCGATGCATTAACGATACCACATATAGCGGGACCGTTAGAGGGTTACTGGAACGTAATCGCATAAAAAAATCTTGCTGAATTTAGAAGCGGTCAACAATTTTCTCTTGTTGTTTTAAGAACTATTAATTTGAACTTTAGCTTTCGAAGGTTTTTTTTTCACTAATGTCGAAGTATTTCAGACCATTGAAAGATAAGCTTTATAAGAATCAACGTTTGTGCTATTTGTGTGCGCGCTTTTGGCAATACAGCTCGACTGTGGTTAAAAGAAGAATGCCTAGAAATTTTATTTTTATTTCAGGATAAACATGCGGAAATGGTTCGTCTGCAAAACAGTCTCATTACGCCGCGTTTTAACGTATTTACTCCTGGTCGAGTAAGTAGTACTATTTACAAGCTTTATGGCTGGAAGTTGCTGTTGTACATTCTCCTTGTACGAAGTGTCGATTGATGACGAAAAACTGCTTCAAAAAGCGCAGGGTGTGGCTTTGCCTTTGTGCCATGTAATCAAAACTAGTCAATTTTCGGCAGGCTACCACTGGAACAGGAGCCCCTTGGACGCATTTGATATCGCTGCGTCCTTCGTAAATCCATCTGCTTTCTTGTCTTTTGTCCTTTTGCTACAGATGCTCATCAAACAAGGGATATTAGAGAAGCATAATCGGAAAACGTCGCAGCAAAAACAAGTCGTTTTGGTAAGTTGAAGTAAAATTGGATATGTCTATTTGGCTTAAAGGTTTAACTTACAAGTAGTTCTCGAAACTTTAGTTAAGCAAGCCGAGAATGCTCTTCTATAAGTGTTCAACCGAGCGGAATCTGCACAGTTCCACATAGTACCCAACGTCGTTTAAGGCTTGTGACGTATAGAGTGGAGTTAATAACTTGTTTCAAAATGTCAAGGAAATCCATATTTATTCTATAACTTGAATAATTTACAAACAATATTATACAGCAAATGAAGTTTCCCATCTAAATATAGGCACGAACTTTGTACAGCCCCAAGTATACAGATACAATAAAGTTCCTAGCTTAGTTTAACAACAAATGTCGAAATGTACTCTGTACATGTTCCTAAGTTAGAAACGCTAGACAAAGCACAAGAAATAAGATTTCTTAAAACAGACAACTAACTTTACATATGACATTGTAAAAATTACAACGGCTGTGTGTGAAAGGAAGTAAAAATTATTTAGCTTAATTTCACATAGTGTAGGTTTGGGCTCTAAAAATGGAGCTCACTCGTTCATCACTTCTTACCTTCAACTCCTGTAAAGTATATATGCATCCAACTTAAAGTTTTAAGCTCATAAACTTAATGCTATTAATCAACGTAGTTTCTTTCATAACGTTACGTTATGATCTTACCGAAATTGATTGATTTCGTAGTAAACCACCGAAACCTGCACCACAATCATTAGACCCTATTCCCTTATAGCATTTTACACAACTGAGTTTTATCCAAACTCTCTACCTATTAATCTCTATTAGAAACGTCCTTGACAACTACCAAGTAAATGCTTTTACTCTCTTGGGTACCGTTTTGCGAGTATGATATCGTTCCAGAAACGCAAGCGCGCCCCCTAGTTTGAGCTATTAGTTGAACCGATAGGTTAGCGATCTCATGCTTCCAAAACGCTGGAAATCGTTAAGTAGGCCGAAGCAGATATTTTGAGATTCAGTAATACTGTAAGCGCCGCTAGGTAATATTAACAACGACAGCGTGGGGAGAGGGGGGGGGGGGTAACCTTGATCTATATATTTTCAAGCAAATGCCAAAAGTCATTTGGACGGAATCATGTAACCGTCGAAGTTTGTAGGGCAAAACAAACTCTACCACAAAGTGAGACGCTAAACGCGCAGTTTATCAGTGCAATCTAAGCTACAGGTGCTGTTACTAGGGTACACAAGGGAAGGTGGGGTCGTTATGCGGTAACAGAGCAAATCGTACGCGCTTCTCGTTTACAGTGCTACGGCGACTATTGTGGCCTGTTGTAGAGTTGTGAACGAATCATAGACTATGGGTCTCACTGAAAAACAAGAAATTGAAGCATATTTAGAGTTGAACGGTCAGTTAGTCGATAAGATAGTGAATTGTTGTTTACAGAAAAACGTGCCTATCCTTGACCTCGCGGTCATGTGCCTTTAAACCCCAATCACTAGAGCTGTGGATAAACTGATAGAGACGCTTCCACTAATAAATGGAAAGAATAAACTTTGTCGATTTATTGCTATAAACGGCATGAGGGTTCACTCTCCGTGTGAAGACCTACTCGAGTAAAAATCTGGAGGCAGCAGATCGATGGGTTACTACAGATCATTGTGATTTATGGTCCCGCCGAATTTCTTTTTTTTTTTTTCTAACGTTTATGACTATTCTTTTTGCGTGAACAAATTCTCAAAACCATATTTTCTGTATAATATTAAGAACTTGCCCACAGTAAAAGGCCTAGCCGGAGTCGGCCTTGCTGGACTGCTCTGGCGTTTCTTCAACAGACTTATGAAACAGCATGGAGATCGTATACCATAGTAGCATTTGCGAACGCAAACTTGGCCAATTGTTCTTCGTTTTCAGTCATAACTTCAACGCCTGCTAAGGTATAGTACCTGGGCATTATCTTTAAACTCATCAAGCGTTCATCGGAACCCCAGCTTCGCGATGTACTTGTTTAAGTAGGAACGCAATAAAGAAAAGGCAGTCACTAGAAGTTATCTTGTCCGAATGTTACGTTCTGATAGGATGAAAGGCCACGCTCCCAATTTCTGTATCCAACAAAAGTTTTCATACAGTTATCAATTTCCTTGCTCTAATAAAGAAAAATTGCGCTGGCACAAACTTGACAAATCACGAGCTAGCGCCCCGTCCCATAATCGTAACTCTATGGTGGTACTGCCCCCGGCAATTAGTCAGTCTAGCTCATTTGCTTCTTCACTCGATATTTCGTACGCCTATTTAATTTCCTCCTATCTACCACGATATGTGATAACATTATCGTAGTTTCTCTGCATATGCACCCGTATGTGTTCGTCGCTTAAACGCAGTCCGTGACGACTCAGCACGACCTATTTGCGTTGACGTCAATTTTCTATCTTCCGCAATTCGGTAAACACACACAGATATACACGCTTAAACAGTGTGTTTCCATTTTTAAACATGCCTATTATGGTAGTGTGAATAGACGCGCCATCGTGTCACGGGTTTCCGCTGTTTCACTAACATTTCGACGGGCCCCAGCGAACGTCATACTTGACCACAATATGATCGTTGTTCCGATAGTCACCCATCTAACCCCTGGTGGAGGCGGCCCGCTGAGTCTACGTCATTACGATGGGGCAACTGTCGCGACCGTTTAGTACGTCACGGCTTGCATCGATGGCGATGGCCATTTCAAGAAGAACTCTAGTACATTAGTCGTAGTGGGTACACGTCGCAATGGTAGTAGAAACGGGAACAGTAGCAAACATCGTTGCTGTTATTGACACTCTACAACCGTTTTAAATCTGGTTGCCTTCACGACGTATGCGCTATTGACGTTGTGCTCATAGCTGGGGGGGTCTCCCTTATTGATGCCGTAATCGGCAGTAAACATGGATTCGTTTCCGGCGAAAACGTTAGGGAGTATCATTTGGTGTAGGTCCTGGCAACGATCACATGTCATTCTGCGACACTCGCAATAAAAACACAGTTGATGAACCACATATGACACCTTATCTGTATTTTTGTAGGTATCTTTTGATTTTTCAAATTTCATCGGTTCAGTCATTCGAGTAATCGGATCAGCGTAGGGGGGGGGGGTCTGGGGACTTGGAAAACAGAAAGTCGGTGGAAGCGGTCATCGGATGCAGGAGTACCTGGGCTCTAACAACGCCACAGTTGCTCATAGTCGCCATTCGCATGGTGATGAAGATCTTGATCTTTCATTTCTGATAATGACAAAGCGGTGGCCTATCTACGTGAAATAGTGAGGACTTCGTGGACGCATACAAAATCTCTGCCAACGTGGTGGATTAGAACGCTCTACTAGCAGCCCACGAAATTCTGCGGTTGGTAATGCTGAAGAGCGGTAATTCAAAATGGTTCTTGAAAAAGATGCGGTGCGCTAAGCACAAATGATACATTACAATATTTTTGTTATGACGTCAGGTCGAGAGAGTGGAAAATATCAAGGTTAGCATTTACTGATAGAACAGTACGAAATAGCCGTTACGATTCGGTTTAATAATTAGGAAGCGAAGTGTACACGGCTGTCCACTGTGTTAATCGTCTTTGGTCACCATGCCCTGTCAAATTTGCCATTTTGTGCATTACCAAATACTCACAATGTCGTAGGCTTAAATTTTATAGCAGCTCCTGTCGTTCATGCTATATGTTCATAATAGCCCTTGTTTCTTGTGCCTAGATTGAGAAGTTGTGGGCTATGGGAAGTCCACTGCAATCAGTAATTCTCGTTCTCTCGTTCGGTAATGACAGTTACTTAAGTTGCTATCAAGAGTCAGTGGCGGTCTGGTACCGGTTGAACTGCCGGATAATATGATAGTTGGTCGTCTATCTTGAAACGGTGTACAACTGCTGGAAAAGTAGTATAGTATCAACGTCACGCTGAGGCCAGCGCCGACGCTACGTACATCTATGATTTGCAACGCACAACGTTGCAAAAATAGATTGCCTTCTGGGTTTCACTAGCACCAGTATTAGTATCTGAAAGCAAATCGAATACTGCTGCAGTCGCTCACCTGAAGTTCATCATTTCTACTGAACTCTGCTTTTGACTGGCACTTTTGGACAAAAGCAGCTGATGATTGGAGAAAAGCCACTGTCCATATAGAACTTTGATCCCATATGGTTAATACGTTATTGTGTAGGCCATTTGTTAGTTATCCATTGTATTTTGAGATAACTGTGTACTTCGACAGATATAGTCAACTATAGAACAACAATGATACTAATATGGAGCAGAAATGTTCGATATGAGAAGGATCCACGATGAAACTAAGCACATAATACGTAGTACCATTGTCCTTTAGAATTAGTTATGTTGCATAGCGTAAAAAGACTTTAGCGGGAAATCTTCCGATCTGTATCTGGAGGGCCACCTCCTTTTGCGTAGACCGAGAGAGAGATAATCTAAGTCTTTCTCGTTTCCCTAGACAGACCTGTCCTAATTTTCTTGAAAAGCTGGCGCCGACGAAAAGGAATATGGTCATCCACATCATTTCAAACCGATAGTTTTCATCTCTGCCCATTACGATAAATTGGACGAAAACACGATTTCTGTCTGAATACTGATTTTTATTTTTTTTTTTCGTTCTCGATTAATAAATAATTCACTCTCACATCACTGGCCATATCGATGCGTACGTCCGCACCCTACTTATTTGCTTTTGAATTAGGATCGATTGCGTTTGTTGTTGTGGTCGACACCGTAGTACGTACTGGACCGTACGAAATCAATCCATTCACATGTAAATGATCGCGCTCTGTTTCACTATTGCTATAGGCAGCTTGGATCTTCCCTGATCGGTACTTGTACTGCACCAGCAGAGATCAGAGATTTGCAAAGGAGGACCAACGCAAAAGACATTGTTCTGCGTATTAGAGTTTGTACTAAACAGCTCAGAGATTGAGTCATTGTCGACTACCCGGGAACGTAGTTTTGGCAACGACCTTCGTTCTATCCCGGCGCTTTGTAGGCATTGTACCTCTATACGTATCCCTTGGATAATAACCTATATGTAGTAAAAGTAGCGTAGAACAATATCCTACAACTGCTAAGTCAGGCACACGCACGGTCTATTACTATCATCATTATTAATGTTATTATCATGATTAGTCTTACTATTATTTAGTAGTGCAATAGGCATGTGAGTGCAAAATAAGATAACTTTATCACAGATTGACCGGTTGCTTCTTGCATTTTGGCGTATACTCACTATACTGCAATCGACATAGACCGGCATATCAGGCTTCATTGGGGAGGGCTAACAATCCTGCTGCTGCTTTCACTTCCGGAGTCGTAGGTTGGGGGACTCACACTCGGTTCATTCGAGTCAGCCTTCGTTTCCGACGGGCGACCTGTCGCAGTCGTCGTTGAAGTTTTAGGGTTGAAGTTGGTTCGAGCGGAGACATTACGGTGGACCCGATAGCCGGCATACATAGGTACGGCCAGCAGCGCTACAAGAGCGAGGCCGCATAACGCGCCGACTCCTGCCAGCGGAATGGCAACTAGACGGGCGACAAACACTGCGCTCCGAATCAACTTTCTTTGGATTGGTTGATTTGGTTTATACCGATATTTACAGCCGAACACACTGAGTTTACTATGATGATCACCGAAAAACTTCATATGGCGTAATCGTTTGCCGCAGCGATAGCAAAAATGCGTATGGCAATGTGCGCAATGCATGTGGTCGCAACCGGACGCACGCTGGACGTACACTTTACAGCGGGGGCACTTTTGGGCGTTCCACTGACCTTCCGACACTGACTGTGCCCACGATTTGATTTGGTTGCGATGAACTTCACTGAACTGGTCACAATTAACGCCTTCGTGCGTCGCCTCACACCGAAAACACCAGTTCAGGCCGCACCGCGGACAGCTCGATCCGTCAAACTTAACCAGAATTAGCTGACAACGTGGACACTTTTTATCGCCCCGAAGCAGACGGGCGAACTCATCTCGTATACGAAGTCGTCCGTTACGCGTGAGTGCCCGAAGCACGTTATGAGCGGCTATTAATCGGTTGCAATTAACGCACTCGATTCGAGTGAAGCCGGCCATGATTCGTTCTTCCAAATACTCTTCGAAGCAGGGCAAACATATTTTGACTCCGCAGCAGGAGCGGGTCTCCAATACGTTTGAATCAGCAAGGCAAACATCGCACGTGTACGCAGCTTCAGCCACATTTTCGTGGTTGCCATTCCCGCGTTTAGCTGTTACCGTCGCCACTGCTGCCGCTGATGATTCGAGTTGATTTGGCGCTACCGTGTCCGTAGTTGTTATCATCCGCAGAGATGCGGACACTGATTTCCCACAAGAATCAGTCACAACCTGCTCTAGAAGCTGGAGTGTAGCTCGTTGAAGTTGTTGTTGTTGTTGAAGATGAAGCTGAGGCTGAATTCCGTCCGAAGAAGTACTCAGTCGAGTGGTTGACAGGGCCCTCGAAGCGCTGACAGGGGCCACGGTCGTTGTAGTTGCTGTTGTCGTTCTCGTCGACGACCGGACATCTTTCTCCAAAAGTGAACGTTTTAGACTTTCGACGGGCGCAAATGTACCGGTCGTCATTGCTGTTCTTCGAATTGAACTGCTGTACTGCGGCAGTCAGTTCGCAGCTCAACAACTGAACGGGTTGTCAGTCAGACGACAACGACATATTGACGCTAGTTCGCCTGCTGGTAGAATAGCGGCGGCGGCAGCTGTTATTGGTTTTCGCTTGCTGCTGGCAGTTCTAGCAGTGTGAGCGGTGTCGATTGCTGGTAGGGTAATGGCAACGGCAATACCGTTAGGCCGCCAGTCAGCCGTCCGTCATCCTGCTTCGCTTCGGCACTCCAGTGATGTCAGCGGCCGACAAAGTGAAAGAGGGGGAACGCGAGCGGAGCGCCGTGCTGTTACTGCCGTCGGGGAGTCGCCGACGCTGGCGGGCTGGCACAGCCGCTACTGACCCTGTTCCGTTGACACAGCAACCCAGCTAACAATCTTTACGACTGTGATCACCGTTGCTACACCAGCAGGCGATTGTTGAACGAACCGTTGCTGCGCCGAGACAGTGTAAACAGGAGCATCAAACGCAGTTACGCTAGCAAGGAAGCAGGACGCAAGTCGACGATAATAGCAACAGGTCTGCCGAAGGAAAAAGCACTTCCACTAATGGGTTTGTTTAAAAGGAGAATTTATCATAGTCCATGTGGTGTAGCACGCCGAGAAGCTGCAAGGCTCCGGGCTTAAGATCGCATCGAATCGGTCGGGACCCAACCGATCAGACGGTGCTAACCGGGTAACTGGCACAACGGGTCGAAGTGATGGTACTGGGTCGAGTAAACAAACCACTGACCGACGGGCTTGCTCTAAATGGATTGTGGTTTGACGTTAACTGGGCTACAATAGGAAGATTCGCACGTGAGAATGCCATGCGAACGTGGACGCTGCTATTAAGATCCTCAATGGGTCGACGACGTTCAGTCAGATGCTATCGGTAATTCTGGAATGCAACGGAAAAGAAGAAAACGAACGTCTATGGACGGGCACCGTGCGCTGAGTTACTGGATTTGAAACTGGATTGCCGCAACAAATATAAAATGAATGAGCATTTGGTATTCAGCAAGGTAATAATAGCCTTAGATAATACATTTGGACAGTTAATATTTCGCATAAAGGCTACGTCGCAAAACATGTTGACCGAAAACCGCAAATGTGAAAAGGCCTGAAACGTCGTCGTCTAGATTTAGCGCTTTAAATTGATTCAAACTTTCAATTAGCTCAATAAAATCTTCAAAGCATTGTGGTGCATAGCATGTACTTGTCTGTTTGTCTTTTTTTTATTACTTGCACCTTGACCCTTAAAGAGATACAAACAAGATCGCAGGTGTCTCAACCAGTCATGGAAGACCCGTTTTCGATCTTTGAAACAAAGCGGTATATATATATATACACTAGGATGAGTTGAGTTCGTAGCTACGATCTTATCAACGCTACTACTACAATTAGACCTTCTTCTAAGCAAGCATCTAAGATAAAATAGAAATGCCCTCACGTAAGACAGACTATCGAGAGCCCGCACGACGTATCGCGGTTGCCCCTAAAAAAGTTGTTGAGTGTTTATCAGGACACAACTGACCCAGATTTTACTTTTTTGCCTTGGTCGTCATATCTTCTAGCGGCTAGCGTCGTATTAGCATCATGCCTGACCACAAAAGGTAGGGCGCCCTCTCAGCCATGGCTTCAACTGTTCTATACGAATATCTACAATTAAATGGCGATAACCTGTGCTACTTGGCTCAAAGTCGGGGCTATGAGTCCTATCCTACCAACACTCGACGGCCAAACAATAATAAGCGAACCAATAGCATGCCCTATCTAAACGTTATCGTTAAGGGCCGATTTTAGCCATTACTAAGTGGTAAAGGGCGTTTCGGCCATATACCTTATTAATGCTTTGTAAGTTCTTCGCAGACCGTAGTTGTTTCAATGCTTTTGGCGGTGTCAGCCACACAGCTGGCGATTTTGCATCGACTAGCAAACTATTTTCTAAAAAAATATTTTATGACACCTGGGCGCAATTAAAGCTGGTAACGCCAACCGATTATTGATCAACATCCAGCAAAGAAATAAATAAACAATTATTCAGCAATATAACTTTATAAATTTACAGTACACCCTTATAATCACACTATGAATTTGTGCGAAGCAAATCTGTATTGGTACAACTGTACAAAAATACACAATTGATGTTTGGTCACAAACAAAACGTTTCGCTGATCCCAAACACTTATACGAAAGTTTATAGATATAAAAATTCTTACTATGCATGTTATTGTGTAGTCTCTAATTGTATCTAACAGTATATTGCGTTTCTCCGGAAGGAACCCATATAAATAAATCTAGTAGATCCCGAAGCTGAAGGGGCCTACAATAGATATTACCTAACTAAGCTCAGACAGATAAGGTAGCAGCTCCGGCTACAGGACAATGTTTAATTTTGCCTCGAATCGAATCTCCATTAGGTATTTATTGCCTGCAAAAATTTCCAGTTGATCCTCGGTTGCTATCTGGCACCACGTATATCAGTCGCGCCGCATACGTATTTCACTCCATATTGCTTAATTCGCGCCCGGGTGTATGGCTCTGAATATCTGAACTATCCGTTTGGAAACGAGAACTGAATCCGTATCGGTCAATGCACAGTCGTAACTCTTGTCCGCTGCTGAAAACATTGAGTTCACCTGAGCAACTTCGAAATGCACTAGGCGTTTATCCTATCTATTCTTACACGACTATTTGGTCGTCGCTACAATAAGAGAGACACTACTATGGGCCCGCGCCCCTACATCATCTCCGGATTCCTTGGAGTCAGGATAGCTGGGGTGAGGGTAAAAAGAGGAAAATGTGACCATTAAGGGTGGACAAGAGGAACGCCCTATTTGGACTCCTCCCAGGTTCTCGCGCTACGGACAAACGACGAAAAATGTGCCACACAAAAAGCTCTCTAAGTGCTTACAATAGTAAGCCTCATAGACCTCTTTCGTATAGAATTATAAGTATATAGGTTATACAGAATATATATAACAGTGAGCCGCAGAAATACCGCTGACAAGTACAAAGTTCAGTTCTTACTTCTGCGTGAGAATAAGTTCTTTCTTCCGCATGAGAATCAACGGCTTATCCAAACGTGTTTTCACTTAACGAACTGCCAGCTCAACAGGCGGATCCTTTCGATCTGTTCAAGTTACAAGGCTCAAATATATAGCAATTGCTGAGATAAACATAGAATTTCCGTTGCTTCACTAACGAATACCGAGATTGCGAAGTACTGAAAGGCATCAGCCAGTTACGCTCGAGACTGTTGCTATAATATACATTTAAGTAACCGTTTGCCAAAAATACGAAATTTGTTTCGAGCTGGTGTTATGTGTGTTTTATATCCACGGCTGTTATATAGCATGCTGATGGCACGATTTCCGCCTACCATTAGCGCGTTTTCTCGAAAAACTCTATCAGCTTAATAAACTAACGCTCTTACTTAGCACAACTTCTATATGTTAGAATAAATAGAAATGGTTCCCGCTTCTCCAAAAATAAGTATGTAGTTGCTCAAGAAGTTACTGACGAAACGATAACCGTTATCAAATTTTCACTTCTGGTTCTCTCTCTTTCATTTGCTGTCTCTCCGTATTTACGCGCGTGTTTTGGTGGCTGTTTTCGTGCTCTTGGAGCGCCGCATACTATCTGAGCTACAAAAGATCAGTCATTGGGCTTAATTACCTCTTGGTTTGTGAAGGTATCATAGATTGTATTACAGTCGATTGCCATTGGGCCCTTTCCTATAGAAAGCGTCGGAGGTCAATTTCCGGGGCAGCAGCTGGCCAAACACTGGAAAGCACGAGAATGCCTTTTTCAATAGCTCTGCTCTAGCAAGGGAATCGCTTGAGCAACTTAATCAAATTTAAAACAAGCATCTCGAACGAACGAAATATTATGCAACTTCACGCGCTAAGAAGTTACTTTTTCAGACCCTACTACGTACACATACAACCTCAACTTCAATAATGTACGTGTTAAATTCGATACGCTTGTCTAATAACAGCACTTGTGACAAACAATAACGTTTAAATATAATAACAGAAAATTACCAAGCACATTCTTAAGACGACCATGTCTAACTATGCTGTGCTAACAACGTGTCGATGTTCTGTAATCTTCATCGTGCCTGACGAGCGAAAAGCGGAAAGCTTAAGATATCACCAAGGTTTTCGCCAACTATAAGTAGCATTACATTAGTTTTATTACCACGGCTGATATAATTGGACAACCACAACTGTTCTTGCTTTGTGCTACGGAGTTAACCTTGCCTGGAAATTTTCTCAAGTGACCTACCAACGTACATTTTCTTGTCGACGCTTTCGTTAAATACAATAATAGTCAGTGTGCGACTCGTCTGTTGCTGCCGATCGTGACGACGATGCACGTAATGGCGATTACGTTCTTATGTGACATTTGTATGTCAACGGTATAGCATTGACGGTGAGCGGCGGTCCATGAAACGTTCGCCAGCTATAAAACGCCAGCAAGAAAGGGCTATTCATTTGATAGTTCCTTTACCTTTGTTCGGTGTCGTCCTAGTGCGCGGCAAGGGGCGACGCGTATCGCTAATTTTACTTTCTTCGCCCCCCGCTATAGGGATCGCTAGCAGAAAGTATTTGCACAAATATTAAACAGGCGAAGATGAACGGAAGTGAAGAATAGAAGCGCGTGATTAGATCTCCCAAAAATAACTTCATAATAGTGACGACAATAAAATAATATCACTCTTGAATGAACGGTTGACATCTATAGGGGCAAACGTTGAGCTGATCGTGGCAAAAATATAATGAATACTTAATTCTTCACAGCACAGTACTATTATGGCCTATTTAACTCCTTAATAGTACATGCTAGTTAACATTAAGACACTATTATGCAATGGAGGTTGTTTTTCCTTCCTGAGGGACAGAGGAGATCCAGCCCTTACAGACGTTACGTAAACATATGTAGATACTTGAACATTATCGTACTAGTGAGCAGCGTATAACTACGAGTTACTGGATACGTACCAACACCATGGGTAGTGCTGTCGAATCTTATTGAAGTACTTCTATCAGAAAATTCGTTTGGTGGCCACCGGTTGGTCTATGTAAGATTACACAGTACATCCATGTAGGGCTGGCTGTGCATGACTGTTCAGGGTTGTTCACGTACACGGTACGATCACAGCCACAATCCAACAGTAAATCTTCATTGCGACTATTCACAGTTGACAGCAGGAGTAAGTTGAAATTTAGCTATGCATTTAATGTATGGACATTAAAAATCAGTAACTTCTTACTAACCGGCCGGAAATGTCTGACACAAAAACCGCTAGACAGACCCACGGACCGCTAGGTGATCAGCTCCGCTCGGCGACAGTGTGTTGACAGTGGAAAATCTGACCCCAGTTCTGCTTCTGCTTTGTTTACGGACATGTCGTGTACGCAAAGCGAACGTGCCAAGCCGCTACCAACCCGTCATAACGGCTAAGTACCGACGGTCTAACCCGAGAAGTCGCTGGCCATAGTACAGAGCACTAACGATCCGCCAAGTTCCGTTGAAAGGCGTTTTTGAAACAAGCATTGGACCAACAGAGCTGCGCAGAACAGTGAAGAAGGTTACATGATTAAATAAAAATACGTGACTATGTGTTTAGAAAAGAATAATCAAGGAAAAGAGGATGAAGCTGTACGCTATTCTTTGAGCTTTCACGTGTCAATTTCTTTTGAAGTTCACACGGGGCGGGGGGGTACCGCATGTGGTCTATAAGGTGTGTGTGTATAAGCGTATAGCTAATAGGCTTTTGATACAATTTTTGTTACTGTTAAGGCCAACTTCTTTTTTTTTAGTATATCCTAGTAGATATTTGTAAGGCGTTTGCATGCTAAATTCAAACAAAATTATCATTGTTTTTAACGGAAGTTTCAATTTAAAGCCTAAGCCCCTTAAGAATTGTTTCTAAAACGCACTTCATTAAATTAGCAGTATTTCTAATGGTAAGTGTAATTGATGTGATGTGTGTCCTGCAAGATGTGTTACTCTTGCTCAAACACGTCTAGCCTAATTTTGAGTTATTAAGCTATCCAAAAATCCTACTTTTTGTAGAGGCGTTTTTTTTTTTTTTTTTTTTTTATTTATTCGCGTCTTTGCGTAACGATTTCGTGCTGCCGGGATACGCACAAGGAAATGCTGTCGAATCTTTAAGTACTTCTACCAAAAAACTCGTTTGGTGGTCACCGGTTGATCTAAGTAAGATTACACAGTACGTCCATGTAGGGCTGGCTTTGAGTTCAGTAGGCTGGTCTGAAAGTTTTGATCCCTGACCACGCCACAATTTGTGCGATACCTCGCTATACCTCCTTCATGAAGATTTCATTTTCAGGGAACAGATGCGACAACCTGAAGCCATTCTCACTAGCTCATCATCCTTTAGCGTGTTTTTGCCTTGATATACAAGTGCTTCGTTGTTCGAGAAAAAACTAAAATGGCCCATGATTGTTATTAATTGGAAAGCGAATCGGTGGAAGTGTCATTTAACCTTGAAATCTATATTCAAAACTGAAAATAACATTATATTATTAAGCTGTGACTTTTATATCTAAGTAGGGGGTCAGCAGGGTTGGTTCAGAATTATCTATAGTTGACTGTCGAGAATACGTCGACGCTTCAACACGCTTTCATCTATACGCACGTAGGCGGCCTTAAAGTATGCAAAATAATATAGGTTTAGCAGGACACATTCTGACGGTAGGCAAGTGACTGCGTGTTCCAGTGCGAAGAGGATCATTGACTTAAGCTCGGTATTGCTTGCGGAATATATGTAGAAGATAAATTGTTAATGCAAACTGGGACCTGTGTAATACTACGGTTTCACTGATTACGGAAAATGATATGTTACAGCATGGGCTGTGACGATTGCAACTTTCCACGCTATCGAACTTGGGCTTCTATTAATACAACTTTAATTCTGACAGATCTATAAACTCTCTGTCTGCCATCTGTTAGCTCAATACTGAAGTATAAGGTTAAGTGTCGCAAAGGAGAAGCTTCTCGTTAGCACAAAGTTGTGGTTCTTCCTAGCGTTAAAGTTTAGGAAACTGGTAACGGTCTGTACTGATTTGGTATGATGATGCATACACCCACCGTGCAATATTTCTGAGAAAGTTGGGAATACAACATCGCACTTTCTCATAAGTTTCTTTCCTGACTGTGCTTCCTGATACTGTTCGGACGTTTTCAGTTATCCTTTTAAGACGAAAACTTTGTGAAATGGAAGTTGACCTGAAAAGGTTTATGAGTATGAATATTGATGTCTAACGGCTGAGGTAAGGTAGATTAAACGCCGATTAGAGCTAAATTGTATCAATTTTTCGTTTTAACACTTTCAACTTTAACTTCAACTTAATTACTTCGCAAGTAATACAGGCGACATACGAACGATATAACAGTTAATGTAGCAAGTTCATATAGTAAATGACTACACTCTCGCTCTTTTTTTTTTTTTTTTTTGTTGTTTCGATACATTTTCAGTTCACAGACTGCCTCGTATACATGACGCAGGTGCAGTCCACCCTAAATACATTCAGACTCAATCGGGAATTGCCGCTGGCAGGTCTGACTGTTAAGCGTGACGAAGCATTTCCAAAAGAATTTCAGGTTCTTTCAGCTTCTAAATCGTTCATTCTCATCGCACAGTAAGTAAAAGTGTTTATATAATACGGCATCTTTAAACGCCCACTCAGATGCAGGTGGCTGAATGACGTTCGCTTTGAGAAATCTAATTAAGGAAGACGTATTCTGACTACAATGGTAGCAACTCCTGGCGAAAACGTTATTTAAATTTGTCTCTATCTATTACGTTATGTTAACTGTTTCTGATAGCAGTACATAGTGATAAAGAATCCGTCAGCTTGATTTAATATTTATTTTAGTCAATTACCGCAAAAATATTATTATCCAGAACAGATTTCTAAGAAGTATGTTTGGGTATAGTGCTATTAGAGTGCAACTCGTGCTTATAGGCAAAATTAAAATATGGGGACATTTTGTGAGCTCATACAGATTTTACATTGATGATATATCTATTATTAGAGTCAGAATCCAGCTCTCTTCACGCCAGTTCTGCTAGAAAATTTCACTTGATTACAAGTAATTATACCTAGTTTTTATATATAGTAATTATATCTAGTTAAGGACAGGTCCTTGATGCCCCGATATGCCTAAGAAATGATTATAACCGAAGGCCATAAAAAGATTAAGGCCGTTCTACTTACTGCTAATTAGACCTACAAATAATTTGCTGCTCAGGACTTCGGAGGAGCGCGAAGAATGGATCGAAGCGATACAGGCCGCCGTAAACGACTACAAACGAAAACGGCTTACATTAGTCACACCACATGAACATAATAATCAGGCCATTTTGGAAGGAGAATCGATAGTGCAGCAGGCCCCCGTTTGGACACCCGACTGTCGTGTCACAATGTGCCAGAACTGTCAGGCGGGTTTTACGACTTTCCGTCGAAGGCATCACTGTCGAGCATGTGGTAAATAATGTAGCGTGTGTTCATATAAGGACAGGCGTTAGCAGAAATGGCTCGGCTAGCGTGAATGTGCCTATTGCAGACCGGCAAGGCAATCTCGTGTTTTGTATTGTAGATATTCTTTCTTGACACTGTTATACTTATATGACAACCACTTCGGGCAAACATATATATAAGACATGATAGCTCATCTGTCTGATGGTTGATTGATTTTGCTCGTCCACATATATTTAACGTGAAACAGGACGTGTTGTCTGCGGTTCGTGCTCAAAACGCGAGGCCTGGCTAAATTTCAACGGAGGAAGCTTTGAGCGCGTCTGCGATAGCTGTGTCATCAAGTTTCGTGAGTAAATCATAAAACATACTCTTAGATCTATTACATGTATGTCATACACTTTTTAATGATTCAATATTTCTTATTAAAGATATTCAATTTAAAATAAGTGCACGCAGCATCAAAATGTCTTTCCTTCAAGATACGAACAAACTATGAGAATATAATAAAAATGTAACTTTGAATATGGTAAAAATTACTTTTCCAATTTTTTTCGTGGGAAATTATAGCGCGCGAACGACTAAAATCGTCGGCAGGCTTGCCTGAGGTCACCCCTGATACACCGACGCCAGATCCGTCGAAGTGTAACAACATAATTTTTGTAAGTTAATTTTCACGTTTGGTTCCCTTGAATGGCGCGTAAACTTGTCGAGCTGCATAGCATTAGTGTTCACAATGAAAACAGACACATGGAACTAAGAGAAAGCTGAGAGAGTGTCTTCGAACTTTTGTTGTCGAACGAATTGTTTTGTGTACTACTACATTCGTCTCTATTTGTGCAAAAATTGCTTTGTTATTTAGGAGAATTTAAGTTTCCATTTTCAGTCTCAAGTTCTGTATGCCAGAATTTCAGTTAGTACTGTCAATCCTGCTTACATACCCTTAGCCTGATTTATCTTAATTACAATTTTGGTAAGTGGCAAATTAGACCCTGATTATTGGTAATGATTTTATTGTTGCGTTGTCTTGCCTTGAGCAATAACCCCAACCGTCGTAACAGACTATCTGATACGTGCCCGTACATAATGTGTTTTATGTTCTAAGTGTCATCTTGTGCGCTAACAAAAACTCCTGGGAGCCAATTACCGAAAATAGAATTGTTTTTACGTGTGTCTTCTTTTAGCTTCTCCAACGTTGCGACTGGATGTTTTAAATCAAATGTAACGTTTTTTTTTCCGATTTTAGCTGGACGACGCAAGAATAAAGAGACAGGACAAAGAAAACGCCGTCCGGTTTTTGAATCATTGTTTTAAATCATCATCATGTTCGTAATATCGCGCTCGATATATTCTGTTCTAGTTCTCAAGGTGTCTAACGTTTCTGTGGCCGCCAGCTGTCCAGACCTGTCGTTTTGGTGCGAATAATCGCAGCGGAGTTCCTGTCATTGTGGTTACGCCCCCAGCCAAACACGAATGTTATGTGCGTTGTGACGTATTTTTCTTCAAACGAAAGAGATGCGCGTTGCACGAAATGGGGCGGTCTTCCTGATCGCACTGGGGGTTGTCTACAGTTTGCTCATTACCTCAGTCGTTCACATGCGCTCTAATTGTAAATAATGTCAATGCCTGCGCTGAGAAGCAAAAGACAATTAAACGTAGTAGTAATAGGATGCTGACATTTGTTGCGTAATTTCAACTCAGCAGAGAAACGCGTGGAAAAATGACTGAAGCAGCGTGTAGTGACAGGCTCCAGATATCTAGGCTTATGGGAAAGAGACTGTAGAAACGTGTATGGCTTAGGAGAAGACGACTAGTGAATAGTTGAGTGGAATGTTCAGTTGTCATTGGATGAGTATCTGACGTTCCGGAAAAATCATTTTTCACCAAAGGTTGTTCGAAAGTAGATCTTCCTCTGCTGGCTTTTTCGGCGCTTGTCTATCTTTTGCAATGGTAGAGTCACCGCTGTTCGACGCAACTGAATAGATCTCAATGCCAAACAAAATTTTCCGTCACATGAACTGATCCTTCTGCCTTTTTTTTTTTGGTTGCTGATGCTTAAAACAAACTCCCTTTAGCTTAACAACCCCAAACATCTATCGAAATTGCTTTAATCTGAAAATATCACTTTTGGCTGCGTTGTTAGACAAGTAATTTGCTTCTTTACTTTAATGCCGGTTAATTGCTATTTGATTTTGTATAAACGGATTTAAATTAGGCCATAGTGAAACTTCTGTTAACGAAATCCACACTTCTCAGTAAAGTAGACATTGAAGCTGCGATTATGACGCTCCAAGATACTTATCAATAAATAAATGCGTTGATGCACGTTTCTGTGTCGAAAATGCAAAAGTGTACAATGTAACTGTTTGCACAAACAGTTTGACAGAGAATAGTGTTTATTTTGGAAATAGCTAAATATGCTTGAATTTAGCCGCCACACTATTGACACGTTGGAAAACGTGTACATGCGAATATTGAAGGCGTGGACTCCACTATGCTTCGGTGCTTTGTCGGGTCGGCCTGTCAACATAAGTTCTGCCTGACGTTAATTACCAAATGCAATTCACTGCTTATCTGAACCACTATAGAAGTAGTCAAGAACGTCTAATTGCATACGATGAGAAATACTTTTAACATTTGTCGTCGTATTTGATCCACTTGGAACGTCGCGTCGTGCAGGAGATATGTGGCGCCAACGACGATGGGTGCACGATGAGTGGATATCTGAAATTGTTTAGAAAAGGGGGTTGGAAACGATACTGGTACGTACTGAAGAAGCGGGTATTGTTCGTCTACAAGGCGAGCGCGGACGTCGCGCCGATCAATCGGCTGCCTGTGCTCGGATACGAGGTCGTCGACGCCGACGACGCCAAAAAGGTACTGTGTGCCGTTGTATTGCGAATTTGAATTAGAGACGGTCCTAAAAATTGTGAAACAGCAGTAAAAGATATAGGTGCTCGCCCGGTGAAATCGAATAATTAACTCAATTTTTCTGACAGACGTCGCATCTGCATATGCATTGCCATAGGAAACTTGCCCTGTCCACTGATAATAAGACAACTAGTCTGCTTATATATCTAATGCATTGTTGAAAACTCTATAGAAGGAGAAAATGGTGGAATAGCAAGAAATCATCTAAATATAAGCTAAGTAAATAACTTATGGAAACTTGCAGGCCGATCAACAAGATTTATGTTTCAAGCTGCGTCACCAGGGCCTCGAGGACGTCGTGTTGTGCGCGGAAGATCCTGAAACGGCCGCGAAGTAAGTTGTCAAGAAAAACGAGGGGGCATTTTTGTCTATTTCCCCGTAGGTTGTCGATAATACGACGTATGATGGTGGCGATGACGGTGCTTCGGCTAATTAAGAGCCACACCGATTTCAGGCAGATCCTAAAATCAGCCAATACTACAACACATACGTGTCCGATGCCCTGCATTCCGCTAAACGTACCGCCAAATATCTCTAGAAGGGCACGCGAATAGTTCTCGCAGAGGCCTGAGGAAGCATGATAGAGCTTTGGAAGAAGTATTTGGTTCATACCTCTTCCGATAAGCTTAACCTTGATTTTACGCTGATGGGCTGACTTCCTATTCAGAGGTGATCACAGCTGTTCATCGTCAATTAACGTTTGATGTTGGATCGTTTTTTAAACTGGAAGATCTCACTATGCTTAACTAGTGCTATTTAGTCTCGCCTAGTTGCATAGATAGATACATTGTCAAGACTTGTATCATAACTGAAACTCCTTTAGAACGATATTTCAACTTAGACGGTCTTAATTGGTCAACTTAATTGGTGCAAGATACATAGCCTACCAAAATTCCTTGTTTGAGCCAAACGCACTTAATTATTAATTTCCTGTGTATAGTATGAATATATGTTTGAACGTAGATCTTAGTACGATTTCAGTATTGGGCTTGATGACGATCGTATGTTTGCTACTCGTCGAGTTCGATTGGTGCTGCTAGGTTTTTTTAAATATTATTGTGCAAGTCGCTATTATGAGTAAATGTATGAGCTGAATCAAGCGTCGGCAGAGATTGATGGTACGTCAGTCAGCTACAATGCACAGACCGATATATTTGCTTCAACAAAACTTTTGATAATACTTCAGTAATGCATTTTTGTACAACGATAGGCATTTTAACGCGTAAGTTTCTTATCTGGGCGCAGGTGGAAGCAGCGTATTCGGGATGCGACGCAGCTCGAACCCACGTCGCCTCATGAGCCTTCCGCGTCTTAGTCCGGAACGCCTCTCAACGACGAACCATCGCACAAAGCAATTGGTGACATTATAGAGTAAACCCTTATGCAGCTGATTTTGGCCAAAAACAGTTGTTGTTACTATTGTTGTGTACATAAGAAAAAAAAAGCTTTTAGAGTCTACACCCTCTCTAAAACGGCTTTTCTTAAACAGCCCGAGCTTATATGTATGAAAATACGTATACTTTGCGATTATTATGGCCATTACGCACTCTTACATACATACATACATGCCAGCTAATGTATTGGAATTGTCTGTCGTTTTTTTCAGTGTCTTACGTGCCGAAAACTAGGGAGAGACATTAGCATAATTTATTAGCTTATATTTAAGCTCGGTTATGTGTTAGCTGCTTTTTGGCCGAAGTAGAGCCTTCAGAAGTTATTGACAGTGTAAAGGAAACAAACTCGAGAAACGGATCAACATTTACTTGAGTGATAGTAGAATAACAATAACAGTACTAATTAATAAACAGTAGCACAAATGGCTTGGTTTTATACAATCCACATTGAACGTCCACAGACAGACTATACACCTTTACAGACACGTTCAGTTGAACGTGATACGAGATTCAACGCAATAACGGGGTTGTTAGGCGTCTTTAATTCGTATAGCTGATTGGACAGCCAGTGCATGAATGTACAGCGTTTGCAAGCGAGCGCCGTAGTAAAGTCATAGTAAAATAATTTGTGCACCTATGAAAATGCACTAGACAGATATGAGCTATACATATCAAAAGATAAGTAGTCGTACAGTCAGCTTACACCGAGAGAAATAGCAAGGCCAGTAATGTACCGAGGAGCTTGAAGGGGTTTATTTACTTTCTACACGTTGCTCCTACTTTTAATCAACCAGAGATCAGCGAATACCTGCAAATAATGCATAAAATTCGCGACGTTAGTGAGAAAGTGCAATGAATATACATGTTACGTACCGCAATTATTTCTCTCTACCCTGTTGTTTCCACAGGTTTCGATAAAAATACAGCATATTTGCGTGCAGCATACAAACAGACATGTGCTTTAAACACTACGAGTGATTAGATGCTAGAGAGATAAAAATGGCAGCGGAATGTATGTTAGTTGTACGACTCCTGGGTAGAGCTCGAAAATAGGGTCTCTAGCCAAATCGCCTCACCTAAATACGGTGAAGTGTTAAACGAATTATCTGTTGTTCATATAAATTATATATAAGATAAACATCATTATATTTATTATGATTATGATTTTTCTTGTTACTATGAAGTAAAAACACTAAAAGAAGAGCGAAAATCATATTTATTGCTCGAGAAGTCTGACACACAAAAGAAACATTAGGATCAAGGAAGCCTCGTAATATAATAACACTCGAAAACTATTGGGATCGGTAAAGAATGGATGGTGATGTGTTAATAATAACAGAGCTGCACTGTAGCTAAGCACTATATGAGGTGTTTTTGCATTGTTATTACGCATGTGATGATTATAATATGTAATGTAACGATAATCATAATGACAAAATAACCACTTTGAATAAGAAAACAAAACTGAATAAAAAAAATAATAAATACAGATAGATTTACTGTTTTATTAATTCGAACAGTGCTTTTTGTTAGACTTTAAATGTTTAGGTTAGCGGCTGATTGAACTAGATATTTCGACAGAATAAAAAGGGTCTATCTGAGGTGCGTCAAGATATCCTCAAAATAAGATTATTTAGAAGTCCTACAAAATCGTGTCGGAGTAAGTACATCGTGGATAGTCTGCTAGTCAAGGTATGATCTTCTGTCCATATGTTACGAATTTAGATTTCGAAATATTTTACTAAAAAGATCTTGATCATTTAAAAAACTCCGGCATTTACCACTGAATGAGAAGTACGTATCCTGAAATGCTCACTTTTTATTGTTAACATGATGAGAATTTTTTTACTTACCTTTCTAAGTTAGCGCGTCGTAAATGTGATTACCGCACAAAAAGTAGGAGGATACTGTATAATCAAATTCCCTACAAACATTGTGATCACAATCCTGTCACGTAAATGGCATCTAGACGATTGCTTTTTCGATTGCGAATTTGTAACCTGCCTACGACGCCAAAAACATTCAGCCTCTTACTCAAATTGGAGTTGCAACTGATGCTTAAAGCTACAGCAACGTACGTTTGTGGGATCCCTGTTTCGTACCATGTTTCGTTCTATAGTACATATATACATGTTATTTTTCACACTCTAAGAATATTCTCAGCGTTACGCCTATAGAACTAAATCAATACTGTTCCATATAAACCTTACAACTACGAGAAAAACACTTAATATCAGATTGTTTTCTACCTATTAATATTCGGTCCCTCTGATTAGTTTAATGCCGGCATGTACCAACATGACAGAAGTGTGCAGCGCATTTCAATAAACACTCTCCTGTCTACAGAGAGGATTGTTATTTGCAGGGAGTATCATTTTTATTACATTATCATTATAATGTATTACATCACTGATATTATTGCGTATGTGTTAATGCGATGGCGCGTGGTGGCAGGGCAAAGTTACAGAATTTAAAAGAATAGCGCATCCGGTCTCGCATTTATGCGTGAAACAATGAGAGGCACCGTGACGCAGACAGTTGACAGCTGAAATTTGCAATTCAATTTTCTGGTAATTTAATGGAAGTCATTTTGCTTCAGCGAAAAGTTTTCGTTTCAGAGGTAGAGCGGGCACATCACGACGAAGACTACTTGTTATCCCTCGATAGTGCAATACGCCGATCTGTAGATTCGACACACTGCGTAGCGATCTCCAGTATCGGATGTGTGCAGCTGTCGAAATGCTGCCTCGCTCGACGGTTGCTGCCTCTTTTATCGTTGTTGCCATGCTGGACCTCGGCCAGGTAATGAGCCAGTGTCCCAAGAAAGATATCAAGTGCATCTACCCCGTGCTCAAAGAATTCGATCCTTCGGGCATACAGTTGCTTGGTCACGCATCCTGCCTTCGTAGAGAGTGTCCCAATCTCGTCGATGACGATAAAGGCGAGTCAAAGGATGTTGTTCTAAAACTACATAACGAACTGCGACAGAAGATAGCGCTCGGAGAGGATGTTCACTTTAGACGGACAGCGAGAACCAGCCAGGGGGCCGGCAACATGCTACAGATGGTCTGGGATGATAACTTAGCTGAGAATGCCATGAATTGGGCCTTTCAACTGTGCTTGGATAGAGGTATACATACATTTTTAAGCCGTCAGCATGGCTATTGTATTCTAATGGTATAATTTTGGAAGTGAACTACTTGAGTCTCAGCTCCACCGTTACTCGTAGTGCTGGGTGCAATACAGAACCCAATGATATAGCTAAAACTTTCGTATTGCGGTGAATTTTTGGATGAAACAAAGCATCTCAGTAAGCGAATAAATAAGTTGGCTGCGTAGAAGTTTTGAGGGTCATCCCGTTGCACTTTTTATCGGCTCCCTTGAAACTTGCACAATTCCTCTTATTACGTGTGACGTTTACAAGCTTTGAGCGTAGATTAATATGGTGTTAACGGAATGCCCAATGGCGATACCAGACGTAAAACTCCAAACATAGAGATTAATACGGTGTCACAAATGAGCCTGATCACACATACCGCCGAAAGAATCTAGTTATTGCAAATGAAGTGGCACATTTGTATTCGTTTCGTAGCAGTCTTGTATGCTAAATATGTTGAGGTGGCGGGATGGTCCTCATAAGCGCGCGAGTTCCGTGAATCTTCTCCCTTTCGTATCGGTACGATTGATGCTTACCCGCAACTAGTCCGTAAAATACCACTCAGAAAATCAATAATTGTCTAATACCCGCAATATTACCGATTGATGGCCAGCACGGCTCGACTTAAAGTATATTTTCAAAGTTCATTGAATGTTGTGCACTAGTGCGTGGTAATCGGGCGCACTGCCGTCACTGATGTTGTAGCTTATGAATATCGTAATATAAAAACTTTGAAAGTTAGCCCTATCACCGCTTAACTGTCACCTGTTCTCGTTATGCCGCAGCTTTATGAAGAATTAAACTATTTCGGTGTCGTGCATGTATACAAGCTATCTCGGTGTAGTGCATATACAAAAGAAGTAATAGTTGAAACAAAAATACATTTGTCTTTATGAACTTTCAATATCATTCATCATGTTAATAGTAGCAAAAAACTTGCATGGATCTCAATACGTGAATTAGCACGTGAACATATTTGCGTATCCCAGGAAGAAAATCTTGCCCCATTTATTCCACAGGTAGACCAACCGGCCGATTATGGAGACATGACCAATTAAAATGCCGCAGCACAGACCAGTTCATGTATGTTGGTCAGAATCTCTTTTGGGTGCATGATGACCACGGCATTATCAACTGGAAACATGCCATCGGAACATGGTACAACCAACGTTTCAACATGAACGACAATTTCGTTGAGCAGCCACCGGGGCTATACACAAACGTTTCTGAGTTCATACAGCTTATATGGGCACATTCGTTTAAGGTAAGCTGTAAAGAAACCGGAATGGTCATTAGCCTTAGGTTAGGGCGCACGAATCAAAGATATCACCCAAATTCATCGAAGTAATGCACATACAATTCTTCGTCTTCTCTGTTCATTGCCAGAACCCGATTGAGATATTGTTTTTTTGATTCGATTGATAGCCCTTAGAAACAGTTGTCTTCTTAGTCACTTTTACGTTTTTGCTGTAACACTTCTTTGCTTTTGCCTTTGCTTTGCAAAATTTTCATCAGGTTGGCTGCGGCTATTTGAAGGCTACTTTTGATAATCCTGTGGATCCTGCACATCGCTACGTTCAGTCATTCTACATTTGTAACTATGGACCCCAAGGAAATAGGCCTTGGATCTATATTTATCGGGTTGGCAATCCAGCATCCAACTGTCCCCAAGGATCACTTCCAAGTAAAGAATACATAGGCTTATGTAAAGTCTACGACGAGGATGTAGTTCGACAGAATAATGGGAACTATTGAAATGAAAAGACACCGGCAGCTCAATAATAAAAAACCCTGTTAAACAGATTCCTTGCTAAAAGCACAGGCAAATTATCCGATTGAATTTTGATTGTCGTGTATTACTATAAATCATAGTATATATATATGTAATGCATGTAAAAAACATTAATTTTTTACATGCATTACATATATATATAATGCATGTAAAAAATATATTAATTTTTTACATGCATTACATATATATTGCCTATACATATCTACAGGGGTCGACTAAAGGGGTGTAAAAGAAATTTGTTAGATGTTCTTAGACAAGCGTTATGCTATCCGTTCGATTCGGGAGATTCAACTAAATTTTTCTCAAAATAGTTGTAATTGTATTAAAATAAGAAAAACAATGGGATCTTATTTTTGCATTCACGCGCCGTTTATTTAACATAAGCAGTGTACAGCAGAGTTCCGTTTGTCCGCCTACATAAAGGTTAGAAAACGATTGTCAATATACAAGTTCCACATAGTTACTAGTATGTCAAATATGTATATATATACAACTGCTATATATACAGTGGGAACAATAGCATTCCATCTAAATTGTTTCATTTTGCCATAAACCGTTATCAAAATTGACATAATGCGTTCTTATATTATACATACATATATGCTATTATATATACAAGGCGGTGAGATTTTTGAGAAGGCACCAATTAATATCGTTCAGTTTGTCACCCCCCAAGAAACGACCGGTAACAAGCAATCGTAGCGAGTAGCTTCGCCCCGACGCAGTCTTTTGCAATAAATTCATTTTAATTCTAATCGAATTGCGTATTTATATTTAACAACAATTAGTCCAACTGAATGCAGTGAGCTGTTTTTCGAGGATAATGACAAAACCGTAGTTTTGGTATAATTAGGTTCACTGTTCAATTTACGCAAAGCAAATTGTATTAATACTCATGTTTTAAGGAAAACAAACAAGTCACGTATTTGACTTAAAATTTTGGGTATCGAAACACAAGTTAATCGAAATGCTATTCGTAAAAATGACAATCACTCTTAATGTGCTCTAGCTGTCAAGCTTCACACACAGACACATCGTTCGTAGAAATGTTTTGCTATTTAACAATGTGTCCAGTTAACGTATACTCACGAGATAATTCGTTTTCGGAAGCAGCTAGTATTTATTATAAGCTGACACTGCTTTGTTGCCATTACTATTTCTTGCTTCGTACATTACTCGCCTCTTGACAGGTTCGTCATATAGCATCTTCAAAGATCGTAATTCATTATGCTTAATTTTGCTATTAATAAAGCCTTAATATTAATAAAGTACGAGGCCTAATTTGCAGGCTTAACTTCAAATCTCGATTGCATAGGAACGTTTATGTGGTGTAAGCATAAACCACGCACAATAAACAATTCCCTCTAAATTATAGTGATTATGTACATTTAATACACAAACTCACAGTACTGGTGATCTGATGAAGTCATGGGTATGTAAGCAAGTATGCTAAGTGCAAACATGAACGAGCTCATGTTTAGAATTGTTTAAGAACAGCCTTTTCTGCTATCGCAGGTTTTTATGTTGGGTAGCGGACAGTGAACCATTTCTTCTCCAAGGCAATTAACCGCTATTCTTACGGTAATGAAACGAAAAATTTAGCGAGACGATACCTCTCGCTGAATAAATCAGATTATTCAACACAGATTATCGTTTTGAGTGTTATTTTTTGGTGTTAGTCCCTTACTTGGGAATAGTTGCTTCTCACCATCTTTTCCTTTGCATAGCATTGATAGCACACAGGAATTGTAACATGGCGATTTTAACGCATATGTATATATTTAATATACTTATTGTGTGTATAAAACACCTATAAATCTATGTGAATTATTTGGAATCTAAGTAGAACATAAACCTACCATAACGGATATGAGTGGGGAGGCAACTCTCTTGGCCTTTTCCATGCACTCCTGTGCTTGAAGATCACCTTGCGTTACAGATGAATGCCCCTGTCAGCCACCTCGCCCTCCAAAACTTCTTTTATTTTCCGAGATGTTACGGATTTTGTCCCCGCTTGTTGCCCGCCTAGCGCCGAACATATTTGATCTGTTCCCTCGTATTCTTCATTTTCATTTTTTCCACCTAGTATCGTACGCATCCGCCTGCGTTGAGTCGGTGTCCCGTCGTTGTATGTAAACGTCAGTTTCGGGAAAATTTCCAGCTTGGCCTTATCATGATCCTTGTCTTTATTACACCCACTAATCGTGAATACGCCGTGTAGTACGCAGAAGGTCGCCCAGTATTGCGGCTTACCGAAGGGTGCCGCCGCGCGTCATTAACGAATTTAACGTTTTCGTTTTCGCCTTATAAGTTGTTGGGTTCTGCTGGTCTTCTGTCAATGCTTAATTCAAGCTAGTGTATGCTATGGAGACAAAGAGGATGGTCCGAAGTGAAATACCTCTTAAATCATTCTCACACATTCGCACGAATCCACAGATGCCGGTTAAGTGGTCCAACTATATTGTAGCTATTTATTATGAGATGCCTTGTCTAGTTTGCCTACCGCGCGTCGTTACGTTTCTTAGCGAGCTCAACCGCGTAGCTCACTTTGAGCACGTGAGGACCAACGGAAAATTCAGGATTGCGTCGGCAGAAGGTTTCAGCATCGCGAGGATTGCGCAGGAATACAAATGCCGCCTTTCGATCACGAAGTATACGCATCCTCTGTAAATCGAGATTAACATTTATCTATTAGTTATCTGCCGCTTGCGCAAAAGGAAACGAAAAACAGAGGTTCGTTGAATAGCATTTAGTTAACTTTGGGAGTAGGCCATGAATTCCCACAAGCACATACATACATACATTATATATGTATGTACATGTATATAAGTATGTATGTATATATACATATATATATTAAATACATATATATATTTGTATATAGTATAGCGTGTAAATCGTATATGGGAATTAAACTAACCTCAACATCGAATTTACTGAAAGCTTCCCCCAGCCTCCGCTCGTCCAGGGTATCATCCACATTCGTCAGAATCACCTGTCTCTTCTGCTTTTCTTCCTTTGTCTCTTTTGAGTCAGCTATTGCAACAGTAGCAGTCCCGGCTGCTAACTTTTGGGGTCGTCCGTTAAGGCCGGGCTGTCCCTGTCCCTTGTCTGTCCCTGACTGTTGTTGTTTGCTCAGCCTTTCTCTAACAGCTTGCCTTCGACGTTCTTCTTTCATCTTCAGCACTCGCTCACGTTCTTTCTTTTGCTCAAGCAGCTTCAGCTCAAACTCATCTTTAGAAGAAAACAGAAGCAGTGAACAAATTTTTTTGATACTATCGAAATAGAACCGTGCCGCTTTTTTTTGTATACATCCATGTGTGCGAAAATATCGAGCTACGACAATTCACATAACCTAACGTACCATGCCTTACACTCCTATAAGGCTTCTACATATACTAACCAAGAGGCCTGCTAGGTTCCTTGCTGGGCGGTGGACTTCGTTGTCTAACGTCACGCTTATCCCTTGATCCGCCGTGTTCAACCCGGCTTAACTCCCTGCATTCTCGGTAGCGATGGTCCACTCGACTGTCCAACCGGTCACGTATGCGAGAATCCCTATGGTAATCTCGGTCGCGATCACGTGATGCCCAATTATCGTCCCTGTCTCTAGATCGGGATCTGGACCGATCTCTACGATCTCGAGACCGTGTAATTTCGCGATCTCGCGGTGGCGGGCTGCGGTACCGCGGGGGACTGCGATATACAGGAGAACGACTCCGTTCCCGATATCCTCCAGTCAGATGCCCCTGCATTGATTAAAATTGAATGCAAATAACAGATACCGAACTCTTGATGTCAAAGTGAACATTCCTATTGGGAATCAATTGGGCGCAATTGATACATTCCAGGTTACGCTGGAACTTCCCAGCGTTTCTCTCACTAAACACCTCTTGCCGGTTGCTGTAAACTTGAATGATGTACTAATTAAATACGCAGCTAAACTGCGCAATTAATCGATGTTATTACGAATTCATCAATTTCTATATTGCATCACTAATTCAGCGACACTATGGGTAAAATTCATATTACACAGACTTGTAGCCATTGGAAAGAACTATATACGTACTATATAAGTCTTCACTTTTTATCTTGACATTTTAGAACTGATTTATTAGCATAACCACAACGCAATTAAAATAGGCAAAAAATGTAGCGAAAAACGAGAATTTAACAAATATATTTCAAATACTCGTAAGGACCAATCAACTTACCGTGGAAGTGATTGGTGGAGGTGGGATGCTGGTGTCAAATCTGGTATATCCTGTTACTTCTGGTGCAGACGTTGGGGGAGGGCGGAAATTTTTATTAACGTAGATTTTTTGACCAGGCTTATTGGCAGCAGGCAAAATTGTCGCAGGATGTCCGCCAATCGGGGGTGGCGGAACGCTAAGGTTAGGCGGCGGCAGGGGCGGTGGGAGATTGGTGAACATAGAAGCGAGCGGAGGAACCGGCGGCGGGGGTGCGTTTGGTGGAAACGCTGGCGGAGGCAGCGATATTGGCGGTGGTGGTAACAACGGAGGCGGAGGAAACTGTAACGGTGGTCCCCCAAGCGGAGGCAATGGTGGTGGAGGCCCGTTAAGAGGCGGAGGCGGAAGTGGTAGACCCGGAGGTGGAAATCCTGGTGGTGGCAAATTCAAATTGGGCGGCACCGGAGGTGGAGCAAGCTGTTGGTGGTGCGAACTGTTGCTACCAGGATGACCTCCATGACCGCCATGGACCCCTGAACCGGCAGGATTTGCCCCGCCACGATTTGACGTCGGACTGGTATTATTAGGCTGAACATTTGGCGGAAACCGCAGCAATGGTCCTTGGTGTCGCGGCCGAGGATGATGTTCTGAAGGGGCTCGAATACCGGCACGTCCTCTGGGACTATCGCCGTACGGCCGTGGCCTGTCGTGTCGGAACCGTCCTCCGCGACCTCGAAGCCCGCCACGCGGTTGGAACTGATTCGATTGATTTATACCACTCTGACTGTGCTGTTGCTGCTGGTGATGCTGTTGATGGCGACTATGGTGATGCCCACCAATCGTGGGTATTTCAACACTTTCCAAACTATCCGGTATACCCTGACGCAATTTACCACCGCGAGTTGATATAACGCGCTCTTGTTGAAACCGGCTGCTCCTACCCCTTGGCTGTTCTTCGTCGTCATCCTCATCACGGACTTGCTCTCTGACACGATGCTGATGAACAATCACCTAATGAATCATATTTGAAAAAATGTAAAAAAAAAAATAAAAAAAAATCATATCTTTTATAGAGTGAGCTCACGACGAGAGGCAAAAAATTGTCTGATCCGTAGGTGCACTACCACATACACTGCTTAATTCTCAGTTTGTCCTTAGTAGAATACATGCTGCAGCAAAAGTCTCACAAGGACGAACTGATAAGCACCACATGTACTGCTTAATTCTTACTTTGTCTTTAGTTGAATCTATGGTGCGGCAAAGGTTTCACAAAAACAAACAATCCTACTTGCATGTATGCGTGGGTTTACCTTCATGCGGCTTTTCTTACCTTTAACTGTGTCTCATCATCAGATTCAGACTCATTTGCTTCTTCGTTGGATGAATTCAGCTCTTTTGTAGGTTTTTCCTTTTCCTTAGGCTTCTCCTCGGCAGAATTAACCACTGGGGTTTCCATAGGTTGGGGAGCAAGCTCGGGTTTTGCAGGCTCATTGCCGACTGCTTTCTTTAGCGGTTCCTCTCGTACTACAGTTTCGACCCGAACACTTTTCGCGGGTGCAACCAAGGCTACTGGGACCTGTGCTGGCGGAGGCGGCTCTTTAGCCTGTGACGGCGGGCCTGCTTCCGATGGGTCTGGCCCTAATAAATCATCTTCCCCGTCCAATAAGGCGTCATCATCGTAATCATCCTAACCACAATGACAATCAGGTAAAATAAAATGTAGAGCAATCATCATAATTTTTTATTTTCGCATAAAATTATAAACAAGAGAAGTAGAATTAATTTATTTCTGTTTGTGGTAGGTTATTTTCTGTGTATTAACTGACCAATCCCAATTTCCCGAATATATTTACATGTTGTTTGCAAGCCCCAAAATGAACAAATTAAAGATATCTTTTCGCTGTAAATAAAAGCCCTTTCAAAGCACATGTGAGCTGAAACGTAAACGGCTTGCAGAATCAATAAATACCAAAAGCCTATTATTAAACATTATTAAAAATAATTAGGTATCTCTAGACGGAGACCATTATTAAAAATTATTATTATTATTAAAAACCTTAAACCTATTATTAAAAATTATTGAAGATTAGTTAAATACCTTTAGACAGAGACCACCATCGTCATCAGCAAGGAGGTCATCCTCTTTCATACTGAAAACGGAAATTTCATTTAGTAAAAAACTATGTACACCAACAGAGAAATTCTGCTATCTCTATTGCATTCCTCTTGGCCTTCGCAATTTTGTTTGTCAAATTTATAAAAACCTGGCTGCTTCAGCAGGTTTATTAACTGGTTAACTTTTTGCAGCGCATTTTGAACTCCTAAGACACTTGATTTGAGTATTTGAGAAAGAGTTAATACACAATGACCAAACCCCGAAAGTTTCAGAGAATATTATAATCAATAACCGATGAGAAAACTTTCTGCAGAAAGGATTATTAATCCTTTCTTGATAAAATACTTTCTGAAGGAAGAAAGAAATAAAATACTTTCAACACACGCATTTATATTTTTTAATGTTCCATACTGGGCTGTTCACCAGGGTTGCTAATCAACAAAGGTCGCGCTTGAGTAGCTTTAGCGATTCGCCATTCGTGCTAATCATTCAGCTGGCAACCACCTTAATGGGACACCCAAGCAAATGAAATTTTAGTCGTTCAAAAACGTGGGCTAGCCGTGGACGAGCCGCATAGTTTTGCTTCGAACCGTGAAGACAAGCTTGTTATTCATACGAGGTGTGAATCATCTCATTCGGCTCGAAGCATGAAGCAACTATAACAGCGGAAAGCGGTACCGCGCTATTACATGAAGAAAAACACTTCTTATTTTTCTTGACGAGCCAAACATCTCACCGGCAACTTAACGCGGTCAATTCGCTTCGACCCGCTAAAAATACTGTTCACTGCATAGCGCAGTGACATCGTTCGTTTCGACCAATCGTGGCTACATCCGTGTGTGTAATTAGGACTGAAAATATGCTGTCTACAATGCTTGCTTAGGCTGAATTGACTAGATATCCGCGAATGTGCATTATGGTGTCCCTTCAAGGGTTAGAGAAACAACAATTCGAAATGTTACCGGACCAAGTATCATTGGCTTGTTGAACTACCATACAAATACAACTAAATGGATGGTGCTCAACTGGATCAAGGATGCACAATATTAGCACAGGTCAGGTACGAAGTCGCGTAATTCTATCAATGGATGAAAGAGGTATGGGTATGCAACGAGTTCATCTACGACCTAAAACTATTAAGTGTATGCGCTATTTTGACATCACACTCACCTCATCATGCGGGGTACGACGTCGTCAAAGTCAATTTTGAAATTGGCTTGTCTCAGTTTCCCAACCCCTGAAATGCCGTACGTGAAGATCAACAAGGGGACATTGTTATCGCAACACCCTTCTGTGGAGCCAACCAACAATGACATTAGGCACAGCAAACACATGCACCGGCCTTTTACCAAAACACTGAGAAATTATTGCCTAAGAAATAGGACCACAGCTAAGGACTCGGCATGTGTCACACAATTTTATAAAAACAATGCGCGCTGCCTATTGAGACTAACGGAGCGGAAATAAGCTAACAGATCGAGAAAATGGAAAGAATTGTATGAACGCTATGGATGCTGGACAGTGTAACAAACCGGTAAACTACAGAAATGCTTTGTATGTTTTCATTTACAGTAGAAATTCACCAACAGGCATAGACATCAAACCGCGAAATAACAAACCGTCGCCTTCGATAACACCAAAACAAAACAACGACTCGGTGGCCAGTCACGCGGTGGTCTTTACGCAAGCTTGCTATCCGTCGGATGCGATTGAACTCCAAAGGCGCGAATATTTGAATCCACTTTTATACGATATTACTACTCGTGCAATCTACATAGTAGGTATTGAAATACTTTGTATATACACAGTAGTTCGACACTCTGCCACGAGTCGTGTCGTTATTAATATTAGACCACAGAATTTCTAAATTTAGTCACCTATAAACTTTTTTTACTGTTAGCTGGATTTCTGTTTTTCCACATCTATTAAGTTGTTTTTGTTTTAATTCAGTAGAACTGAGCCTATAAACAGCTTCAGGAAAAAAGCATTACATTTCACAGAAGAAATGCATTACAGTTTCTGCTTTATTCTTAAAGCAACTCATGCCACAAAGCTTAATTCTTAATATGCATTGTACGAACACCTGGATTACAGACTATTTTAGAAGATTACTTTTTCGTAAACACATTATCTTTAGCATTGCCTAGTCGAGATGTATGTATAAAGTACGAATGATTTATTTTTATTATTAGTCATACAAATTCATATAGAAAATAGTTCATATGACATAAATATCTGTCTATTCTATATTTATTTACTCGGTCTCATATTTGGTCTGCGCAGGCCCTACCAAATTAGGAAAGATATATGACGTTTATAGGTTTGTAGGCTCACAGCAAGGTCATACCCGCCTATTATTAAACTTACGAATACATGAAGCGGTCTAGGTTAGAATCTGGGCGTGAACATATTTCGTTGGAGGACGCTAGCCGTATGAAGGAATGCTTAGCCAAAGCAGTACCGAGCGTAAACTACTCCGGGACCCGAGCTTCGGAATGGAATTGGGTACTCTGCTAAGAAAGTCGAAAATCAGCTGTTGAAACAAACATAAGTCTTTAACAGTTAGCCTGCTAATTATCTATATTTATAGGTCCATAAGATAAATGGGCCTATCAGATAAACGCGGGGTCTATAATCAGGCTTCATAATGAGAGTAATTTATATTCACTTTATTGATTTTCTTTCTTTGAGAATACTTCCTTAGTTCCATTGTATTCAATATCATTCCGTGCGTAGTTCGCTGTGATTGGCTCTCCTATTACCGTTTGTTATCCACTGGAAACAAACATTCTCCCTTTTCCCAAGGTAACGCCATTATGGATTTGCTTATGAGATTAGACTTAGTTTGTTCAGTTACTTAGTATTCGTAAAGCTTTTTAATCTAAATGCGCTTACTAATAATAATCACCAACCTATTTATTCTCCACAGCTTCTTCGTACTGGTAAACGTCCCTGTTCAATCTAAGATTTCTATATAATAGACACAATATTGTATAGATATATACACACGTTTATAATATTTTTTTTATACGGCCGAGTGTATTTTTACATTCTTTATTGACAGAACACTGGATGTGTAAAAACTGGACGTGAGTATACACAAAAAGACGCTGGCTACACGTATCGATGCCAGGCTGAGCAAAAGAAAGATTTGCCGGGAACCATGTAGTCATTAATATGACACCGTAAAAACTACTTTTCGTCACATGATCGGATTATCGGATGCTAACAGTCTTTTCGTCAACACAGATCATGCACTGATTGACGAACATCTGCATCGCTGTGACTATTCATCATTAAGATGTTTTCTTTTACTTTTAAAAAATAAGTAAACGGCACTTACAGGCGCGTTACTGCCCGCGATGTGAAAAGTTTCCTTATTTCAATTAAGGTAATCTCCGCGGGGTTCGAGAGTAGCATGAAGCTGAGAAACGCGCAAAGTGAAATGCGAGGGACAGCCGAGCTCGCACCCAGATATCAGTGCTTTTTCCAGATTTTGTTTGAGCAAGTCACAAACAACTAATTCGCCCTGACTGATCGGGCGCATGGTCCTCCTAGAGCCGAAACTTTTTGTACAAAGTGAAATTGCTAGATCGGTCGTACACGTATGCAGCCCGTCGTCGACTTCACTGCACAGGCTGGAACTACGATTGAGCGTTCCCTTAATTTGTACATAAATGATTTACGGCTTTTATCAATGAGATCAATCACGTAAACAACGGCGAATAACAACATACGGCGTACTAATTGTTGTTAAGCGCATGGTTCAAAAAGACAAAAATATTTGAGAGAACGCAGTCATTTTTAACGTCGGCAACCTTATCCCGGTGTCTACTCTCGTAAGATGCAAGCGGAAACGGCTACACGCACAATCTCCAATACACCTCTTGACGAAGAAAAATCTGCTATTTATTAAAGATCTGCTAAGTTACCACAGTTTATAATTTGGAAGCTAATTTATCCCGAATACCGTTGAGTAGACCTATTGGTTCCACTGACGGCCTAGATGCTAGCATTAAAGGATGAAGTAGCCGAAGCTTTTGTGACTTTCTCGAAAATCATTCTCTAGTAGTTCCTTACCTTATAATTATACGGATTATACGTGTAAGTGAAGTAATTTCCGCCAATCGTTTCCATTCGCTTTGTCATAAAGCTTCCAATGCGGAACAGAGGATTCGAACGGCAACTCAAGATTTCTGTGTATAAATTACGGACATGAAGAGTTTAGGATAGGACACACGGCGTTCTCAATAGAAGCATAATCAGCAACACAAACTTGTAGAGGCTTAGATAATACACACGTTGCTTTCTCCCAAGCGCTAGATCTCGATATCCGCCGTTGCTGCCATTTCTGTCACGCGCAGAATACTTGAATCCCTGTGGCGACAAGACCGAATCATTACAAAGCTTTTGTCGTGCCTTGTATTCTGTATATGGAAGAGCTACAGAACTGATGTTGCACATTTCGCCGTCTCTCGGCATTTTCACAGTCACACTTGTCCGAATAGATATTCTCGCCAAGCGAGAATACGTTAAAGCATCCTCTTATTATAGACGCCCTGTAGGACAGATCACGTGCTGGTCATTATCGCACGCGCGTATTTGTGCGTCATTGCATCAGCACATGTTCGTTCGCGCATGGCCCCACCTTGCTTGTACACAGCTGCCTTTTCCCACCAGCTTTCAATAGATCCGGAAATGCGAAACAACCGCCTACGTTAAGGTATACAATGACGATTATGGCTTCGAAACCCGATTGCAAACTTCTCGGCTTCATTCATCGTCCTACCTCCGTAGCAGCTTCACCTCCTACACCCGAATTCGTCCTGTGGTAAAGCCTTAACTTGTTCGATTGAGATGTTTATAGCTTGTACTACCTTGCCGAATGCTAATAGACCTTTCACTGGTCGTTCAATTTCCGGTGTCTGATCACACCCTCCTGATGTTGTTCGGCACGTTCGCTGATATCACTGAGGCATCAACTTCGAAGGTCGTTCCCCCATTTTTGCTTATCTGTACTGCAGATTTTCTTGATTTCTCGTCCACTTCCTGACGGCTACTTATATTAGTGAAGGCTGACTTCGTTACCTTTACACTATAATAGAAGCTTTATCGACCTGTAAGCGCCTTATCGCGCGAATTCAAAGTGCTTCTGGATTTCTCTAGTTGCCATCCTTTATCCTCTATGTCCCCTTTTTGTCCACATAATCATTGCCCAGAGATCATACGCACGTCCGTAACTCTAAAAAGTTCCTCTGGAGCGGGCTGCTCTAATGCGCAGCCGTTCTTCCTGTTGCTGTTTTTATTGTTGCGAAAAGTTATGGGCAAGGGTATACGATTTAGTGGACATGAGGTGAGTGATCTTACGTGGCAAACATGTTATACGAACATGTTAACGAAATAATATGTTCTTACTATATAGAATCCCCGGAGAACAACGGCGACGACCTAAATCATGAAAACCCTTTTTAGAGGTGATTAATAACCTCATTGTTGAGGTTATTTCACAATTCTTAAGTAATACATTTCTATTTTAATGGTTGCTAAAGCTGTTTCGACCGATGAACTAGCGATCTTGAAGCACCCAAAGATAACGCAGGAGCTAAAGATCTGCACTGTTTATTATTTGTCACTATTTGTAATATTAACGTTATTCACGTAGAAGAGTGTGTGTTAACATATTAGAGACGCTTCAGCGCAAAAGCGAGCCTGAGCCCATTGTGCTTAGACTGGCATTACGTACAACAGAAATGGCTTGTGGCAGTGTTCCTTATATGCTGATACTGCAACCTAAGTACACTGTACAAAAACCGCATTGCTGAGACTACTTTTTTAGAGGCATAGAAAGACCAATTATGCGACCACAAACCGATGGCTGCCGGTTTTAAACAAGCTTTTTTTTTTTTTATACGGCTTTAACTTTACGGTTCGCTGTTGTTGATGACTGAGAAAATAGCGCTCCTGACTGCTGAAAGCGATTTCCCAGTTGGCGCTTGCATTATCTGGGCAACTCCCAAAATCACAGATAAGATGCAAAAAGGAGAGACATCAACAGGAGCTTGACATTTTGAAAACTAACGTCGATAATAATACAAACTTATTCAAAAGAGTGCCAAGCTAAATACAAGCTGATTCAACGAAGCTTTACAAGGACACGTCGAAGTGCAAAGACAGTACGTCGTACGGTAATAACGCCCCGCAAGTGCTGCACAATGAAATAGGATAATCCATCAAAACGGCCAATCACCTAGGCCAACGGGCTGATCGAATGAATATTCCATTTATACAAACGAACCATTTACTTAGTCTAGCAAATAAAAACTAAATTCATAACATTGAGCTTAGCCGTGTTCCTTAAAAAAAGGTTGCAGTTTTCATTCGTAAGTTGAAAAAAAAATGGGTACCTTTTTTCAAACCAATTACGTGCATTTTCTTTCTTTACAATACTTCCTGCCTGGACCATCAGCACCGGCCGTTGAGAGAAAGTGAGACAGAGTGTTTAAACACTCATAGCAATATCATGCCTTACAACATGAATAGTTTCTATAGACTTCAATTATAAGGTATTTTAAATGAGGCTAACTGGCATATTTGTTTTTTAGTTACTCGTTTAACCCTCTACAATTAGACCTAGATGATGCAAACGTAAACTTTTCTTTCGTTTGTTTTTTTGATTGCCCCCCGGCCTATGACAATAATCATTTTTTTTTTGGCCCAGTTCACATATAATTCTTAGTACATACAAAATATGCCTATGTGTAATACATTCGAACTCGCGCAACAATAAATCAGACTTTCCTATTAGACACATAGGAATCGAGATGATTTCAATGGTGGACCCTCGTTGAAGCTGGCATCGGGGGCTCCTTGTATGGAGGACGTAGGCGAAGGCGAATTAACACCGTGGTCACTCACTCCTCTATATACGTGTTTATATATCATACACGCAATGCCCAAGAGCGAAAATGACTTAAGGTGGCCGTTAAAAGCGCTCAGATCAGATTGTTTTCCAACGGTTCGTGACAGTGTAGAGTAATGGTGATTTCCTTTGGAAATTCAAAGTTACAATATGAGACACAGATGTTCCACGATCCCGTATAACCTTACGAGGTGGAGTCAGATAGGACAGAGGAATGATAACTTCCCATATAGTTGTCCCCCCAAAACGAATTGCCTTAGTACAAAAAGGTGAAGTTTAAAAAACACTAACTACCGAAGTATATATGAAACAATTCACTTGTCTTTGTGTCACTTAGCCCTATTTTATTCCACTGTCAGAATATACGATCCTCAAGTACAACTGTCTTTTAATGTTTATAGAGAAAAAGGTTCAATTGATATACGTCGTTATTTTAGCAAATAAATGCTGTTATACTTGGTTGTTTGTAATGAATAATTTTTTCTATAGAAAAAAAGAAAATTAGTGTTAAACTCTCGAAAACGGTAGCAGTGTTTAGAAAATTCAAGCGTCAATAAACGCGCTTTGAGTGAATCCAGAAATATTCTTTCCTTAAAAACGGGAAAAATGATTCTGTAACTGCTCTTATGGCGTCAACGTTCATCGTAATGCAAAAAATAGAAATTCATCAAAAGAAAAGAACGGTAGATGACAAACATAATTTCGCTCATCACATAATTACGATGTATTGAAAAATACAGCTTCGATTGAAAGGAGCCATGAGCCTGCTTCTTTTTCTCAAAAGCATTTGAGGTGTTTTGTAAAAAAAAAAAATCACTAGTAGTAATGTTTCGGACAACGAAGAACTCGATAGCTTTCAATAGCAGTTTTAAAACGAAATATCTCCTATAGTTCTTGGAAATCTTTTGAGATTCCACACATCTGTCAACCTAAGGGCCAATTCTTTCATCTGGTATCATTCAAACGCCAAGGGCACTAGCCAAGTGCTAAAATAAGATTCTATGACGAATCATTATGACTGTTTCGTCATTATTAAGCCTTTAGGTGCAATTGGAGAAGTAGCCGACCTTTCTAGCATCAGGACGACAGAGACTTTCAATTAGCGACCGTTAATCATAACATATACTTTATAATGACAAATAAAAAAACGATACGAGTATTTAAAGCTATCGGATATCTATAAAGTCATTCAGTGATCGGCTTGAATTCCGATATCGCTCTGCCTATTTGAGTAGGCCATTGGAGGATTAACCGACAGATATCAAGGGCTCATTACTTGACTGCGGGTAGCGCTCGTTCTAGCAAACATAATAGGAAAGTCTCTTATTCGACATACGAGAAGTGCCATCTACATAGCCCTTTTCAATCTCGTTAGAAATCCGACTGAATTGGTTGAATAAGAGTTTTTTTTTTCGGTCGGGGTTACTTTTACTGGCTAGAAACGTCCAATATTTTTGGAAATATGTTTTACTCTCCTACGCCGGAATGAACAGAATTTGAATGTCTATAAAGGTATCAGATTTGCGACGATTCAGGTCTCTTAATTATGCAGCGTTCGAAGGTGTGCCTGCCACGAATGCTGCCAATTAGATCCAAGCAAGTCGTATGCTACATGCAAATACGCTCACCTAAATAGACCTTCGAATTTATACCAAAATGACTATTACTTATAGTTAATAGGCTTAGCTTCCTTTGGCCTGAGCGGTTGTGATGCTTCATCCTTCTCTATTGTTTCTTATAGATGAACATAATACTGAAGGATGTGTAGTAAAGCAATATACTGTTTAGCCACTTATAGCCTATATAGCGTCTAAACAATATCCGCACACTGATTAAAATACATCTATTAATGTAATGATCAAGCCTCTCTCTGTAGACTGTTACTTTTACGTCACGTAAAATCGAAACCTATAATTAAACGCTCAGGATAAAAAAAAACGTACGTTTTTCATATCAACCGTTGTCGACGCTGCTCTCGGTTTGTACAATTAGCGTAACAGCAAAAAATATTAGGATATTTTTCTATTATTATTATTACTTATATTAATTAGTGTAGTTAATACTATATTAGTGGTACGGCTGTATCAATCAATGTAGCCGTCAGCCACTCTTTTCAGTCATCTTTTAGTGACTAATGAAACAAATCGATAGCGACCGGGTAATAATCTGCGGGTGAGTGGCGCTCCTCTAGTACAATGGCCGTATACACACACGCTTTTGCTGGTTGTTTACGTAAGTCATGTCACCAATGGCGATATCTACGGCTGCACATTCAACTTCTGTTTTTGATAACAAAACAGAGTCAGGGGCGACTGCTGCTTCCTTCAAGACCAAAACACCTATTCTATTCCCTGCACCACTTTACTCAGTTTACTAACACCATTTGGTAAGCCAAAGCGTTCTCTGCCCTTTCCGTCTGCAAAACGAAGGAAAAAGGTGACGAAGGACAAGAGGAGGTCACGAACAGGAGCGTCGGCAGCTTAACCGCATCACACCCATTAGCAGCAGCGAGACGAAATCTGCTGATTCAACTATCAACGACACATCCTGCATTGCCTAACGTCGGCCGCTGTTCGGCTCGCACCACTGCAGCTTGAAGAAGACCGCAGCAACGCCTGGAAATCCTGTCGGTCCCACTGGGTCACAGCACGCTCTAAAACAAGGCCGATGGTAAGGCGGCGCCGCATACTTACGCATCGCTATGGTGGAAGTGTGTAATTGCGTCTTTGCTGCACTGGCTGTGTAAGCGGTGGCATAGCATCCCGGACGTCCCGGCAGCGAACTGAAGAAGAACGATGCAGACGATCTTCGTGAGCGAACGCCATTCTGTCAAAGGCGCCACTTCGACGTAGACGTCACACGAAGGAAGCAGTTTGGCTATTTCATTCTACTAAAACGACGAATTCGTTCCCTCAGGTAGCCGTCTGGGTTCTGCCTGGGACGGCGCAGAATGTGGGCTGCGCGCACGACAACAGAAAGAACGAAGCGTACAAGTTAGTGAAATACGACTGGGGTCACTCACCCGGGGAATGTCTGAGCCTTAGCGTCGCTGTTGCCGACGGCGGTGAGCGGACCGCACTTCCCGGTGGCCGCATGCTGGCAAATCTCTCGACGTTTTTGTATAAGTGTTATAGTAGCAATGGGGCAGAGATTTGGGAGTCTGCATTTGACGGCATTTGCGCCCCAAATGTAGGCGCTTGCTTGACTGTGACCCAGTGTACCTTTGGCGATTTTAAGAAACCGATGGATTATTCGGAGCCGAAAATGTGAGTTATGCCAAATATACTTGACATTGTATGCGTAAAGCAATATTAAATGCGTGTGAAGAACCTAGAGCCACCGTTGTTACTATGTGCTAGGCTTTTTCCTACCATTCTCTAATACTAAAAGGTTTTCTAAAAGATTTAGGTGTTATTCGATATTGAAGAAGATGCAGTTAACGCTGAAAATAATGACTCTACGCGGATTAATGATGTTACTCTTTGACTAGGATGTGATTGCCCTTAGAAGTTTTCAATTTTCATTGTAAATTATCTGGAAAAAATGTGGTAAGTTCTACGTAGTTGATCTGCTATCCGGTCCATTAACACAAGATTTTTCGGGGCTGTAAAAAGTATTTTGTGTATGAGCTTACTTTTGATATTAGTTTAGTATATGGTCCGTTATTGCGAACAGCGTATGACTTATTTAGCGTCAAGATGATATTCATAGTAAATAAATTTCGAAATTCAATCGCTTGACGCTGAAAACCATGACGCTGGAATGCTCTACGAATGATATGTACAGTCGTATTTCTGTAATATAGAGGAACGACGGCGGCCTTATAGAGTCAGTATCAATTACGTTGACCTGTTAGAAGACTGGACGTTGGTCCAACATTTATATGTCCATAGAAGTTAGTCTTTGCTAATAAATAGAAAGATTAAATCGTTGTGAAAGGAATAAGGCTGTTGGATAGATAATAAGCAAAGTGTATATACTGTGAGATACGTTTTTTTCGTGCATTTTAAACTATGGAACAATACATGTTACTTCGGGAAAGATCAATGCGTTATAATAACATTAAAAAAAAAAAAAAAAAAAAAGAAAAAAAAACTATTGTATTAGCAGTCACTTAAAAATTTCACGGACAACTGAGCTTATCCGTAAATAATGAACAACAGCAGAGCTTGGGTCTATCGATTATGATGTATAAGAAACACGTTAATGTTTCTACCGAATCTGTATGTACATTCATATCAATTACGCAGTGCTCTTTCTATGTTAATGCATTCTGCTTGCATATCTTTCTTTTCTTTACAGCTATCATGTATATGGTGCTTCTTCAATGATCGTCGTTGGGACACGCTGCAGCGCAGTGGACACACTGAGAAAAAACAGGATCCCAGTGCTTAACTTAAGGATGTGATGTCCTTTGACGACCTTGTCCTTGTGCCCGTTTACGTGTCACGCGGTCATCGGTAAAGATGGTTGCCTTTGGCATTTTTCGAGTATCATGAAGCCCGAGTAGAGAAATATAATTGGCCTCCTCTCCCCCGACCCGGGCGAGGGGCCCTGATCCACTTGCTTTAACCCACATTACAAAACCGGTTCCGGCTCTGAGCTCTTGCACGGGGTCGAAGAGATACGCCACACATCAAGCACTTCAGTCTGAACACCGGAGCGAACGGAGCTCCCGAAGGTAAGACAGAACGTAATCGACAAACCAGCAACCGACCCGAATATCTGTTCTTTCTGGGAAAACCCAAAGTGACCTAGCTTCGAGTCAACGTGACATACTTGCGGCATATTTTTCGCCTTCTAACACCTGTCAAATGCTGAAGAGCCGACTACTTGGCCCTTGAGCGCGTAAAAGATTATGTACTTTTGGAAGGAATTCACATCGTACTGGTGCCCACAAATCTAAACTAGATCCAAAGATCTGCATGAAACCGACGCATTTGACTTTAGACCTGTGAGCTACAACACTCGTGATAGTTTCCAAATGTTCCCAAATTTGTTGAGGCCTACTTTAGTACACCTGTACTTGAGCCTAACGAGTTCAGTGTTATTTTAGGATGAAGGCGATGCTGGTGATTTCCGCTGCCCTTGTGGTGTACGCGTTTCTCCCGGGAGTGAGGGCGCAGTCGTCGAGACCTCAGCTAGGATACTTTACTTTTCTCAGGTACAAACCAGGCTTGATATATGTTTTTTATATGTTCCGGAACTATTGTGTTCTGCTGATACGCCGGATACGCTGCTGTGTATTTATTAAGCATATTCTTAAATAACGGTGCATTGTGACTGACAGTTTCGTCTGATTAGGGTAACGCGTTGATGATCCTCGATCGTTTTTTTACGTTCACCAAAAAGGATAGATTCTATGAATGGTTTTTTTGTATGCATATTATATTCTGCAAACGTATGCCAGAACCTTAATCCAGGTGTGCATCCATAAGATTATTCTGAAAAATTAGGGAAGTTTGACTGCATCGTGAGGCTTAAATGTCTTTTAAAGTTCAATGAACATCGTTCAACTTCGTAAACGCCGGTCGTTGAGTATATGAGTTGTATCGTAGCGATTCGGCGCTTCCTTCTTCATCTATGTTTACGGCCTTTGGCTTCTTTGGCCACGAAGAGCCATCCCGTTTTTTCTCTGCGATTTTTTGGACATCATCACGTCAGCTAGCTGGCCGCCACGGGCTTCATGATCGCCCGCTGCGGGGCTCTGCCGAACCGGTTCGGCCGTTAACCCGCATCTGATGTGGGTCACAGAACTGACGGACCCCGGCCATCGCACCTTATCTCTCACCAAGGAACATTCGTGCCCCTATTTTTGTCTGTTTCATTTAAGACTCATCAGAGTTTGTTGTAAAACCAATTATCTGTATGTTGGACCTTTGCAAGCCAGTAGCGTTAGCTCATCGACTATATTTAGAACATTCTAAATGAATACATGTTATGTTTTTGATCTATGTACGATTTAACATATTAGGAGATGATTAAGGAATTAGCACAGCCACTGAATGTATAGAGACCTTACTCACGAAAGCGGCACCTTACACCGCACCTTGGGAAGGTTGGGGGCAGTGATATTTAGTATGAAGGTCAATTCTATAACAAATTATGTACGCTTATTCCAAGTGAGGAAAAACCTAATTGAATATTGACACTTTTCTGACATTTCCTAATGTCCTACGTGTATAGGTACCGTAATCAAGAGTGCGAGGGTCGCTATGGCCAGAACGGAACGTGCGTTACCGAAAGTGACTGTCAGACTCGGCAAGGAATCGATGTTGGTCGGTGTGCCGAAGGATACGGTGTCTGCTGTCGTGTGGCCTTTACGTGCAAGATGGTGAACAAGAGAAATGAGACGGAATTCGTCAATCCGAGCTATCCTAACGGTGAAACTGGCACCTCGACTTGTGACGTGACCCTCGAAAAGACGCCGGATATTTGCCAGATTCGGTTAGATTTCATCGACTTCTCTCTTGCACAACCTGACGAGAAGGGTCTCTGCTCTCGAGATGCATTCATGGTGCGCAACACAGTCGGCGAAAAGTTTCCGATTCTCTGTGGCGAGAACAGTGGCCAGCATATCTATGTTGACATGGGTCGGCAGTCTGGCAATCCCGTTGTTCTCTCGGTAGTGTCGACGGGAGCCCACTCGCATGAACGAAAGTGGAGAATTAAGGTTTCTTATATTCCTTGCGGTTCGCTAGACATCGTGCCACCCGGATGCCTGCAGTATTTCCGCTCGCCATCGGCTATCGTGCGTTCGTTTAATTATGGCGCCCAGCTTAGCGGCAATGTGCGTTACCTCTCTAATCTGCGCTATTCGATTTGCTTGCGGGTTGAGGAGAACTTCTGCTCAATCAAATGGGAAACTGATGATAGCGATTCGTTTAACTTCGGACGGTGAGTAGTATGTAGAGCTGTCACCGCTGTGATTGATACCTTGTTTTCGTTTGGTTCCGAATGTCTCATTCGACAGACAGATTCAGAGACCGTTCTCTCTCTTCCCTCTTCTCCTCTCTCTAGGTTGCGCATGTGCAGCTTAATGTAACTACTCATTTTGCGAGAAAGGTCACACGATCCTACTGTCATCCTTTTAGATGGTGTAATATGTTATGATAAAATGCCAACGTTTCCAAGTGGTGGATCGCTGATATAATAGCATATATCTGACCTTATGTTTCCTTCGTATTCGATATCTAATTGTATTCGAATGTCCTGCTTTGTAGCCCGTACGACGGAGGTACTTCTGGTGCCAACTGCGAGGATGACTTCGTCACGATTGATCAAGGCTCCACTTACGGTATGGGTCCTGGAGAAGACCGTTTCTGCGGAAACCGTCTTCATGAGAGGAACGTCCTTATCTGTAAGTGCCGCTTAAACCATTTCATTCTTATCGTTAGTCCTATATAGCCTATATATCGTAATCTACTTTTGGTAAAGCACGGTGAGTCTAATGAATATCAACAATGTAGGCAAATGGGGGCTGTCTCAAGCCACGAGTCAATCAGCTCCTTTTTTCTCTTCAATCTAAACCGTTGATAAGGGGAAATTTATTTTTTTTAATCGTTCAGTCGAATTCTATAATACGCTTGCCTTTTTCATCTAGTACTTTTTGCTTATGATGTAATGGTACCTTGGCTAAGTTGTGTCGTTGAATGGGTGATTCCGGCCGCACATCTGCAATGGAGGATGCTTGCCATTTCAAACCGAGACGTACGGTTCAACCTTGTCTTTCATTCTTTGCTTGATGCTTCATTTTCTGTAACCTCTTCTCATAGCGCATAGCAAGCCGTTCCAGCTTCGAGTCACTTCAAATTCCGACGCGGCTGGTAACTCCATGGAAGCGCAGACGGGCTTCTCATTACGTTATACACAGCTGCCCTGTGTAGATTGACTGGGCGAACATACCATCGGCGAAAAGCCCGAAATCGACGGTAAGGCTACGTATACATCAAAATTTGTGTAATTTCCAATTCAGTTATAAACAAAACAAAAAAAAACCAATAGAATCGAGACACAAGTAGATTCAGATCTCTATAACACACGTTCAAATTTGAGATTTATCTACCCCGAAAATTACATATACTCCTTATATATACCATGGCCTTAGCTATGTTCAATCACGAAGTATGTGATACATTCTATCTGAATTAGAATAATTGTCTCACAAAAAGAGTCTTTAGCTAAAAACCTGATACGAATAAAAGAAAAAAATAAAGCTTTGTTTCGCAATAGGTATTGATTTACGTATTATCGTATTTCGACGCATGTAATGCCGAGGTCTAATAGCAGTTGTTCTCCCTATTTATTGTTTGCTGTTGTTGTTGTTTCAGAGGAGTCCAACTTCTAAAAACGAGAGAGAACGTATTTATTAATAAGAATGATTATGTATTATTTAATTTATAATTCTTTGCGGTATATAGGGTACTACCGATTGATCTGGTTGACGCGATTTGAAGTTGAACTGACGTCCGGTCTCAGTAAAATCCACGACCTTAGCTCATTGTATATAAGCCATATTAAGTGGTTTAATTCAATATTTATATGCTAATAAAATGAATTATAATGATTTCAACTATAAATAAACATTGTGAACCAGTTCGACGAGTTTTCTTCGCTTTTTACGCTCTAAACACAAATTCCCTTAAAAGCCTTAAAAAGGCATGACATTCCGAAAAAGGTACATCGTTCTTTTCAAAGCTGCAAGTCAAGGATATGTAATAATAATATAATTAAAAAAGATATATCGATGGTACGAAAAAAGAATGATCCAGCTAATATCAAAGGAGTATGAAGAACAGGCTCAAACGACGATTTCAGCTGGGCATATTCGAACCTCTGCGGCATACCGATCAGCGGCGTTCCATTGTGAACATATATCTCTTATCGTTCTTCTATCCAAAATGCAGCTCTGATCAATATTGACAGATCAACTATCCGTTTTACCACAAAAATACATGCACACCAATTAGGCTTACGACTTGAACGGATCTGATGGTTTTAACGGTGCACCGTATGATGTTGGTACATTTCATTCGTGGCCATCTGAAAGTTTCTTTATAAACTTGCCCATAGCTTCAATAAGAAAGAAAAAAAAAAGTCTTTATACTATCCTACCAACGGAGACGAATGTACTTTTTCTAAGTACATCTGCTCAAAGAGATGAGATTCAATCAGTTCATCCTCTGCTCTTGAATTTATTGAGAAATATTATTCATTGGGAGTTAAAAGGAAACTTTCACTTTTTTTCCGGAAATAAAAATAAGATTATAAGATAAATATAAGGATAAGATAAATCAAGTGAAATGAAGACATAACTCTCAACTCCGTAATAATTTCACCATTTACGATGCGTAAAAAAAATTCGGCATTCGAAATATAGGTATTGTAAAGAGAGAAATTAAATGTATTTTTTACCGAAAAATCGATTTTGTCCTGCTTCTACTTAGTAGAAGTTACGTAAAAAAAATCTACCTAGACGGATAACGGGCCTAGCCTGAGGAATCCCGTTAACCAATACTCTGCCTAATTATACTTCAGCTAGGGCGCATCCTTCCTAACACACGTAGGAAAAAATGAGAAACGCGGGAACCTGGGATGAAAACTGGTGTAGTTATCCGAGCTGGAAAAAGAACGCAGTGCTAAGAGGATGGTATACGTTAGCATTTTTTTTATACATAACAAATTTATTCCTCTTCTAACATAGGATTCCTCTAAATCTGATGGTTCCAGCCGACAGTTTCGTCGTGACTGCATCTCTAAAACATATGGTTGTTACTCGTTCCTATTAGTTTGTAGTATCTCGGGGCGAAATAAAAAGCATTGAAAAATGATACGATCTTCAAGGGCCTCCTTTTATATACTTATATATCAGAGACAAAAAAGGAGATTTCTATAAAATGTGCTTAAAGAAAATTGTGTAGCATTAACTATGCCGAGGCAAAAGTATTAGCAAGATCTTAAGTATTAACGCATGCAGATGTTCTATGTGTGTTCGGTGCTCAAACAAGCTCTGTTCGGTACCACGAGAGCAGAATGGCTGAAAAACCGTCGTACGGGCATTGGACAAAATATGTAATAATGTAGATTGGCCAGTCTTGAGAATGTTAACAGAGAGTTCCTTCTTATTGCGGATGCCTTCTCTCTCAAAAAATTCTCAAACACTTTCGTAAAGCAATACCGAGTCTGAGGGTCTTCAAGGACATCAGTGATGTAAGCTACGAATCCCAAAGAGGCCTGGCCCAGAAGATGAAGTTTTGTAGAGTACATAAATAAAACTGGCATATGTAAGGGAAGGAAGCTAAGTGACCGAATATGTGCTTGCGTATCAGCCCCCAGAGGAATGGAATAAGGCTGTTAAGGGGGAACAGTGCGATAGAAGAATTTTTGACGAGTATTGCGAACCAATCCCTGCCATATATGTCATAGAGATATCGTGTTCAACGCAGACCTAGAAAAGTAAAGAGGATTTGTGCCAGTGAAAACTATCGTGCTCTTAATTATAACAATAACAAGTAACAAAAACAACAATCTGCCGAGTCCGAAGCAGACAATTCAAACACACATGATAATAATATATCTGTAGTTTGTGAAACAACAAATTGGAGAAAAACATTTGAACGTTAAAATTAAAGATTGCAATTGATAAATATATATAGAAATAACATAACACATGCGTAGATGAAACACGCTGGACTTGAACCCAAGAATCGGCTATATATATATATATGCAAGTAGCTTCAAAGAATTATATATATATATAATTCTTTGAAACTGTAGGCTTGCCAAAGGCAAGTAAAGTTAGCCGTTCGCAATTAGGCGCCAGCTTTGTTAACGATGGTACATGTTTGTCTATGAAACAGCACATCATTCAGGATTCATCTTTGTCGATGTACTCTGCTTTGGCCTGATCTATCCTATTATTACTGTATTTTTTTTTTAATTTTACGTTTTATTTTATTTATTACACGTGTTGCTTAGTATTTGTGGATAGCGAAACCTGAACCAGCTTCCCTTCCCAAACTGAGATTTAGCTACGTATATAATATTTATACAAGCTATAATGCAGACAAGGATTTCCCGTACTGATAGGTGTTTTAGGCATCCTGGCTGTCCCATAAAGTTCCTTATACCCAATAGAAAACCCAATGCTGACTATCTGCATATGAAACTGCAAAATTATATAAATAGTTCTTGATTCAGAGGTCAACTAAGTCGAGGTTCGTGCTCGGAAATGGAAGCAATTGATTATGGTTTAGAACACTGTCTACATTGTCTCCGAAGGCCACCGACCTCTTTATGCTAGGTTTAAAATGTACGTATAAGTTAAACAAAAAAAGCTTGTTTCTTTTTTATAGCTTAAGTCTTCCACAAACACAAATTTTAATGATCCAAAAGCAATTCAACCTATCGAGTAGATACTTACGCAAAACGCCTTCAATTAAGATTTTTCTAACCCGAAGAAGCAATAATTGCGGACCAATCAGTTGTGATTTGCAATTATAACTAAATTATTTATGGAGACTTGAATGAGTAAGTGAAACGCAAAAGTTACAATTGAAATGGAGCTTATGACCCGATATCATCTTCTAGAAAAAAAAAATCTTGTCATAATTCCAATCAACAACGGGCGCCTCCTGTAACTAAGTTCGCCGTAGGGGAAGATAATAATTAATTTAGCAAAGAAAGACACAGAAGATATTTAGAGCAGGCGACATTTCACTTAGTCCTCATAGCCTGGTTACTACCAGAAGTTGTTTTGGTGTCTTTTGTGAAGAAACCAAAGAAAGACCTCCAAGATAACATTTGCTTATGTAGATACGATGTTTTAATAGAGTCGTCGTTATTTTACTTCTACCTTTGTAGAATTGGTATATCGAGGCGATTCCTACCCAGCTCTTACGGGCAGATATAGTAAATTCAATTGTTTAGAGTACGATTATGGAAGAAAGTGTAGCTAAATTAAAGACTCTACCCCATTTCCATTTGCAAGCCCTTACATTCGGATTCGCTAACTTAGACACATTTAAGGCCTTATTGTAGGGCTTTTCAAAATATCGCTTCGCGTTTGCAGGCAGATTGACCGATTGTTATCAGTCCTATTTACGTTGAATTTCACTTTATTTTATCTCGCCAAACTATAAATGTTTAAAATAATGTTCTGTGTTATCTGCACAAATTCTGTGGCATTTGTGTGTGTCACTAACAAGACTTAAAGTAGCAATTCTTGTTAACAACACACAAATACTATATAATTTGTGCAGATAGAACGTCACATTATTGTTTTTCTACCAGAGGATAAAACGTTAGGCGGTAACTAGCGCTAGAACAAGCAATACGGGTGGGTGGGCCATGGATGTAGGACACAGAATTTGTTCGAGTGAAGTCACTCGAAACTGCCTATTTGAGCCATTTGTGAGACTGAAGGGAACTACTCTAAAGCCTCTGAAGTTCAGAAAAAAACTCCTTTGAGATACGACGATAAGCAATAACCTGATCCGGCTTTGTTTTCCATAAACATTCCATTTAACAATGTGTGCGGCAGTTAGTTAACCTAATCATAGTAAATATATTCTAGCAAAATTTGTTCCTTTCACTCTCTCGAGGAGCGTCGGCAGGGCAACAGGTGTTTCAACTTAAATAATTTCAGGGCGCTTTTTTTCTATCAAATCATGCAAAAGCGAACGGATCTGCGACAAGAGGCCACAACGCAAGGTGGTCAGGCCGTCGCTATTACGGAGGACAGTAGCATCAATCACTCTAAGATTTGCCGGTGGCAGCAGAGCATGGATCGCTGAAGCGACGCGTCTTCTGCCCTTATCGAACAGTAACAATTGGATGGATGTCAGATTAGCGACCCATTCAGCTGTTACCACGCAATCGTTAGGACAAGCTGTGATTTCTCATTCGATTTGGCGACGACCGTTTATACGTCGGCAGTGTAAAGTCAAAATGGCAACAACTTTAAGAAAAGCAACAGCAGAAGACAAAAGGATGACTGATTGTCGGTATAACTGTTTGTCTCATTTGTAGGTTTGCGTTCATTTTTGCGGCGGAGGGCTAGAAACGTCTGTTACTACCGTCTTTAGTATCATATTATTGCTGTTATAGTGTTGTATAACAGAAGATTCTGTCAAAACCACAGCTGTTACGAAAAAAAGGGCCCTTAGGCTTAAGCGTAGATACGCCAACAAGGTTTGCTAGTGAACGAGTGGGTTTGCTGTGGCACATAGAACAGGCGGTTCTTTAATGTATTGTAGGCCCAGGGGTAACTAACATGATTCAAGCGAAACCCTTACCCACAGAAAACTTGGTAATGTCAGAGTAAAAATGATTTTTTTTTTGGTAAAACAAAAAGAGCAGGCGAATGCATTTACGCACTATCTGGGATAACCGGCGAAATCATAAAATATCTAAGCTAAGAATACACTGATTCTCGGTCTCGAGCGCAAATTTGTTTTGCCATCGTTGATTCAACTAATCTGATCAACCAGCTCACAAAGGATCAATACCGAAAAGATCACTCTAGACAGGCGAAAAAAACACATACATATACAGACAAACACACATTTTAAATACTATAAACGGACCCACAGGATTCATTTCGCCCTTTATTGATTTCGTATTCACTGTAACACCCAGCTGACGAACACCATAGGTCTGATTATATCGCGCTGCAGTTATTTTATTCTATCTATAGTATCATATCATTGAAATGTCCTATTGGTCCTGTTTTTTCACCGCAATCATTTTATCTGCCCGTTCCGTACGAAAATACTCGATCTGTGCTACACGAAGTCTAATAAAAATTATGGATTCATTGCGAATCCGCACTTTAATTGCCAGGCGGTTGCAGGGCGTTGTGGATCCTGGTTTATTCCGTTATTTTGTTGCACAGGTTAAAGTAATTTCAGTCAATTTCAGTAATCAGTCAATTTTTCTAATTGCATTATTTCGTTAGAGTTACTCTCGTTCCCCCGTTAAAATGATTTTATGATCCCCATACCCTGCTGCGGTTGTCCCGTTCCTCCTTTTCGATTAATTCTAACGTATTTCATTAAAAAAAAATAAAAAAAAAATCATTAAATAGCATTTCTAAGACACAGACAAGTAAAGTATTCAGCTTCATTTTTCGAAAAGTACTTTTTCCATCTGTCTTCTAGAACATGGGTAAACTAGCCTAACGCTTTATAAGCGAGAGAAACTAGTGTCTATTGGAAACCAAGTCAACCACCCTCTAAATCGCGCGCGCAGCTGATCTTACGGTAGGAACTCTTTCACTTCTCAAAAATCAGCTCAAAGCGACAACAAAGGACCTCTGCGGCGGACAGATGGGTATACAGACCGTCAGGTTTAATAATAACAATACTGTAGACTGATGAAGTGATTACAAAAAAATTTCCTCAGAACAGTTCCTTTACGGTAATGGAACTTAGCCCGTTGGTATTTTTCAATGATGATCCAAAACGAAAAATGCTCATGTTATTTGAATGAATAGCAGTGTACTGAGAACGTCAACACCTCACGCAACGAAGTATGACACCGATCCAGTGGGACAAATACGCTAAAATGTTCTCATCAACCTAAACGATCGAAAACTTCTCCCGACCTTTGTGCCTAATCGGAATAAGTTGCCTGCGAACAAGTTCGAACCCGATGAACAGCTTGCAGCAGCAGCAGCAGCAGCAACTTAATCTTACGGATATTATCGCCCGTCAAAGACCACAACTTAGAGCTCCGAGGAGAGCAGGTGGCAGGTAAAATATGAACTCTGGCTTTAACGGTGATTCGGTGTAACACCGGCACAGGTGGTCAAAGGACACATTCGGTACTTGTAAACCTTATCATAATGTCGTTTTAACAAATTCTCGAGTAAAAATCATTGGCGTCCTTGATTTAACATGGAACAACTTTGAGTGAAGTTTATGACAAGAAGCGAACTTTTGCCAAGTATTTGTTCATAGGTAATATTGTAGTTGGGAAGTCCCGTCTTATAGTTTTATTATTCAACTATGCATAATGTTTACGAATAGAAATCTAACAGTGCAAAAAAGGCAGTGGTACGTTTAGTAATTGAATTTCTATTTTGAAGTGCTCTAACGCTTCAACGTATGAGATGATGAGAACCGCTACTGATTCATTCATATGTGGCCTGTTTGCGTGCGTGCGTGCGTGCGTGAGAATGTCGAATTAAGCACGAAAGGTAAGTAACTTAATGACATTTTACTTTATTTTGTACATTTACTCGCGCCCAAAGGTAAACAGCATAATTTAATGAATATATTACAGTTCGCTTTTCGGCTTACGTTTCCACCTCGCTGTCACGATGTTCAGAGGCGCGTCTGAGTACCTTCAGCTAACTTATAACGAGAATAGCCCAACTCTAAAGCTAGAAACGAACTTCGATACAACCTAATGCAAGGCTCAGGAATAATGCGTTCGAAGTTTTTGCGGAGAGCTGACAGATGAGAATGCTTTAGCACCGCGTCAGACCCGAAACAGAGCTAAATGTTTAGCTCTTTTTTCCCCCCATTCATATGCTTTAACATTCGTAAACAAAAATACCCGACATTGAAAATGAGCATAATCTATCTTATGCGTTTGCCGCTTTATATCAGTTACACAAAGACATGTCACTACAATATATAGCTTTATCTCTTCCAGCTGAAACATCCTCACATGTTCCTTATCTGTCCTAGACAGCGAGATAAGGATGAGCAGTTAGTGACAATTGTTATAGCATATCATAACAATGTAGGTATGTTATGACGTTGTCGCCACCTAGGCGCTTATAGGATACAGAACAGAGTATTCATTCAATGAATAAATCTAATAGAAAGTCTTTGTTTCCTTTATTCTAAATGGTTGACTCACTTCGGTAAGTTACGATATTTTATTCTGACAATAATATTATCATCTTCTGCGCGATTTGCAGCGACATTCGATCTATTTCTATATAATATAGGCACTAAAGATCGTAAATTCTGCGATTCATACCCGCTCGATCATGTAAAACACTATATGTACTTAACAATTATGTGCATTCAACACCACGAGCAGAACCCGTTGACAAAGCAGCAATCTAATTAATCGACGACAGTGATAAATACGACGATGATAATCAGCCAAATACTGGCACAAACAAAAGACGATGCAGAAGTACGAAATTATTTGGTTTTCGGTCGCTAATAGCCTAAACTTGATTTTTTTTTTTTCTAAATAATGACCGACATCACCAGGGCTTACTGTAACCTTGAAACCGGTTCGTACGTGGTCGATGTTTCTTCATTGGGTAGAATGTTAATAATGATTCGTTTTTGTCAAGCCATAGCTTCCACTGTTTTGTATGTTATCAGCATTGCCTTTACGGTCACAGTACGACGTTATGCTGGCAGACCAGATCGAATCGTATTGCGGATCTGTGCATGGATTAAGCTGTTCAGTGACAACTACTGATCTTCCCACATTCCCAGGTTTGTACTGCCAATGAATTTGTAACATCCGTTGTCTTTCCATGTCTGGATTCGTCATAAAGCGTCAGACGCACTTGTGCGTCATTCTGCACGAATTCAAAGGGTCTTAACCCCCCCCCCCTCCTCCTGCCCCTCTCCTTCCCTTGAATATACACACACACGGACGGTGTTCGTTTTCAATGAAGCTTTTCGCAGATGCTCCGGTACAGCAGTTACCGAACGCTTGACGGCGATGCCCCATATGTAGGCTTTTGTTGCTGCATGATTGCATCTAGAAAAATGACAGTTGTATTCGTATAGTGCACCGTTATTATCGGGGCGACATGTTCATGGCTTAGTCGGAGAGACATTTGCATGTAGCCTCTTCTTGTCCATGACTCTTCGCTTTTTTTATCGCTTATTTGTTAGTGGTCTTCGAATTGTTTAACCCACAGTATCAGATGCAATAAATTTATTAAACATATATTATCTATCGTTTTAAACAGATCGTTATTAGCGATACAGTTCGCGTTGGCATTCACAGACTACGTGCGCCGGCCGCTGTCAGGCGTCGACACCACACTTGCTTCGAGGAAGGTGGGTTGGCGTGTTAATTGTCTTAATAGAGAAAGACAACGGCGGACCTGCAACCCCAACTTGACGTTAGAACGTCGAACATCCGACGCGACAGTTAAAAATCCCTTTCCGCTTTCTAGCTGCAACGCGAGTCACGCCCGAGGTATAAATGTTCTCTGGTTCCTAGAGAAACGTCAATTTGTATGTTTGCGTCCCTTCTAGCAATTCTAGCCCCTTCATCGGTTCTGTCTGCGTTGAATCTTGCTCATCCTTTAGCATTTACATTATAATTAACCCAATCAAAATGAAATCGTTTATTCTCGCTGTTTTTTCCAGCGCTGCCATCGTCTCGGCGGGCCATCTCAGCTACTCAGGTTCTAGTAGCGGTAGTCTGGCCTTTGGAACTAATGCCGCTTCAGCCCTGTCTGTAAGTTCGGCTCCAGTGATAGCTAATGGCGGCCTCGACGTGCAAGTAACGCCCACCATTCGGCAGGTAGGAGTCGCTAAAGTGGCTCGCGTCAAGTACGTGAAACAGCCCTTCATCAACGTAAACTACGTTCAGCAGCCGGTAACTTCGTATGTGACTCGTCCAGTCGAGTCGGTCTCGTACGCTTCGCGGCCTGTGGTATTTTATAGTGTTCATCCGATTCTGGTAGCAGGACGTGCCCCAATAACGGCCTCAGCGATTGCAACCTCTGCTATTGCCGCCCCTGCGATCACAGTGGCCCCTATCGGTGTAAATGGCTGGAAGAAGGCTTAAACGTACACAGGCGGTGGCGAAATGCTAGTCTTAAATAGATATGATGAATGTTTTTAATTCAATATTCGCTGAGTATTTCCCCGCGGTGTATAATACCTCGTTCGTACCTTATATTCATTTTGTGGTGGGTATGGACAATTGTTCAAATCATGCAACAGTCAAAGTAATCACTGAAAGTTCTCTAAGTTCGATCGTGCTTGAAAGAAATGGGGGAAAATAAATAAATTAATATGCTTCTGGACGGCGCTGTTTTCATTGAACTCAGATCTTAAAGATAAGCGCGTGACTCTGTATCTTTTTGTTGTGAATCGGGACGAGCCTTACAGTTAATCATAACGAATATTATTAATTATTATTATTATGAAACTGCTTGTAGGTTGCTAGCAGATCCTTTTATCCAGACCTGTAGGGGCAGGTAGCACTGTACTAACCTTCGATCAGAAAAAAAGCCTAAGCTCTGATTTCGCGTATCAGCATTTCATGACCTAAAATCTTCGTATGAAACCTTGATCATCATCGGTGATCTACCTTAATCAAGATGAAATTGAAATCATGTACGTCTTCAAAGGTATTCAGGCCGCCGAGGCAAATCACATCTGGCTTCTTAATGTTGTTAGCTGTTACACTATAACAGTTATATTGAAAAGTTCGCGCGCAGAAATACTGGATCTTATAGTAGCTAGCCCTAGAGAATTCTAGAGGAGATAGAAAGATTGGCTTAAATGTGCGTGCAACAATGTTAGCGGGACTCAAATAAAGTTTTTCATTTCTCTATTGCATTACTTAAATCGTCAACTAAGCATTAGGGGCGATCTCTCTGCAGAAGATTAAGGCCATTCGAATCACAGCTGATATAGGTGGAACCAGGCTCCACCATCGGTTCCTGTGGTTCAGAATAGAATGTAAGCCAGTAGAGTAGGAAGCGGCGAAGCTACCCTAGTCGAGCGGTTCCAAGTCCATTTACACTGCTGTGAAAGACTTTTAGGGTATGAACATAAGGGGTAACAGAGTTAACATTCCCATGCCTTCGGAAGGTTACCCTGAGAAAATAAAATAGCGCGCTTTTTTAAATTCAGACTTGGAGATATCCTCCCGCTGAAAAACAAAGCAGTTCAGTATTGGTCCCAAGGCGGTACGGCTTCTAGTGACAACAGTTACCACACGTGTTTTTAAGGGAGCAAGACATGTGCTTGAATCTTGGAAGCTGCTCTTTGTGTTTGCTCCTGTGATGTTGCGAATGTCGTATGTAAAGGACGAAAATAGCTCACGTGCGAAACGAACATTCTATCGAGGCACAAGCTTTTGCTATTTTATGCGGTGAAAATATCGCTAAGATTAGGCCGATCTTTTCAGGGCTAGATTTTTTACTTAAAGGAAAATGATTGCGCTATGCGGCCAATTACATGCTTTGATACCTTTCGTTGTCAGGCAGCGAAGAACGAAAGAGCAGGAAGCAGGCAAACCACAAAGATTTTTAGTACCCTTCGGTCGAGGTATAGAATATGAGGAGGGTCTTAGATGATATCGCATACCATATAGCTCTTCATTCAGTAATATCCATTCTCAGTTCTTATAAATCGAGATTTACTGAAAGACGAGAAAGGAACTGACTTCGATATGAAACGAGCTCCGCAGCGTGAACTTTCCTTTTTACACATAGTCATTTAGGTATATCGTTTGCTATATTTCACCATATCTGTATATTGAGACCGTCAGAGAAACTTCGCTGGGCATTGATTTTTTCTGTTTACCCGAATGACTTCCAGTAAGGACCTTTTGGCCTTCGTTCAAATAGGGCACATAGACGAGCATATATTAGCAGAAAACTTCTCAGATATTATAGTCAAAGTCAACCGAATACTGGAGCATCAGATTATTAGGAATCTGAGGGTCGATCCTGATAAACATGAAATCGTTTCACAGACATATACGCTTTAAGCTCACCGGCTATAATAATACGTAATAACTGGTCCAAGCTGTCAATTGATGCGTCCGTAGCCGCTCAAGCTGCGGAGAGTACCGCTTACGAATTAAGTTACGTTTCATTTCGTTCACAGGTGGACTGGTAACGCTAAAGGAAGCATCAATCAACCAAGGACTCCTTTTACCTTTGGTCCTCTTTGTAAGCCGCACGAATACAATACATGCAGAGAGAATCCTTAGCAAACTCCTCACTCCTCCGAAGAAGGACTCTGACTGATCAAGTTGCTTAAAAAGCATAGATGCAGGCGCGTTTTCCTGTCCTATGGAGAATGGCTAGATTTAAAAAAGGCTTATCAGTTGGCGGACTGCCTGCTATGGCTAGTCTCGTGCATCGGTAGTTGAGCTAATGGAGGTGGTCATCCTATTTGACATGTATGCCAGTATTTTATTGCCGTAGCACCAGATGTCTTCATCAAAACAAGGCTGAAGAGACACTTGCAAGAGCTCTATATGTTTTCAATGCACTTTGCTATGACAAGTTTTTACGTTACTGTTTTGGGTCCGTGTCACCCAGGGTTTTGCCTATCGTAGTGCTCGCATGTATCGGATGGGGAGAATCGATAGCTCCTGTGATAAAAGCTGCCGCGGTTTGTTATATCCATAAAATCCAAGTCGACAGCCAAATTACACTCAGCCAACACGCCATTTGCACGAGCTTGCTATCGGGCAATGCACGTTTCACACGAGAACCGTAACATCTATATTGAGTAGGTGCGGAGCAGGCCTGCGTCAAAAGTACAAGCAGTTTATCTAAAGAGAGACTTATATTAATATTTTCTGTATACTACACACATATTAGAAATTACGATGTTTTATATTGCTCAACACCTTCGGATCACGACTGCATATATAAATATATATACATATGCATGTTCTCCAAATCTATAGTTTCTAGTAGCAATTTCAGCATTAAATTTTACTGTTCAGTCAATTACTGTTCGCGCTGGGTTTCAATTTTATTGCCCAGGACCCTATGTACGTTTCGCCTGGACCAATTTCCATTATTTACTGAGGTGTGCTCTCTAGCCGTATATGCCGGCTTGGATGAAGGAGTTCATAAAAAGCTATCCTTCACACAGTCCTTCTCCTCATAGGCCTGGGACTGCGCAGAGTGAGTATAAGTGAAACAATTTTAAAGGCTACCGCCACAGCTGCTTTCATTGAAACCTCGTCCGAAATAGCTTAGGCGATCTGCCCTGCATAATTGCCTATCAGTTGCGCAATTATTTATTACCACTCATTGTTTACGGTTTACAAATAGTGGAGTTTTTGCAAGTCGTAATTGTGCTTCTGCTTGCTTAGCTTCGTATGTTGCCTCTATCCACCTGCCCATAGCAACTACGTGTTTCCTAGGAGGTCACTTCAGGCCGCGTTTTGCAGCGATAATATTATTTCGAATTTATTATACGTATCTCTGTTGTCCCTCCTTAATGTATTACAACTAATAACGATTAACATTGGCGCGCTTTTCGAATTTACGGATTCTACTCTTGATTTCGCGTAATGATAATCTCGGTAATGCACGCCATCTGTGTTCGTATCAGTGGGTCGATACCACAGTCACAGTGTATAATGCCTGTTCCCGAGCAAAGCCCAATGGCGCACGATGAACAGACACAGCATGACCCAAGCGTAACCCAGTTATCATATAGGTACTTCAAAGCCATTAGAAACCTATTGTTCAAATTTGAAATATTAATTGACACTTTGGTTTAGTAGTGACCAGGGCGTACACGACCCAAATTACCATATTTATCACCTATAGTACTGCATAATGCCACTGGTACTTTACGAAAGAAAGCTGTTTTAACTGTTTATGCTTTGCATAAACAGTTAAAACAGCTATGCTTCTAGTCTGACCCACTTTGCTCCGCGGTGACATCAAGTAGCTTTGTGGTACCGTTATCAAATATAACGGTAGTGAGAATTTTACGATATATATATATATACACAACTACTCTCTGATAGAAGTTTTCCGTCTTCTGTCCGTTATTCCCTCTAGATTAGCTTTTGTCATCAATTTGCCTTTCTAGCGGAATAATCTTTACCCATTATTCTGATCCTTTCAATTGATTTCATTCTCTACCATTCCATCTAGCATAATTGAAATGCATGGTAGTAATAATAGTTATAATGACAATAAAGGAATCATTCGTTCATAGTATATATATATCCATGATTTAGTTTTTTTTTCAGTAATTTATTTACTTTTAGTGGCGTTTATATAATTGTACTTTGCAAGTAGTAAAACTTCAAATGGGCATATCTTTTATGCGAGCTTTAATCGATGCTATCGCGTACTGAAATACTGAAAAAGCGCCATTCCCGATTGTAAATTTATAATGTTAGCACGTTCAAGACTTAATCGCTTTTACCGTTTACGTAGCCAAGTTTTCTACTGTCTGATTATGGGCAGCTGACAGCAAATCTCTATATACGTATGTGTACACGGGGCCTGTTCTGCTAATTCATTGGCATCATCGGATCGCTTCGGATCGTAGGGTAAACCCCGTACGGTTGCAGTCACGTGAACGATAGTCATAGTTGTTACTCTTCGACAATTATAAACGGTATATCATTAAAGCACACTGAAATGCTAATAAGCACTTAGATAGATTGAAAAGAGATAATTTTCGCCTGGTGTTTCCGACATAACGATGTCTCATGAATTTAACTACCAATGAATGTCACTGTCTTTACGCAAAGCGCCACGTACTGTACATAATTATATGACAGATAAATAAATAGTACGCCAAAATACTACTAGCCGTTAATATCTTTCAGGGCCTGGATCTGAACACCTTCGACTCACCTGAGCCTCACGCGAGTGCCGACTGGCATTATGTAATTGACGCACGAATATAAGAAGCGTGTGAGCCATTGCTGGCACAGTAGTTGTGTGCTGACATGTATCATTCCGTATACTTTATATCGCAGAAGAATACAACATGAATTCGCTCTCAGTGTTGCTCGCCATTACCTTCGGGGCTACTCTGATATCGGCTGGCGACATCGGTAGTTCGACTAGAAACTTCAGTGGCCTCAGGGTAGGTTTTATCGGAGGAGGTTATGGAGGCCGGGGCCACGTTCCGATTTCAGCTGTTCCCATAACCGCTCCCGCCCTCCAGCAGATCGGCGTCGCCAAGCTGCAGCGCGTAAATTATGTCCAACAACCAGTCGTCAACGTCAACTACGTTCAACAGCCGCTCATCTCGTACGTGACCCGGCCGGTGAAGTCGGTTTCGTACGTAGCCCGTCCAGTAGTTTCGTATAGCGCTCATCCTATCCTGGCCCCCGCCAACCCTGCCTTAACGTCGACGGCAGCTGCTTCAGTTGCCGCTGCCACTCCAGCCGCGATCGGGAGTTCTCTTGGTATCATTGGTGGGTCCTCAGGGATTGGGCATGCTGAGCCTCTTGAACTCGCTGGCTCCATTGGTTCACCAATTACCCCTGCTGTATTCGGGGCCCATGCTAAGATCGCTGCTCCAGGAATCTTTGCCGAGTCTATTGGGTCGATAGCTGGGGCTGGACCTATCGCTGGCCCTGTAATTATCGGTCCAACTAAAACAAGCTATGGTGGTTGGAAGAAATCATGAAATTTTATTGGTTGCACGACGTATGTGTACCTACTTACTTTTTGCTATGTAAAATGTATATTGAATAAAAATTGGGATTCAATTACAAGCAAGTCGTCGTCATAGGCTATCTTTATGAAGAACACACAAATAGATATTTTGTTTCTAGTTAGACTATGTAAGATTAATTTTTGCCTTAAAACTTTATTCGCTCTGAAAGACGATTCAGGTTCAGACAAGGTAATATATACACGGCGACCAAATAATCTGCGTCTTCGAATCTAGCTTGGAAACAGTGTCGTTTGACCAAGAAAAATGCGAGAAGGTAACGTGCTGACGACGTCTACAATGGCCTATTTGTCCTGGAAGGGATTGTTTTGATATGAGAGATGAGTTAGTTATACCGAGGAGAGACGTTCGGCTGAAATTATCGATGTTATCATCAACGTTATGGTATTTATTTGGTAGCAGATTAGATACCTGGACTTCAAGAGAGTTCCTGTCGGAGCTTTTCTGTGCTTTTCGCTAGGATAGGAGGATGCTTTCGCTAGGATAGGAGGATGCTTTCGCTAAAGTTGACAACTAATATATGGTAAAAAGCCATACGATTGAACTTCGTGGCGTACTCCACAGTGAACTGAAGGCAAACACAGAATGGAATCATCACTCTCGATAGAGACTGATGCACGACTTCGGGATAGCTAGAACGAAGACAGAGTAATGGAAAAAATATAAAGATAATTCTTGGCCCTGTAGTGGCAAGCATCGATTTCCAGCTTTAGTAGCTGTTCGCGTCATTCGTGCCCTAATTATAATCTGTGATAGCGGTTCACCTGTATCTTCTAGATAAACGAATAATTAATCATGTGGTATAAAGCGAAAAGTGAGTGCAGGCCTTATTCTGTGACTTTTCTCCATGGCAGTACAGCTTTTCAGGAAATTCTATGGGATTATTAATAAGCGAAATCCTGCGTCCAATAAGACACAAACATTAGGTTACACAATTGCAGAGAGCTTTACCTAAGGTAACTTAACGGTCTTGAAAGGCATACCATTACTTCATTTCTGATATTCTCGCATAGATATTATGCATTTATTTCATTAATTTTTTTTGCACATATTGGCCATTTTGTTGATTATAGATTGTTTCGACTTCCGAAATGATTTTTGGTGCATAAATTTTCGCCCTACTTGAGGATGATCTGCGATGGGTTCGCAGCAAACGTTGCACAGAGTGGACAGCCGCTACTGAAAGCCTGCAACAGCGAGACGTTCGGTTAGCAGATGGTTAGGGCCATTTGGACTGATCAGACCGAATGAAAAGATGCCATGTATTATTGTGTCCTATTCGAAATTAGACCAGTTGATGTAAAGAGTATCAAAAACGCTTGCATAGCTTACCCACTGCGGGTATGGCATCTTCAATGTAATAGCACTTACTGTTCTGACGGATAGCTGTCAGATAGTGGTCATGTTTTGGAAACGGTCAAATGTGTAATGGAAACGAGCGAAATTTAGGTGTTTTGCCCCCTGCGATGTATCTCCCAGGTTCGAAATTTTAATGTTTCGATCCCCAATATTCTGACAAGACGACTCGAAAGCGAACGACAAGGGTAGGATTAATAATCAGAGTTTTTCACGATCTTAATGAGAGGGTGCGTAGGCCGACGGATTCGTAGTTGTAATGCTAACACTTAGCGATTTTTTTTTCAGTTTAGTTAACCTATTATTGTCGCGCAGCGAAAATACTACCTGCACCCTCGAAATGATCCTCGTTGTGCAATAGACCGAATGGCCTTAGCAGGGATAAGAGATTTCAACCCTGCGTTATAAAGTGCAAAGAAAAAGACGGGCACGCGGATTTCATCATTGTCTATAACAGTTGTTTAATATAGGATTTTCAATTAGTTCTGGATATTTTGTTCCGGAATGGAAATAGCAACCGCCAACGATAGTGAGGAACAGAGTGATGGTATCGAGTTAACCGATCACCTTTGAAATAAAATTCGATATATCGCAGTTGCGCCGCTACAATCTCATGCGCTGTCCAAGTTCACCGAGAGATTTGAAAAAAAATCATTGCCATTATATCGGCAACCACAAAATCGTGGCCAGCGTATCTGATTGGAAGAGCAGCAAATACCGGTAAAAAGGACAGACACCACAATCCGGCCTATGTTTACCTATAGCAAAAAAGAAATACGTAAATGTGCCAATCTTTCTGACTTTTGTACGTCACGATAGTAATAATAATAATTAAACAGCTAATTCTGATTCATGCCTCTATCATCGTGTTTCCCAAAGTAACAGAAAAGGAAAAGCGTGCGCTTAATTAAAGGTGTCAGGGAATGTAAGTTACCGTCTGAGATGAACCGTTCGGTGACACAATAAAAGTCTTAATATTCTATTATATGATAAATTTAATCCCCTGTTGAGGTAGATGTCAGTGTACCGCTTCTTGGCAAACATACCTTTGCAATTTTCGATCATCGTCTATGTATATAGATGATTAGCATCAAGAAATGGCTGCCTGATAGAAGATGTAAGACAGGATGATTTATATTTGAGCATCTATCACAAAATCTGTATACGTATGTGTACACATGATGGCTTAAAATAATCATGCTAAGTTTACTTAGCTTTAGGAGTGCTATCTCGATTCATCGAAATTGTACATAGTCTTAGTCCTAGAAAGGAAGATTTAAAATTTATCTTGCTATCAAAATTCGTATCATAGCTGTTTGTCAACGCATTGTATAATAATCATTTTAAAAAATTGACCAAAATGGTAAGTTTGTTATGCGGGCAAAAATTGCACGCAATACACGCGCTCTCTCTGTATCGTACCTATCTCCAGCAATTTTTCGATTGGAAAGGCCGATGCAGCGGATGTATGAGAACCTCAAGAACAGTCATTAGTATAATAGCAATATGTCCACCTGCATTGATTTATAGTGCCCGCGAACAACAGGTAGGGTAATATTTTCTACGCCATTATGTCGCTTTTTCAAGAGTTGCATGCTTCTACTTAAGTTCTGAACAAGTTCTACTTAAAAGGCACGTGTATACCACAAAGTGAGTCGCTATAATTGGCACTACTTTCAAATTGAACTATTTGCAATACAGTTACATTAATCGGAACTTTTGGGATGCTTAAAAAACCTGCTTCGTAGTAGTATGAGTATAAACTTCTTGGAGCCTCAATTTACTAATTAACTGATGGATATTTTTTCAATGAACGTATACTATACATCAAAAAGTTCAGAAACGTATGTCTTGTCTAATTTTTACATTCGGGTTAGCTATTTAGACCTAAATCTATCGGATTAGTTTATGTGCAGGAAAAAATATTTTATACAGGCCAATAAAGCGCACCAGTGGGGGCTACTTTGGGAACGTGGTTTAGGATCATGATAGTTAATAAATTCACACAGTTTTTAGGTAACTTAAATGGTCAACAACTAACATCGAGTTAATTTTTATCCTGGCCTACCGTAAAAAAATAGGTGCATTTTATATCAAATAGTTTGCGAATATCGTTGCCATCGTTCGTGTGAGCGTTCTCAGGGGCAAAAATCAAGGTGCGTACTCGCGAGAACCGTCTACCTACCTCCGATCAGGTTTTTGGGAAATATTTTTTAAAAAATCATGGTGCACAGTTCACTTTAAACAGCGCGCTTTTTGCAATACTAATTTGCACGCATCGCCAGCCGAAAAAATAATACACAGCGTCGTTCTCGCTGGCGAAGTTACGCTAACTTTTTTTTTGATAGCATTAGTTCGAGTGAAAAGTACACAAATTATCTAAGGCTGTACACACGTTTTAGGCATATCATTGTCAAAAAGAATAAAAACATCATAGATAGCTTTTAAGCCTATAGGCTCTCACAGAAAAGAGAAATAGGCCACACCATAAGCTGCATTAAGTGCATATGTCTCAAGAGCCGCTACATAACAGTCAATGGTTTCCAGATACAAAAACAAAATTTGAAAAGAAATTCCGCTGATAATTTTTTTTATGGATTATTCTGTAATAGCTGCTATAGAAAGAAGAAGAAGTTCAAATATCCTGAAATTTTCCAGATTGCCTAAAGTTTGAATCGTTCTCCTCTTTACATTCGGTTCTTAATTTACACAGTAAAGTCATTGGTACAGTAAGATCAAATGCAAAACAATAAGATTATGTTCTGAGAAGTACTATCGGTGCCGTCTATTCTACCGATAAAGCGTAGCATTAACTTCCACGAGTTGTTATGTATGCGTGTCAAAAAATACATTTGTTTGTATTAAAAATACCTTTTTATGAATATCGGAAGCATTGAGCAGTTTTTTTCTGAATTAAAGGAACGCTCGCTTTGAACGCTCCACGCCTCACCAAACCCCTGTTTCTGCATTGGGTTTGTTTTTTTTGTGCTCGTTTCTAGTAGAGTACCCCACAACGGTCACCTTCGCCAAACAATTAAGAAATTGCCCGACCCGACAAACTGCTCTGTACATTAACGTGAATCTTTGCTAGCATTGGAGTATCTAAAAGTCATGGTACGAATCAGAGAGTTACCATGTCCTATCTCAGTCATACGAAACCCAAAATCAAGAACAGAGGACATCGTCACACTTCGATTACACAAAGAGAGAGAGAGAGAGAGAGAGAGAGATGAAACTATTCATCATCAATGGTATATCTATTGTTGGAGTATATATGGTATATCTAGGAGTACAATAAAGCACACCTAGAGCGTGAGCAGTTGTATTGACGGTATTCTGCAGGGCCTTCAACAGTCTCAGTCCGTCAGGCCTAACTAGCACCCGTCAACAAATTCCTGCGCACGGTTTGAAATCATCAGTAGAGCATTTATCCATGACAGTCCTGAAGAGAAGCCCTAAGGCAGCCCAAAAAGCATTATAACGAAAAGTCTTATTTCTTCAGAATGAATGATCATATTCTAGATTATGTTATATCAGCTTGTTTTGATGATCAACGCTCACTCCCATAGTTGTGCTATAGTCAACTTCTGTTTCATCACTTTCTGACAGGTTCCGATACTGATAGTT